ACCTTAAAGTTAGCAGGACCTTTCAAGAAAACATTCATTTGATTGAACCAAGTGCTATTTTTTTTTGATAGCTTTTTAATATCAAGATATCTTACGAAAATTTTGTATTGAATTTTTATCCGAATGCATCTCACATATTAACTGGTATATTGGTATTCTATTAAAACTGGTGTAGATCTTCGATCTATACTATGCGTAAATAAACTCTAAACCAACAGGTGCTTAGAGACAGAAACCACCCCCACCCCCCCCCCCCACCCCCCCCCCCACCCTTACTAGGATAGACATCCAGGTTCCAATGACTTTTCGTTATTCTTTTTATATATATATATAAATTATTTTTCTAGCACACAATTAAACTTTTTACATTAATTTCCTGATTTTCAATATTGAACACATCTCTTCAATCCAGAGACTGGATTTTACTGGTCAGAGAGAATTAACAACTCAAGCTGAAAAAATTTTCTTTGATTAAGAGCACACAATGTTTACATGAATTAATGTGCATTTAAAATGCAGGTTACTTGCACGTAATCGTATAGAATTTTTTCTTTCATATACATAATACAGTTCTGTTGGAATACAGGTAATGTCATATAGAAAAGATTTCTGAAGATTTCAATGGCGTTTTAATGAATCCGATAGTGCCCGTGATTGGTATAGTAAATCAATGCTAATGTCAATATTGCTATCAATTTGTGTTTTACTTTATTAAGTCATCGAGGAAATTTGACATCTGACATGCCAATGATTTTCTTTATACCGCAAAATCAAACACATGAAATAGAGCCTCAATGCTTTTGGGTTAAAACCAAATCTCTGACGAGACTTAGCTCTACTGATCTCGACTCAAAGGTACACTTGAGCTAATAATATTCATTTGTATTTGAGCACTAAAAATTCTTCTTGATGAAAATAAGAGGAAATGGATCAGTAAGTTCAGATAATTTTGAATGTTATTTCTCTGTGACTATAGTAATCTATCAACTCCACGTTCATTAAAACTTAAAATTGATATCGTGTAACTAGACACCGTTTTAATGGATTGAAAATCAGTTTCAATATCTGGGTTTGATTTTAATGGTAAATTTTTCCAAACACACACAAAAAGGCAATGTACGGTTTGTTTAACAAAATAAAAGATATGAACTTAAAACTGAAAACTCTTTTTGGTATTTATGTAAGCAGCGTCTTATGCTATGCACCTGAAGTGGGGGATTTTCATAAAGAAAGTACATGTTTCATATTGTAAGAGAATTTTATAGGTTAGACAAAGTACTTGTAATGACATGGTTTACCCGCTTTGAGCTTTACAGATAAAAAAAAGAATTTAAAATTCTTGGTTAAAAATACAAAATAGGGACAATTGTATACTACTAAAGTCATGTTTACAGGATATGGTAGGAAATGATGTATGGATTACAAACGTAAGAAACGAATTTCAACTGAATGGTGTAGCACATTTATATCACAAAAGTAATGTAATGTAATATAAAGTTTATCGCAGCATTGCAAAATCGGTTATAAAGTAATAAATTTACCGATTTCTTTTAGAAGCTGGCATGATTTTTTTTCTTTAAATTTGGATGAATAGCTTTATCCGCAATGTTGCCGTCAAATTTTTCTACTCGCCGTCCGTTACCCAATGACAGAGCCTCATTCTAGTCGAAGGCAAAACAACTACATCTGTCAGAATTGGTTTTAGTCATACTGACTTAGAATGGTAAGTGAAGCCAAGACCTATGAAATCTTTTTAATTTTTTTTTATTAATCTACATTCTATATATACAATGTAGAGGCTGCTTCATAGCTAACACTATGAATATCAGATGAAGGCGACCACTATTTATAAAATTTGCTTTCCCTGCACTGCAGAACACAGGCACTTTGGGGTATGGACCCCCCCCCCCTTTTCCAATTTTTTTCTTTTTAAATATAGGGTCGAGTCACCTTTTTCCTATTTATTTTATTCTAATATACACTGTATGTTATCAATAATGTAACTCTTTTGTCTCTATATGCTGTTTTTAAATATACCGTTTTCGACTGATACATAAAAAGAGAGAACCGTTTTCGACTGATACATAAAAAGAGAGAACCGTTTTCGACTGATACATAAAAAGAGAGAAGGCTTCTCTCTTTTTATGTATCAGTCAAAAACGGTATATTTCAAAACAGCATATAGAGACAAAAGAGTTACATTATTGATAACATAAAGTGCATATTAGAATACAAAAATAGTAAAAAGGTGACTTGACCCAATATTTAAAAAGAAAAAGAATGGAAAAGGGGGGGGGGTTCATACCCCAAGTGCCTGTGCTTCAGAATTCAAATACGATGTCACAAAGGTTAATGTGGGTACAGGTTAATGTGGGTAGCACGTGACATGTGTGCAATAGGCCTGCGAGTGTTCTCAATATCGGGCGGAAATATTTGTTTTTATTTCAATTGGCTAAAAGGCTGTTTCTAGAATTACGTCCGACTGGGAAAATTGTGTAGGTTATTTATATACCAATTAAGCTATACTTTCATGACATGTTTGTTTATTTGAAAATTGGAATAGTTGAATACTATATTGAATATTTCAACATTTTTTTTTAATTTTTTGCTTTCTGTCTGAAACTAGAACATAGCATATCGTGGTTACAGTCAGCGAACAATGTATTGTAGCAAGCGTACCATACACTGTTCTGTAGATAAAGTATAATATACACTTATATGAATGCCTTCCACTTCATATACATGTACACGTATATAAACAAAACACAACTTAGGTGTAAGCCGGTCAAGCTAAGGCAACCGGCGTCTAATGTTACATTTAACCCCTATATAGCCTTGGAAGCGTATGTTTAATACAAAACATTTTTTGCATATTACACATGTATATTTTGAGACCATATTATACTATCCATGGTGAAAAACCAGAGATAATATACTTGAGGGTTTTTTTTTAAAAGAAAGAAAAAAAACCTCTGGAAACCTTTTCCATATAATACGCATAATACGCACACAATACACGTATATGAAACCTGTGAAAAGTACAGGAACCTTGTAATTAAATCAATTATAATTTGAGTGACGTCCGAACAAGAGTGTTCAGTAACATCTAGTAAGGACTTTTGTACTTGCTCATAATAAAAGATTTCTGTGATTTTAAACTTGTGCACTGAGTGAGACTGACTAAGAAAAACCATGAATCCATAACTAAATGACACTGAACTTTCATACTGGCCTTCCTATGGCTCCGCCTTGTACAATGTATTACTGCGCATAACCATTCAAACACGTTACTATAAATACAATTCCCGCTATACTTCGAAACGCGGGAAAACATAATTATTGTGACAGAAATGGTAAGAAACATCTTTTTCACTGCTTTTTTTAAAAGCAAAAGTGACTGCAATTCTCGAGGGGATCTTACACCATGTAATGTTGCAGTTAAATACCTTGTGTTATTATTTTAGGTAAACAAGGTTTATAATGGAAACAATATATATAGCCATTATCATTGGTACTGACTACCTTGTGTTATAATTTTAAGGGGGTAAACTTTTATAGCAGAAACATTATATATAGCCATTATCATCGATACTGATTCTCATCAAGGTAAAATCTCATACCCTTTGACTTAACATTCGGCATTTATTTCGCCGCTCTCTCCTGAATGGGAATATACTTGTTAACTTTTTGTCAGTTTTAAATGTTCCTTGCGTCCAAAGACCATAGATATTTACTTTTTTCAGAATCAGGTCGTTACTTTTAGTTATTCTGAATTCATCTGTGTTACAGGAAAAAAGTCAAAGAAATTTGTAAAATGTATTGTCATAAATAGATGTTTATATAACCTTTCTTATGTAATCACAACAGATAATGCTTAATCAGCATATTACCTTTTTGTGTTGATAATAAAAGTACATTGGCGCCCAAAAGCCGATTAGGAAAAAGTATGGTCAATTTGTTTAACCCATGACTTACTGGGAAGAGAATATTCGTAGCTGAGGGCTTACAAGAATTTTAACACCAGTTTTCGGAAAGCCGTGAAATTGGCGGCTTTCCCGTTTATCCGACTTTTACCCTCGCCCACTGACTCTCCGCATTAAACCCCTGAATAACACATTTGTTTTCGAAAACAATGTTCCTCTTAACTTAATCACTTCTTATTAATTTGTTGATCTTCAATTTTAATTTAAAGTAATTTCCATCGTTAAGTATTATTATTTTAAACGTTTGAGTAAATACCCTGTTGATCATCATCAAATAACCGATTTATTAGTGATATTAGCAATATTAATAATATGTTACCAAACGATTTTAGGTTTAGAGTTGGAGCAGCCCTAAAACACGTTATTTGTCGAGTTCCAGCTCTTCTTAATCCCCCTCGAAATCGACTGCAATTAAATTCGACACTGTTCTCTTGTAGGACAGCTGGGAAGAGCAAATAGCGTATTTATGACGGGAATTTAATGGTTTGCCAGAGGACTATTTGATCAGGGGAAGTATTATTGACGAGAGACGGACAACTACTTCAATTACAATCAAATATAAAGGTAGCAGAACATATGTAGCAGAGAGCCACGGGACTACTGCTCATTGCAGTGCTCCGAGCACCTGTTTCTGCGGTCCACTTGTATGTATTGAGAGTCTAGTAACAGCATTGATTTGAAGTTATTAAACCTGGGAATATCAGAATTTTTAAATTGAATTGAACTTGTAAGGTACATGTAATTTAAGCTTTAAACTCCCCCAATATTAATGAAACCTGTCTATGGCGGCTACTGAGTAACTGTATTGTATTGACTGAATTAGAACTGTCAGTACGAGACGTCGAATTCATATCAAATAGGAAAAAATATCTTAAAGCAAACAATGCCATTCAAATATTTACTGTATAGAAAAGACTACATTAATATAATGGAATACTTAATAAAGAAATTATTTAATAATAACTTTATACATGTATATATACCTCTATACTATAGAAGTTTGTTATTGTCGTTTTAGGTTTGGGTATAGGTTTTGGTTAGATTTGGATAAATGGTGTTTAAGGAAGCTCTAAACACTAAAAACAAGTGCTTTTTGGACTGAGAGAAAATATATCATATAAAGGTGTGCACATTGAGTCTATTTAGTTCATTTTCAACATAGGGTACCTGCCTTATTTCTCCAGTAAAAATGTTCAAAGACAATGGACTATTCGTGAACAGAAATCACTGTTGTTTACTTACATGGGGAATATTAATGGAAATAATGAATTGAATTACTTATTCTTGGTCTAATATAACGCTAATAATATTTTAATTTATTACAAATTGTGTTATTAACTGTAACTAATTATTTTTTCTATCTTACTTCTAAGGGCAGATCACTCTAACTGCATAAAACTTAGTCTACCCTATAAGTAGAACTCTTTAGTGTGCAATGTTTAGAGCTTCCTTAACATCCAGACATAAATTTGAATGTGTTTACCGCCTTCACTTAATTAAAGGTATTTTACAAATAAAATCAAACATAGTCAAAGTGATAAATGCCCAACAACTTTAAATTAATATGAATATGACAAAATCCAACTAACACTAAGTCATGAAAAGAAATTGTTTCTTAATGCATTCACCGGAGATAAGAGATGATCACTTTGTCTATGCGCGGCAGGTCTGGTCATTGTTCTGCCAGAAATGCCCGCTGATGGTACTCTTCCGGTACGGCTCGTGGACGCTGAGGTAGTTCGAAGGGAATGCGGTTTCTCGGAAGAAGGACGCTGAATGGTAAGTTTTGGGGTTGGCTTTTTGCTGCGAGGTTTGGCGCTCTGGGCCCGTCGCTTGTCATAAGTAATTACATTGTACTGTATGGGGTTTGTCATGTTCAAACGAATTGCCCGTTCACTCCACATTATGTTCCGACACTCATAACTTCCGTCTTTGTGCAGCATAGGCAGCAAACCGTACCGCTGGTACAGATCCTGCCTCGAGCGCTCCAGGTCTGTTAATCCCTTAGCGTGATGGGCTAACATATCCCAATTTAGCTTAGTCTTTTCTGTTTTCTTTTCCATTGCAGTCTCGTTCACATTTCGTTTAATTAATTTCCAACTTCTTTTAGCGCCACCTAGTGCCGATGTTATCTCTTTCATGCCGGTTTCCGGTTTCTCCTCTTCGTCAATCTCTTGTGTTTCTTCTGAAGTTATATCCTCCTTTGGTTTGGTGGCATTGACAAACATCCTTGCGGCTGCTCCCGACACGTCTGTCAGTCTGTTCAAAGTCTCTTTAAGTTTGGTGTACCCTCTACTACTCCCATACTGGGTGTTTCCACAGGTCTCTGTCATGGCTCCTTGAAATGTAAAACTGCTCTTGAAGTTCGGTTTGGGTCGAATGAGGAATTTCCCACTATCATCATTTATTCTCTTTAGAGATTCACCGAAAGAATTCCAAAATTTTTCGTTTGTTTGATGACTTGGAGTTACCCCCTCATCGTCCGAGTCAGAGAACGAGAGTTCCTCATCAGTGACCGAGGCCACGGAAATATTCACGTCACTCCGCCGCCCGGCAGACGACAGCCGCCCGGTGGCAGACGACACGGGCCGCCCCACCGGTGACAGAGTTGAGCAGTTTGTCCCACGTGCTTCTTTAGAGTTCATGAAGCTATCTTCTTTTTCTTTTAATATCATTTGACCAGATCACCCCGTCTTTATGAAACATAATCCAATAAAATACATTTCACAATTCCCTTTAAAATATCAAGTCCATCTATGTTTGTCCAATGAATAATATTTCGTTTTCACAGTTGTTCATTATATTCCACTCTCGTTTAGTTGGTAATTAACGGTGTACTTGACAGGTAGATTCGGTCGATAGTTTGCCTAACTACCTTTTAACCATTCTCCAGTGTATTTCCATATACCGTTTTACCTAGAGCATTGCCTCTTTTTGTACCCGTTTATATACTGTGTATATAACTTAGACTGCATTACAGAACAAAAATACCTGGCCAATAGAAGTCGTCGGTGCTAAAGGCGGCTGTCAACCGATACAAATACTTCTATTGAAAGCGAAAAATATGTAATTATTTCTACAAAGGCTTACTGCATATTTTTTGATATTTAAACCTCTTGTTTCGACTCTATGTCTTAAGTGTGTAAGGGAGTTTAAATATACCCGGCTTTTAAATGGTCAATAGAGAAGATGTTATAGAAGATGCAAGCATTCTCAATAATTAACCGCAATGACAAATATTACAAGTAAATATTACCCAAGAGGTTTGTCAATAGTTATAGATTAAATATTGTTGCTGCACAGAAGTGCTTCGGAAATTTTATGACTCCTTCGGTGGAACTTTTTATGCCCCATTAGAAGATTTTCAGCGCTATCGTGAAGACAGCTTTTGTGAGATTGAGAATTTGTCGATTTTCAGTCGGACTAGTTAAATAATGAACCCCATATTATCATGATATAATCTACACAAATTGTCATTGTGTTACGTTAGGTAATCCAATACAGAGTAACACGTTTAAGAAAATACAATTATTTTTCAAAAAGACTGTCACAACTAAAGGAAGATTAAAGAGATATGTTGCATGAGCTTAAGCACGTTACTACGTTACTTCACTACTGCAAGATAAATATAGAACGACAGATTGAATTTAGCTTAAGCAAATAATCAAAACTATACACACTGTTTGCTTAAGGAGGATCACAAGATTGAATCATTTTTAAAGAAAAATTAAATGTTAAAGTGCTGCAACATGTTTGTTTTTATATATAAGAACTGCAACTTTCAGTTTTACAACTGTATAGTGTGTATGCCTGGTGCATTTTTAAAAAGCCAGAAAGTCCATACTTTGTAATATGTGTCCATTGCTAAAGTTGGTATTTGGCAGATGCTGCAGCCTCAACAATGCTTATATCAATCTTCGTTTATTTTCAATTACCGCAGTAAATCAATGCCACCAAGATGTATGGTAACATTTAACCAGAATTCCTTGCCAATGTTACTCTAAAATCGACACGTTTTACAGACAATTCGAGCACGTTGTACCTACTACACGAAACAATTTGCCTGTAATGACATTTTTTTATGATTGTGAAAATTTATAAAAATCTAATTTGACTAATGTATTCTTTTGAAATTCACTCAAACCTAATGGAATTTTTCTTGATATTGTTTTAAAACTAGACTTAATGGAAGCAATTTTGAAAGTTTAAAAGGCAACATAAATCTATCTGGAAATAATATCCGTTCATATTTTTCCATAAAGTCTTTGCTGTTGGCAAGTCCAAAGCTGAGTTACCAATTTAAATAAAATCACAAAGAAATCAGAAACCCGGAAAATTAAGTATGCTTTTCAATGGCTAATATATAACTTCAGATAATAATTTATTGATTTGATTGTTTACATTTAATTGTATCGATCATTCATTCACTTTTTTGTACGGTGTGTACCAAGGATATGTATATTCCAGTTCGTATTACCAGTCTTACACATGGCACAACATTGTCATCACGTGACTGGTAGCTCTGAACAATGCTCACGTGATCTTGTTATAAAATACTAAAATAGACACAAAAAAAAATCACATCTTCATCATGAAGTCAAATACAAAGTGTCTTTTTTTCCCTAAGAATTAGGACCACTTTTAAAACGTACAAAGTTCACTAATCCAATAGAAAAGGTGCATCATATACATTTTCTTCTGCTGAAATGTGCGTTTGATTTAAAGAAAAATATTAAGTTTTCTTGCAATGACGTTTTACCAGCTCAGACACATCTCGTGTGTTGATGCAACATCAGTCTTGTGAGGCATAATACTTTTCAACTGATGGCATAGAGATACTTTGTAAGATTAATGACGTCATGGGGTCATTCATGAGCTTGTTTGAGATGTTTCCACATTTCCGTCACTCACATCGACTTGAACCTTGATCTCAGGGCTTGTAATGTCTGTCTTCTTCACTAACACTTCCGTTTCCGTTTCCTGTTCACACAGATCTTCAAGTTGTCCTTTTATGACGTCATTTGGTGGTTTTTGATTAAATTGTGATTCAAGGTCAACTTGGGCAAATAAAGGTGAGAGTCCGTCTTTTGTAGATGTCACAAGGGATGGGGAAGCCTCTTCACTATCGGGTTTTGAGGAGTCTATTTTTTCTGAGGATATCGATATTGCGGTGACCCTGGGCTCCTTAAACTTCAGACGGTCGCTTAGCCTCGTCATCGACATCCGAGAGGCCGCACGACTGACAGTACCCTCTTTTTCTACGTTGTTGACCTGAACACGCTCGTGAGGTACACAGACATAGAGGGGTCGGTACAAGATGACCTCATCCGTCTCCTCTTCTCCATCTCCCATGTAAACCTGACCCAGCTGGAACTCTGAGCTGACGTACATACCTCCCTCTACATTAGGGACACAATGATCTAGAACAAAACAACCTTATCTGTACATTCTGTAACGTTATCTGTGCATGGTTCGGTGTCATTGAAAATGTTGCTGTATATACCGTTTTGTGATTCATTCAAAGCATGAATAAAACTTAAATACTTGATTAGCATTAGAATTAACATCAGAGGTCTCTGGTGAGAGTGTTGCTCTACTGGTTTGAATGCATACTAGTCTAAGTGTTATAGTTTGACTGCACTATTTCCTTTTGAATTTTACCTACTTCGATGTTTTCTAAACTTCTACATTGTTTTAGTCAAACTAGATCAAAAGTGAAGGAGAACTTGAATTTTAAAGCATTTAACCGTTTTTTTCTTGGTAGCCAGAGAAACATCATTAAAATCAACAATAGATACACTGTTTACCTTGGTGTAACGTACTTATGCCGAAACTAGGGGTGGGGGCGGGGGTAGCAATTTGACAAAATTTCGGAGATTGTTTTGCTTTTAATATTGATGGCATTCCTGTTTATCGTTCATCAAAAACCGACACATGAAGTGTATCTTGATGTAGCTTACTTGTATATAAAACTTCATTGAAATCAGACTGACACTGCAGAAGTGAAATTTTTAAAGAATTTCATACATTTATCTAATTTTAGTAGCAAGACAACATTATTTCTCGATATCAAACCCCGATATATTAACTTAAGTTATGAGGCAGAGCAGAGTCTACCTTTGTACCAAGTTTATCATAATTAGTCTAAAACTATTTCACAGATTATTCTACTTTCAACAACTTGGCAACACCGTTAATCCCAATCATAAACTTTATTATACAGAATTAGTACCTTAATGATAAAGTCTACCTGTGTAGCAAGTTTTAATTCAGTCGGACCAAAATGGTATGACATGTTTTGAATGAATTTCATAGATTATTCTATTCTTATGATTTATTGCAAATCTATATTCATCCAAAGCAAAAACCGATTTACTTATGAAACAATTAAGTACTGCATCTTCGCATACAGGTAGAACACTTGTGTAGCAAATTTAAATGAAAATGGACCAAACTGTGGGGAAAATAGCGTTTTGATTTTCTTAAACAACACATTGCCAATTCATATGTTCATCTGGTGTCTGACTGTACAGCTAACTATGCGCAGCTTAAAAGTTATTATTGTATCTCTACTGATTTTTCCCTATATATATAAAAACTAAATCGTTAGATGTGAATAATTTCCTAGAAATAGCTGTGAATGGACTAATGCCCGTTTTGCCGTGCGTTAGTCAAGTAAACTAATCCTTGCTTTGAAATTTGTATTGGTATTAATAATAAAACAGTTAAAGTCCATCATTGAGGGAGTTAGCAAGATTCTAGTTCCCCTCGACCACTTTTGTTTCCCTTGGCACCTGGCCTTGGGGAGCAAGCTTCCAGTTCCCTTCAACCAGTTCTATTTCCCTCGGCACTTATGGAACTGGAATCTGGCTAACTCCCTGAGTGGCATACTTTAACTGCATTCTGTATAGTGATTGAACTCTACCATTCTATAGCCATCTACTTGAAACTGATGATAAAAGGTTGATACTCATACCATACTGCAGGATGGGATAAGGTGCGTTGGATATTCTATAAGGCGTTGTCGCAATTGTCAGCGGAAAATGAAGATCAAGAACCTCTCCCGAGTCCTCCATTACTAGACAGGCCTATATAAGGTAAAACACAAGATCTTCAAAATCTTTAAAAACAATTCTTATACGAAATACTAAAGCTTTACTAAACTCACACATTACAAGGGAAAAACGCCACTCAAACAAGAGGTCAGTGATACAGTAAAAATGGTCTGACCTTTAGGGTGTAATAGATCTGTACTAAACTACAAACATCCACCATTGATGGTGGCACCACCGGAAGTTGGAGATGTTGCTGGAGGTCGTCAAACTTTTCGGTTGCCTGCGCATGCACCGTCTCCCCACGGTACTGCCATACTTTGTGAGACACTTCTTTGCATAAACCAAGAACTCCTTTATTGATGAAAAACTCAACATGCTGAAAAATATTAATAATATTTAATGTATTTGTCATATACCTTTTAAAATAAAAAAAAGGTGTTTAGTATTCAATCAAATAAACTGATTACCTGCACAAGTTTACATACGATCCAGACGTCCTGATCGCTACCATTTTGAATTTCTGCGCGAAGTTTGATGTTCTCTCCTGCGCAGTAGGCACTTCTTTCTAGGACAGCTTCCAATGATACAGGGCCTTGAGAACAACAGAAACAGCAGGAATACCTCTTATCACTGGCCCGAGTAGGTGTCTGAAAAAGGTAATACATAGATTACTGTGTGTTGAAAAATAATTTGTCTTTCAGAAACTCTGTCGTTTTCTTACTTTGTATGGAATTTAATTAGTAGCTAGTATATTTTAGGATATTTTCCTCAAAATACCACAATCATGAAATTTGCTGAGAAGCTTCGACTTCGGAATAGTTTTAATGGTGTTTTATAATGCATAAAAGATTTCTGGAAGAACACATACCAAATATAGTGGTTAACAATGTCTTTGTTTGGAAAAGCATACATTAGAATAAAAGTCAAATGGATAAAACTGCAGAAATCATTATAGAGTCTTGATTACCAGGTAACGCTCATCCATGCAGTCGATATGTGGACCAATGATTGTGAAGTATTTTTTGCTTTGTGGGGAGGAGGACACAGGCATGTCCATTGTCGCCCGTATGTAGTATCGAATGGTGCCGACCTTACTTTCAAAGGAACAAGGAAGTGTGCTCTCCGGAAGTTTGAATTGGAAATTGTATCTGTGGTTGCCCCGTGGCATGATGGGTACACCTCCTTCTATTTCTTTTTTATCTGTAAAACACGGATTTTGCATATAAGAAAATCAGTCACCCATAATTCAGATCCAATATCAACAAATCCCTTAATATACCCGGGGTAGATTTGTCAGCACGTGGGAAAATAATATATGAATTTTACTGTAAAATATGGTACAATTTTTATCTGTATGACGTACACTTCCCTGTCAATGAATCGTTTTTATGGCTGTGATTCATGACTAAACCACCAAACCATAGATGAAACAATGCAAAGCAAGCCCCCTACCTTCTTTTGAAGCCCATTTCCAACAAATTTTATCTTCAGGCAAAATTTTTGCAAGATAAACTAACAATTAACTTTCCAAAGCATTTTTTTTCGGATAACAACGCAATTATAGCAATACGAGTATAAGCCAATCAATTCAGCGCACGTCAGGCGCGTATTTTAGAAAATTGCCATATTAATTATCTTATAGTATCTTACAGTATACAACTATAATGTAAACATTGAAACTTTGAAAAGTTACAACAATCGTAGTATTATCTCACCAAATTAAGAGCACATGCATGCATCATGTGCATGTCCCCGTTTTCATTTTTGATGATATCAGGAACTCGTAAGATTTACCTACACCCTGAATTTTGTCTTGTTTCATTATAACTAAGAAAGTTTTAACCATTCACAATCTTAGCCAATCGGTTTTTAGCGCACGTGTATACATGTTTCCTAGAAATTTAACAGATATCTTTTTTACTCATGCACACAATATACCTATGTGTCGAATGTGCAAAGTATTTCTTTGAATAGTAAGAGTGTTTTCAAAGTTTTCAAAGTATCTTATGATATTGTAGAGTTCCTGTTCTTCAAGTAATCAATGTACAACACGTATTATACACGACTATTGAAAAACGGACTATAGGAACTCTTTTATATCAGGAGAGACAAAAATACGTCATGGGAGCCATTTGGATTTTATACCTAAATAGTTAGCAATGTAGTATTTATAGTTTTAGAAAAGTTAGTTAATCATTAAAATTACTTATCTGAAGCAAACAGTAGTGTAATCTATATGCACAATAATAGCTAGAATCGGCTAGAATACAACATGGAATCCAGGTTTGTACTTGACTTTTGCAATGGTAAGTATGTTTGCATCTGATCCAACAACGCGTGAAAAAGATACATTCTGTGAAACTAATTGTCCCTAATTTAATTTTTAAAGTATCAACCAATTAAAAAATTTGGTAGGTTAATCGGAAACACACCAACGTGTAAAATTCTCTAGCAGATTGGTAGACAGTAGTCACTGTCGCCAGCGTTCTGAAAAGACCGACTTTTATATCCTAGCGGCAGCAACTGGAACCAAGGTCAAAGGATCTGAACTCCCATTATTACCAACAATTAAGATTTTCAGTCTTTACCCTCAAATTGAACTCATTGTAGGACAAAACGATCTACATATACATGTATACGAAATTAATTAATCTCATATAACTGAGTGAGAAATGTTGAAAATTTGACCATCTTTCTTCTTTTGAATATACAATTGATACATTTCCATTCACATTTAAAGCCTTTGATCCCTATTTTAACCCTTATTAAGCAAATCTTTAAAGCTTCCACACCTTTCCCCCATATGACTTTCTTCTCGTCGATATAATACTCGTCATCTTTAACGCTTCTTCTCTCTCCCGCTTTCGTGATCTTCCATTCCACGTGGGACTTTCCTCGCAGTAGAAGCCTTATTCCTGTAATAGATCATACATAGACCTGTAGTGTACAATATGCAATGGAGATGGACTTGAAGCTTAAGAGTTATGATTTAGTTTCATTTACCCTTTTTATTCTTTCTGGTGTGCAAGAACCTTAAACGCCTGAAAGTTCTGATATGACTATAGACAATTATTGTAAGCAATGTTCTAGATTTCTGATGTTGCAGTACAAAAAGTTTTACAAGCCCAAGCTTACTGTTGGTATGTTGCTGTCTTCAAGATCATAATATTAATTTTCTGGGAATAATGCCATCCAAAATTATGAAGAAAACTAAAGTCACTGTGCTTCTTGTTGAGGAAGTAGATAGAGTGTAATCATATAGTACTTGCAATTAAATCGTAAACTTGTATTTTGTTCAGTAATCATCAACATGAAGGATAAAATGAATCCACAAAACTGTCAATTACTGAGAGTCAGCAAATGTTAATAATTACCTTCTTAAAACTACTGCAATTGATGCCCTGTAAATTTGACCCTTTGGTGATATCTTAATATACAACATGTACAATGTAGATATACATAAGTAAAAATTCCCCCACGAAAACTGAGAGTTATGAAACATCCAGATACTGATCTGCCTTCCACTGAACATAATTAATTTACATTGATATGTTTTACCGTTATGAAATTCAAGAACAAATTGTTTCATCACTGATATTTTCGGGATGGAAAACTTTCAGGTTAAATTCGCAGCTTGACTGGGGTCGTCTTTTCAGCGATACCCTCTTTGATTGAATACTAGTAGATATTTTCTTTAAAATATGTTTTCAAGTCTTTTGAGATTATTCTACAGCTATAAAAATATTTTCTGAAAATTTTGAATATAAAAAAGGGAAAAACAAGAGAACTTTCAATTAAAGTTTAAAACTGTGTTGTGAAAAAATACAAAGTCGGGCAATTCTTTATTATGAGTTTTACTCGGCATTAAACTATTTCTTTTTATGGAATATGAAAACAAGTTACCTTCAAAAATTACTAAAATTCAGAAATTTGTAATATGAACGACTCTGGTATTGTTCCTTGTTATAGAACCGTTAAGCTTTAATTTCTTCATCGCTAGGGTTCCTTAACGCAACAGGAGACATTTCTTATAATTAGAGCGTGTAGATGAAAAGAATTAGAATGGTAATTCTGAAATTATTATACAGGTTAGAAGAGGAAAGAATTTTATGTAAAAATATCTTTCGGGGAGAAGCTTTTCAATGTTATATGTTTTCTATAAAGAGAATGTTTTCCATATCTAGAATTATCCCTCAGGGAATTATTTTGTATCTAGTGAATCGACTGTTGGAGATTTTCTTTATAGTAAAATATGCGAATGGATGAAGACTATGCTGAGAGCCTTCCGAATGGAAGCTTTTCTGGGCGGAAGATACTGCCTGTCAATAAATTTGTAGATTAAAAATAATATCAACGTTTACAAAGAAACATGAAATTTAGAATCTACATATACTTAGGTGTTTCATATCCTCTCTCTCTCAGAAAAACTATGTGGACGCCCACTGTACTATGACTAGTTATGCCACTGAAACTGCACGATCCATGTTAACCTATAATCAAATCACATACATATCTATACTGAACACGTGTAGTATACTTACCCTGTACTTTGATATTTTCGGTATTTTGTACTATAACATGCCCCGTAAGGGTCTCCCCTGCATAGTAGATGTCTTTGTCCAATTCAATCTCAAATTTTGTCACGTCATCCATGTCATCATAATTAACTCACACCACCCTTGTATAGCAGGTGACTTCCCTGAACATATGTGTCCTCTGTAATTACTATTTCATTTAATTTGCACAAGTCCTCCATTGGATCAATACCACACTGTGATTACTGAACTAATTAGTAGTTTTCTTTAATGTTGTGTTTCACATCATATTCCGATACTTTTTACTGCTGGGCCCTGCAACAGAGATGGACCAAGTAAGTTTTACAAGAGTTTGTTTGTATAGTGTTAATATGGTAATGGCAACAACACATGTCATGCAAGAAAATTATGCGTATTACTTCTAAATAATCTATAAATGTCAAACACAAGAAAAGATATAAGATCAGATTTTTGTCCATCTTTCTCTTTCAATAGAAGCAGACGACATTTTTCAGCACACAGGGGACTCTAAGTCACAAGAGACGCCGGTCACTAGGGGGTGCTCTAGATGGCAAATCGGAACCACTCGGATTTGTGTCATAATAAGCACCTATATTAGTTATGCTCTTCAATAATGAATATTAAGATAATGAGATCAACTTACCAGTTTACGAAAGAAACTCACAGTAAAAGGATAAATCAATGAAATTTGATGGTTTCCGCACGGAGCGATCGTCTCGCAGGACTTTTGTTTCTTGTCAGTTGAGCGTCAGTAGTGGCGGCGTAATCGATCGATTCTCCTCTTTTTCTCTCGTCGCTAGATCAATACAAAGACATTCCGCATCCTTCACGGCCGACTACAAAAAATACATCAAACTAAAGAATTAAAAATCATTACATGCAATCACTGAAAAATACAGCTTAGTTCGTAAACGAATTAGATGACAAAACCCCGCATTAACGTCCGTACATAATGTGTATCCCTGTGCTTAGAGAGACTGAGGCTGGTAATGATGTCAGACCGAAGCCCACAAAACCACACGGCTATTAAAGGAGACTGCTCGCGAGGTGCCTCACGATCTCCCACTTACAGACAGAATCGCCTATTACCACTGTCATAAGGTGTGATAATCTACTCCAATATCGCTAGAACGGAAATCGTCATAATCCCGGACTCTAAAAAAATGAGAATTTTTCAACTCATATTGAATTAAAGTTAATGAAATCTACACATATGCTACCTAATTGTGTATTCAGTTTCCCATAACCAAAACCTATAGTGCTTAAAATTTATTTTCACTTCACATGCAATATGAATATTGTCTGTTTTTATCAGGACTTCGATAACTTTTTTCCTTTCACAAATTCATGTCTTCACTGTGAAACTAGGGCTTTTCGCGAACTAAGGACACACATGAAATCGGCTATAAAAGATCGAGGACGAAAAGTCGTAGATTTGCAAAATTAGGTGGTTAAAAAGTTTAAGTTAAACCGCTGTGGTATCACCGTTTGAAATTGATTTCGATAATTAGTGAGCCACCTTTCCCAAGATCATTATTATAACCGTATTTTAAAAGGACTTCGTTTTAATTCTACATCTGGAAATCCAACTTTCACTAACAGTTCACGTTCTAAGGATGAAATTTTTCAAAATCACATTTCAGTCTTAAAATACTTTAAACATTACAATCAACGAAGGTGAGTTCAATCTTCCCTACCAATACTGGATCCAAAAACTTCATAAAAATCCTTACAAACAAGGATAAATCGTCTGGTCCAGCAATTGCTTTACCAAGCCCCTACCTTACTCCTCACAAGATATTTTAAACTGCTGTTAAGGAGAAACTAGACGTGCTGTGTTGCAGCATATTCTAAAAGTGGTGTACATGAAATGTGGATTCTCAAAAACTTCAAAGAACTTTCAGAAAATTCAAATTGCAATTTTTTTTTCAAAAGTCTGCAACATCAAACTTATGACTTTTCTAGACTTTATACAACCATTTCTCACGATGAATTAAAAACTAGGCTTTTTGATATCATAGAAAACTGCTTCTTCAATAAAAATGGAACTCGAAATTTTTTATGCCTTGTGATTGGTCATCAACAAAATTAGTACTCTGATTTTACACATAAGTACTCTGAAGTTGATTTTAAAAGGATACAGGAGTTCCTCATCGAAAACATTTATGTATTCTCTTCGAACAAACTGTTGGGATTTCCATAGGCACTAATTGGGCTCCTTTATTAACCGGCCTGTTTTATATTCCTATGGAGCAGAATTTATTTTAAAAAAAACTTCTACATGAGAAGAAGAAAACACTTGCTGTGGCCTTCAGATCGACAAACAGATATATCGACAGCTTGTTATCAATTAACAATAGTTACACATGTACTTCCATTCGTATGTCGACTCGATATATCCCAGTGAACTCGGAATGTAAGACACCATGGAGTCTGCCACACCTGTTTTATATTTGGAGTTTCACTCACTGTAGACGATAAGGACCAACGAACAACTTAATTGTATGACAAACAAGATGACTTCAGCTTTCCATCGTCAACTTTCGTTATTTATGAACTACCGGTAATATTTCGCTATTATCTGCATATGGTGTCAATGTCTTTCAACTTATTCAATCCTCAAGAGCACGCTTGGTCCAGTTTCAGGGTTATAGCTATAATGTGGGGTGCTAAGATTGTCATATATTGAAAATGAATTATATATTATTATTAAATCGTCTTTATTGATGGACATTTAGCAGGCAAAATGTTTGCATAATTATGAGTATTCAACCTTTCACCGAAATTCTGAAATTGATGACCCTTGGTTCAGACCTTAGGGTGTGTTACAGTTGGTCATATATTTCTATAGAAAAGACGATTTAATTTCCAATATGCGATGTGATTGAATATATGACCAACCTTTATAAGCCACGATTAGAATATGCTTCCTCGGTGTGGGGTGGATGCAATGTGGATGATGGCGGAAAAATTATGTGCTGCAAGAATTGTCACAGGTCTAACATTATTAGCTTCTAAAGATTAAAACTGGGTGGGAATCATTACATGTTATTAATGAATGGAACTCAATACCCCTTGCTGAAAGAAATTCCTCCGCATTATCAATTTTAAAACATCGATTTCTAATTATAAACCAATGTCACCCTCTTTTTTAGTTGTGGAATTCGGTGCTTAAATATTTCATATACAATGCTTCGTCACAACTGTGTGAACCTTTAATTATTGATTTTATGTAATTTTGAGTCCCCTTTGCTCTTGTGGATGAGTGGAGGATACTCATCATTATTTCTTCTCATGTAAAAAGTATACAGATGTCAGAAATGACTTTCTCGATAAATTTCTGCGAATGGGGAAATTACGTTCCTTTGTTACTCACACTTTACTCTGGGAAGATTTGTTGAGAATGAATACCTTTTTTATGCGACAAATATGAAAGTCAAAATTAAATCTCAATTTTGACAAAATCTTCTTTGATATTTTATTTAACATTAACGTATACTTCATCTAAAATTTGCAACAATTTCACGAAGATTGAAATTAATTGTCTATGAAATAGCATACTTACACATGCTAAATGATCATTTCTTCATACTATAATCCATTTTTCCATATGAGTGGGTCTTTGCTCCATTTTTTTTTTAAATTATACTCAAAAGTACGCGTAAAAATATACAATTTTGAGGTAACAAAAACAAGGAGCAAAGAACTACCATATCTTAAAATTACACTTTTCTGACACAACATTCGTATTCGTAATGGTCAGCGAATTAGTCTCGAAGAAAAATTGCCAGGGTTCGAACCCAAAGAATACCACTTTTTTTTTTATCATAGGATGATTTTTTTCCGAAAGAATCGAAAGAAAAGTTTTATTTATCATAATTTCACACCTTTCAATAATGAGAACTTTATTCTAAATACTAAATTCACAAGCTGACTATGACTTTGCTATAGGCATTTTACACGCCTTGTTTGCCCATCTTCTTTATTTGCCCGGGTCATGATTCCATGTGTGGGCCAAGTTAGTCATATATTAAAATTTATTATACGGTATACCTTATCTCCTGAACTTCTAGGAAACACGATTGGTGAATATGATAACTGATAATGATTACAGAGTCCTTTCCAAACTAAAAGTTCTGTCACGTGAGACCAGGGTTCCTGTAGCTGAAGTCGTCAGAGCTTGTCTGAGACTCAGATGACCGTAAATATATTTTCATGTTCATATGTTTTGATATGATTTATTATTACCTTTTGTTCTTGGGAAGAATTCTGTGTAAAAATATGATCCATTAATTTATTGTGGTTCCATGCTAGTCCTGCATTTAGGCCACAAAATGCTCAGTGTAAATTAATAACTGCGAATGTTGTATATTAATATGACTAAATGTGGCTCTTAAAAAATAATATGTTGTCATATTATATTGTAAACTAGTTTACTTCTCAATTATTTAAAGGAGAAGGGCGAACAAGGCGTACAGAATGCCTATAACTTCAAATATATAAAAATCATATTCAGTTTGTGAATTTAGTATTTATAGTATAGTACTGATACTGATGCTAAAACACTTCGCAGCAAATTGACAGATTTTTGTTGTTGTTGTTGTTGTTGGGAGTAGTTTTTGCAGTTAAATAATGAACTGCAAATTATTGAATTTGCAGTTCAATTCAATAAAACTTAACTATATGTTAATCATGGTTGATTGATTGTATGTTGTTTTAAATCCCGTTCGAAAAATTTTTCACTCATATAGAGACGTCAACCAATATACCGTCGAAAGTCTTCAAATTCAGACCTTTACTCGGCCATCTGGGCCATTATCGTGCCAACGCCTGCCTCGGTTTTTAAGGTCTCCTCCGAAGGACCCGCGACTTTAACTTCAAAGTGCCGAGTGCTTGGCGAAGGAACAGTTGCTACCTATTTTTTATCGACTTAGGTCAGTCGCTGCCGTGGTTCAAACCTACGACCTTCCGATCACGGAGCAAGCGCTCTACCCAATGCGTTACTGTGACGGTTGTGAATGATTTGAAGAAAGGTACAGGTATTATTATTATCTGAAGATAGATGCAAGTGTGTGCATACTTAAAATGAAATGATCATTCTCAAAAATCCATTTAAACAATACAAATTATATTCCCCCTCTCTTCGTTCGACCAAATATAAAACAATAAAGTGCTGAATGAATAAATTACAACACACATATGTAGGATGGCTGCTCGCTAGTGCTTTATTCAATTATGTACATAACCATTCATACACTCCATCGCATCACTATCAGCCGTTTACTAAATCTCTTTAAATCCTAGTGAGCGAGCTTAGAGTGCTTTGCTACCGCACGACTTTACTATTTATACCCTATAATCAAGTGACTTTACAAAAGAACTTTTCGAACACACTACATGTAACCATGCCGCACATAATTTTAATGATGACCAGAGCCAACATCGACCTCTGAAAACAGAGGTGTGGTCATGGAGATGTAAGCATCCTCTGTCGACCGATCACATCCGCCGTGTGCTCCTTGTCATTCTCGGGTAAACAGAAATATCCGTAGACAATTCAGTGTGAAAGTAATGGTCTATCAATATGTTTGTATAATTTGCAAACAAGGTCATTGTATAGACCATAGAATTTGCGAAATGTTGATTTTGATATCCTTGTATCATCAATTTATTTTTCAATAGCTTGTCTCATTTAAAAAAAAAGTTGGTATGTAGAACATACTCTTGCGTATTGAATTCAATTGGGAGACATAAACTCTATATGCATGTGCTACACAAAGAAGGGGAATTGGGTATAGAAAAATTGAAGTCATCACATGTATCATATAGTTCAATTGTCAGTTTGCCATCAATGTCTTTCTCTTGTAATATATCCAAATATGAAAGAGGTGTGTCAGACCCTGTGGTCTTTTTGAGTTAAATGGGATATGTCGAATCAACGCAAGTATATTGTTAATTGATAAAACGTCGTCGATATATTATCCAAATGTCAAACTGAAGGCTTAACCAAGAGACTTCTACATGAAGTAGATATTTTTGAGTGAATTCTGCTTCATATGAATACAAAAACAGGTCCGCTAATAATAGGGCACAATTAGCTCCAATGGGAATTCCATCAGATTGTTGGAAGATCTGGTCTCCGAAAAAAAACCCATAGAAATTGTCAATTAAAAACTCAACCATCTTTTTAATATCAACTTTGGAGTACTCGAGTGTGTCGAATCAGAATATTATTAACAAAATAAGTTCGCAGTTAAGGCATTCCAATTTTATTGGAGAGATAGTTGTTTATGATGTCAAAAAGTCTGGTCTTTAAACTACATGATCTGATATTCAACTGATATTCAACTGAAATCTCTTTCTCAAACGCATCGGTCAATTTGACAGAGAGCACTTAAAAACAGAACATTATAACAAATAATATATTTGTCAATAAAATATTCATTATAACAGTATGCGTTTATAGTATTTTCCTATAGTTTAGAATTGTCTATTTCTGGCTCCATCGTAGTTTAAATGAGTAAAAAAACACATTTGTTTGACCTAAATACTTCCCATGAAGATCACATAAAATATAGGAAAAATAATGGGAAAAAACTATGGTAAATTTCCCTAAAAATGATGTGCCCTATACCTAGTTTTATTATTCGTTCATATTCAAAACAAGTGTTGTAAATTGGTATGTCATTTCTAAAAGTTCCCAAAAAGTGCCGGTAGAAAAAGGGTTAAACTGAATGAACTTGTCTACTGGCAGTGATCCGCCTTATCATCATCCGAATAAACGAGACAATAACAATATTATAATCAATACATCTAAGGACAAAATTATAGATGACATATGTACTGGAATTAATTAAGCCCTGGGTGTTGCTTCAAACAGATAAGCTGTGATGAAGCTGGTACAAATACTAGTATGAGGTATACATACATGGAACCTTAATACCTGGTCAAACTTTATTGCCCTGTTGATTTGTGCAGTTTTGGATGGATATGAAATGCCTATCGCCAAAAAAAGATAACAGCTTAACTTTAAGTAGTTTTTCCTTATAAAACTAGGTAGTTTTAAAGAATGTTTTCACTTACCTGGGATAACAAAAAAAAAAATGCTAGGCGGTCTGCAGGTGCAGATTCTTGGAATCTGGAATCAATCTTTCTATATTTTGGATGTGATAAGCCAAGCACGGTAGAAATGGTTGTGTAAGAGACTAAATCCCGATTAGGTGAGATACAGCGATACTAAGACCCCGCAAAAACGGAAACACTACTCAGCATCCCAGTCCGTAAAAAATTAGCTGCTCATTTTCTGCAAGGTGTCACATAAGTCGTTTACAGAAAAGTGCTAGTCCTGATGGAACTGGAAGACCATGGCAGCCAGTGACGATCGATGATGACCCAGTTACGTCATCAACCTTTAATCAGAAGGTGAGCATGACTGAAGTGATAAAACATTAGAGTAATTCAAGTTTGCAGGATTCCAAGCTATCAGCTGATTCCGCCCAGCTTACAGGACGCGTGTTGATATATATTTGGTCGATGGCCCAGTAAGAGAGGCTGACAATGTGAATCGATATCTAGAAATGAAATTAATTTACAAACTGTCACAATGTTTATATTAACACTCTCGATCCCCTCCAGTGTAGAATCAGTGTACAATCTTGTATACATAGCGTATTGCTATAAAACAAACCTCTAGAAAGCAAATGTCAATGTAATTTAATTAGTAGAGAGTTTGTTCAGATTGGCACTCTATGCTGAATACTTATAGCAAACTAAATTTTTATTGTATATTTTTAAAAATCACTTTTTGAACCAGAAATATTTCTCAATATTGTGAATTGTAAAAGTTATAGGTTAGCCTTGTATTGATTAAGAATACCTAGTCAAGATCTTGAAATAAAATGTGGCAGATGTAGAAATATTCCAAAAATTGAAAGAGTATGTAAATTTTGTCTAAAAAAGGTATTCTTTGTATTGAAAATGAAATTCACTTATTTGAAAACAGTGAACTCTATAATAATATTAGAAACAAGAGACCCATGAGTAAATGTGGCTCCTCTTTGTTCATCAGCAGATTCTTTTTCGTATATATTCTCGTAAAATTTGATCATCCATTATAGTTCAAGCTTATTCCCGGCGGTTATGATTTGAACGAACCTGAAAATACACATCTGTGGATACTTTCATATAAATATGACTGATCATGGCTTTGCTGTTCTGAGAAGATTTTTACAGATTTTTTCCTATGTATTTCTATGTAAAACTTCGATTGCCCATTGTGGCCCCACCCTTCCCCCCAGGGGTCATGATTTGAACAAACCTGGACATACACTATCTGTGGATGTTTATATATAAATATGACTGATCATGGTTTTGCTGTTCTTAATCAGAAGATTTTTTAAAGATTTCTTCTATGTATTCTATGGAAAACTTTGATCCCCACTGTCCCTTCCCTACCCCCAGGGATCATGAGTTGAACAACCTTGAATCTACACAGCTTGAGGATGCTTCAGTATAAATATGACTGATCATGGCTTTGCTGTTCTTGAGAAGATTATTCCTATATACATGTATACCCATGTAAAACTTTGATCACCCATAGTGGCCACACCGTGCCCAGGGGGTAATGTTTTGAACAAACTTGAATTTGCAATATGTCAGGAAGCTTTCACATAATTTTCATCTTTCCTGGCCCATTGATTCTTGAGAAGAAGATTTTTAAATGACCCCACCCAATTTTTACTTTTTCTTGATTATCTCCCCTTGGAATAGGGTGTGGCCCTTTATTTAAACAAATTTGAATCCCCTTTACCCAAGGATACTCTTTGAAAATTTTGGTTGAAATTGGCCCAGTGGTTCTTGAGAAGGAGATGAAATTGTAAAAAGTTAAAGTCATATATGGCGTATTTTTGATAAGTTCAGATTAACTAAAATTAAAAAGATCTTTCTATTTGTTTTATTACTTTATATAAAGATAGGACTTTCCTGTAAATTACACAATTTAAATCAATGGCGTTTCTTAATTAGAATTTTCAAACAATATCCGATTTATTCACCGACTCCGCATTTAAATATCAGAAATAGTTTAAAGTCAATTTAACTTTAGAAATGTGGGGTTATTCAAGTTCAAAATCGGTGAAAATTTTGATTTTAACGTTAATAGCAAATATCATGTTTATCTACATTCAATCTCGTATTTTTATTTTTTAGCTCAGATACGCCATATATAGCTTTAACGACAAAGACGACGACAACGACAGACATTGGACACATTTTGATCAGAAAAGCTCACTTGAGCCTCTGGCTCAGGTGAGCTAAAACTAAGGATATCAAAATACTTGGTCTCTTTAGGAAATACGATTTTATTTCAGTTTTTAGGAAATAATATCTTAAATACCTTGTCAAAGTTGGGTTTTCTAGCTTAAAAAAGAGGATACATGTATTTTCAATGAAGTCTCAAGAAAGTTGAAATATAATACTTGTATAATTCAATAACTGTAAAAATAGAATTGCTACTTATGCATTATATTTGAACCCAAATGTATAAATACGTGTGATTTAAAATGTATTGTACGTTGGGGCGGTGACCTTGAATACTTTAATAAAATATTGACTGATTGATTAATTAGAAGATATATCGAAATACTGTAAACGTTTTTCTTGGTTATTATCGGCCGCAACAGCGGCCGATCTATTTGTGGTTGTGTTAGAATGTGCACATGGGGAAATGAGACGTTATTATTTTCATTGCTTCATTGGAAAAATTCCTTATTTATAACATACATATAAGTTAGGAATAAAAGTTTTAAAAATTTGCTAAATACTTAGTGTAAATGGTTGTTATTACTTTCCATTTTTTTTCATTTCTCATAAGATATTTATCAATTTAAGATTTTTTCAAAAAGTTGCTACATGAACTGCTCCCTAACATGGGCGAGCAAAAGATGTAAAATAAAACGTATTGAGTTTCCGGATGTGAATTACAGTGTCTAGGAGTAATTAGATAAATTGTAAAAAGTTGAAGGAGAACTGAATTTTGACTTGAATACACTGCAGTTGAAAATGACACAATGAGATTTTTTTCTGCACTTCACATTTATTTTGATACATATCTATCACAACACTGATCGGTATTATCATTTGAGAAAGATCCATGATGTTAGTTATTTATTCCTCGAAAATTACTTCGATACATATTAAGACTTTAGATGGGATACAACTTCCGTTTGGGGGTATGATAAAACCAGAGACTTCCGAGTATTCCATTCCGAGGTCTCTGGTTTTATCCTTCGTTTACAACCCCAATCGGAAATTTGTATCCCATCTAAAGTCTTAATATGTATCGAGGTATAATTAATGAGTGGTTTACAATAAAGAGGCTCGACCAGAGACATCTGAAAGATTTATTTGACAAGAAAAAAGTCTCTCGAAGCGAACGATATAATTTTAAAGTAGGTTAATGATCGATATATGAACAAAATACGAAGTTGAAGCAGGGGTGCCTGAAAAGTTAGGTACCTTGTGGTAAAAATAAGTTGGGGAGCCCCGTATACGAAACAAGTGCCTGTGAATTGATCACTGAAAATTAAAGTATAAAAAAATGCACAGAAAAGTACATGCAAGGCAAGTGTAAAAATATATCATACACTTTTTCTACTTAGAATTTTTTTTCTTTTGTCTCTATCTTGTGGAAATACTTTAAAACGCTAATTATATTTTTGCGGCCGATTGATGCTTTGCATAAATTTAACTTGTTCTATTTAAACCCTATGGCGGAAAATCAAGTTCTTCGCTACATGTAATTGTTTTTATCTACAATGCGCTAACTAACTTGTTGAAAAATCAATTTTCGCCAAATATTGAACACGCTATTTATAAAAAAAAAAAATCCAAAATATATAAGTAGTTATTTTTTAAAATCTTTTTTCCTGACAGAAACATTAATCCATCATATCAAATTCTTCCTTTTCTTCACGACATATCTCCTGGCGAGATACTTTTTACCAGTAGATATCTCTTTTAAAGTAATTTGGTGGTTTTACAAAAGATAACTCTTCAAAAATAGATGTATTTTCTACGAAAAGATGTATCTCCTATGGAATTTAATAATTACTTATATGAAGAAATATTTTTGTTGGAGGGACGTGTTTTTCCACTTAAGAGATATCTAGAGAAGATCCCTAAGATGTCTACAGGTCAAAAGTCAAGGTAAAAAATTATATGTTTTTATATGATTATTTTAGTTTTCGTTGAACTTTTGTAATGAAGTCTTTATATCAGGAAGACCTATTGATTTTAAGGTCAAAATGTCAAAGGACAAGGTCTTATATTTATATTATATTACATAAAGCAATTTCAAGCTGATAACTTTTGTTCTCCGAGATATTGCAAAGAAAACTAATTTATATTTTATATGACAATTCCCTAAGACTAAAGGACCTACTGAATTTTAGGACTAAAGGTCAAAGTCAGAAATTCATATATTGCATAATTTCCACATGATAATATAGTTCTCTATGAGCTTTTGTAATGAATTTTTTTTTTTGTCACAATTCCCTACCTTAAAGAAGATTCCTATTAATTTTGATGTGAAAAGGTCAAAGGCCAAGAAGGGAAATTCATATACAACATAAACAGTTTTCAGATGATAACTATGTTCTCTTTGGGAGTTTTTGCAATGAAACTTAAGGTTATGACACTTATTTCGTCCTTAAGCATGGGACATCGATTCCCTGAATTAGCTTGTCATACCTTACAAGTAGTGATGTTGAGTCCTTTATTATGGCTACATGCAGTTCTCTGATTGGACAAAATGAATCTAAACTTCAAAATAGTACTTATTCACACTTATCAATAGATTTTTATATGATCATATTACTTAGAGCCATGTTGCGGTTTTCACAATGACCCCGGAGGCCAAAGATTTTCATCATTAAAGAAAAACTTGAAACTAAAAGCATGTATAATATATGGACGACCAAGGGACAAATTTGAAAGGAGAACATACCTTTATGCATACTTAAACATTTCAAGTTACAAAAAATTTGCTTTCTATTGAAAATGTGAGTTGATATTTGTAATGTCATTCAATATTTGAATTATTGACTAAAAATAAGTATATACAGATATAAATAGCACTTATTGTTGGCAAAAATCTAATGAAATCTTGTTAGGGAGATAAACACATGGAGAATGAAAAGACACACAATTCCAAGTCAAACAAGCAAATTCGGAGATTGGTTGGGGTGCAATTGTGGGATATCGTAACAGTCTTGTCCGTATGCCATGTCTGTCCATCATGCTAAAGGAAGTTATGCTTTTTTGAATTAATATGTTCTTGTGCGAAACATACCACAAAGATTAAAGTTTTTGAAAGTCTAACTTTGAGGTCTAAGTCATAAGGTCAAAAATCATAGTACATTTAGAGGTAATAAATAGGTAAAAATATGTGAAAGCGCTGTCATTTCTGGTGGGAAAGTTAGCCAAAGTAGATCAAATTTCAAGGTCAAGATCATGAGGTAAAAAAAATCATAGTAGATTAGGAATGGTCACATGCACATATAAAAATACGAAAGCCCTGTCCCTTCAGCTGAAAAAGCAAAGGCTAAGGTTAATTTTTTTTTTTAAAAAGTATGTCCAACTTGAAGGTCAAGGCCATTTGGTTAAAATATCACATCACATTCAGAAAGCCATGTCACAGAATATGAAAACCGTGTCTTCTATCATTTAAAAGTTATTGCGAATGCTAAAATTTTTTTATCAAAAGGTGAAACTTCAAGGTCAAGGTCATAGTATACTCGGAAAGATTTCGATCCAGGTAATGCGCATGTGAAATATGAAACTCTATCTTCTCTCATTCAAACGTTTATTACCAAAGTTAAAATTTTTGAAACGTAGGTCAAATTTCAAGGTTAAAATCATAGTATATTTTGAAAAATCTTGTCATGGGTAATGGACTTTTTTTTGTTTGTTTTGTCATGTTCTGTTTATATACCTGGATGGTTGTAATGAAAAGAATTAAAGCTTAACAACTTTCTTCATATCATATTCTTAAAAAATCTGAAAATACTAGTATGTACAAAACAAAATCCTGTGTTTGTCCACTCTGAGATATACTGACATTCTCAGAATACGAAATTTAAAGCGGGTAGGCAATATAATACAAAAATACAAACTTCATCACCCCAGTTTATAACCGTTTTACATATGAGCTAATAGCGTAGACGGAACTATGGCAGCATTTCTAAAAAATATACATCTTCAAATATCTTATATTTTAGTTTTTTTATTGTATAGATTGTTAGTCATTTTAATTTTCTTCTAACTTTTTCCAATTTACCATAGTTGGAAAAATTTAAAGCATGTTTACATTATTAATTTTAGCGGTTTGTTCGTTTTGTTGTTACATGTGTATAAACAAATTAGGATCGATCTCCTCCCATATCTTCGACTCCATGGAGACCTCGGCTCCAGATCTACGCCGTATGTTTGTTTCCACAAACTTGGGGCGTCCGGACTGGGAAGTTGTATAAGATTCCACAAGCTAGAGAAATACACAGATTCCATTAACGACTTGTCTGTTCCGATGTTTCTTCTAATCAATTTAGAAGATCACTGCAGTAAAAAGTTCATTCATAAATAAATTCGACCTCTCTTTTTTCCATTACATTCGCTGAAATACATTCTAATAATTCCCCATTGGCTCAAAAATTTCCCACTTCGGAATTGCAGGAAATTAACCTGCACTTAATATCCATTTCCGAAACACTTGGGATCTGAAGAATTTCATTTTGATATTCATAATAATTCTACTGACATTCGGTTGACTATTTCATGATCTGGAATTAGCTGTAGGAACTCTTCCTTGGTTATCTCCCCTTTTTTCTTCAGGGCTTTATGGTTAAGGGCGCGGTATGTTAGTGCTAAGATATGGTCGTCGCTGATAGTTCTGTCAAATAGAGTTTTATAAATTCTGTACATTTCATCATGCATTAATACGTTTGTTCCATAAATATTGAAAATTTCAAATAAGAATTCTTTCTTTTCATCAGGGTTTGCTTTTGGACTTAGGATCCCAAATATTTGTACGAACTGTTTTGCATACACACGTCCAGAACGCCCGTCTAAATTTGCTGCCACAACATGGGAACACAACTCGTTGCCTCTTAACTCAGGAAGAAGAACCATTTTGTCGTACGGGATTCCATCTGTGGCTTCCGGTGACTTATCTAATGTCTGATAACGCTGTTCTAATTTCTTGAGCTCACCCTCAGAGAGAGGCGTGGATTCCTTTAGTTCCTGTATGTCAAGGTCACTCAAAATGGCCTGCTGATTCCCCATACCTTCAGCATTATCTATAAAAATAATAGGTCAATCGATTCAAGAAATACAATTCATATCTAGTTCTATAAGAGATCATATCAGTCTGAAAGAGTTATATCAACAGTAAAGATACACAATAATGATTTTATTACTTAGTCTATATATAGTCCCTATATAATCTATACAAACGCAAACAGTTCATAATACTACTTATTATATATTTGTTATATAATACAGGTTTTTTGCATCCCTGATATGAACACAGGCACGCGCCCTGTATTACACACCCTGTATCAGCACCCTTTATTTCACCCTTTATCACACCCTTTATTACACCTTTCCGTAACATCTCTTTTTCATTCGGAGTACCTCGGATCTTTTCCTATTTCTTTCCAAAGTTTATTCAAATTGTAATTTTATTTCATGGGACATATTATGTTATTCAAAATAATTATTGTTTGATTTATAATAATTTCATTTCGTATCGCTGAATGCATTTATTTGCCTAAAGTTAAAAAAGATTGAGAAACGGAAATTCAACAAAAACAGAACACATTCAATTATTAAAAATTCAGTAATTAATTTACAAGTTTATATATGATTTTTAGGACACTATTTTCAAATACATAATAAAAACAACAATACATGAAAAAATCTGTATCACACCCCATATCAACCCTCGACCAATATCAGCCCTCTGGCCTTCGGCCCTCGGGCTGATATTGGAGTCTCGGGTTGATATGGAGTGTGATACAGATTTTGCCATGTATTATTCTCTATATATTCACTGGAAATTGAAGTCGTATTCACCGGAGGGTCAGTGCGCGTGCAGCGGCATTGTGACGTCACAATCAATACCTCGAATAACGTTAAAAAACAATGGTTGCAACGGCCGGAGCCAACTGTATATATGAGCAGGAAAATTGTTAGGCAAGTTTATCGCAGGATTATTTTCCAAACATTTCGATGTCTTACACACAGCTAAAGGGAAACACGTGATTTATAAGTTGTAATCTGGACATTTTTTGTTTAATTTTTCTACGACAGAAGTAACATGTAGTTAAAGAAAATGGAATCGTCATGCAGCCTTCAGTGTCTAATTCATTCAAATCCTGACTATAATAAAACAATAATGGACTCTTTCGATGGCGAATATGGTTTGTTATTCACCAGAAAAATATCAATATTGACCGAGGCTTCGCCTCGGTCAATATTGATATTTTTCTGGTGAATAACAAACCATATTCACCACCGAAAGAGTCCATAACTGTATAATATATATCTAGCTTATTTATGACATCATCAGAATCTATAAATCTAACTACAAGCAAATTCAAACAATTGTTGTCCCCTGCTTTCGGTGTCTTAGTGGATGGGATGCCATTATTTATGGTATATTGTAACTGTCTTTGTGTGTCCTGTCCTATGTGTTTGCATCGTACAAGAAAGACATAAATTATAATTGAATTGATAACAGTTATGGTGAAGATTATAGCTTCTCAAAACTACATCAAAAGATCAAGGCCATGACGTAAAATATCAGAATTCAATCCGAAAGGTCTTGTCACAAGTAATGCACATGTGAAAAAAAAATGAAAGCCCTGTCTCTTCTGGAGCATAAAGATTATGGTCAAAGTTAAAATTTTTGATAAGTACATGTATGTTAAGGTCATGAAGTGATACACTTTTCTGAAAGGTGTTGTCATAGGTATGTTCGTATAGAAATATGAGAGCCCTATCCTCTCTAATTCAAAAGTTATTACAAATGATAAATTAATCTGAAAAAGACTGTGAGTTAAACTTTAAGGTTGGGGTCACGAGGTCAAAAACCAGAGTATACAATCGAAAAGGTCTTGAAACAGGTAATGCACAGTTCAAATGATAATGCCATATCTTCTCTCAATCAAAATTATTAGCAATTTTAAAATTTTTGAAAATTAGGTCAAACTTCAAGGTCAAGGGTTTTAAAAATCAAAGTACATTTGGAAATGCTTGTCACAGGTAATGCACGTGTCAAATATGATTGCCCTTTCTTCACTCCTTCAAAAGTTAGCAACATTGATTAAATATTTGAAATATACATCAAACTTGAAGGTCAAGGTCACGGGGTCAAATATCATAGCATTATTCGGAAACATTTGGACACAGGTAATGCACTTGTCAAATATGAAAGTCCTATCATATGCAATTTAAAAGTAATCACCAAAATTAAAATTTTTGAAAATTAGGTCAAACATAAAGGTCAAGGTCAGGGGTAAAAAAAAAATCATAGCATGCTCAGAAACACCTTCTCACTGGTAATGCACTTGTCATTTGAAAGCCCTATCTATTCTCAATCAAAAATTATAAGCAAAGATAAAAATTTCAAAAATTAGGTCAAATTCAAGGTCACGGGGTCAAGGGGGTGAAAACCATAGTATGTTTGGAAAGGTCTTGTCACAAGTAATGCACAGGTCAAACATGAAAGCCGTATCTCTTCTTAATCAAAAGTTATAAGCAAAGATAAAATTTTTGAAGAGTAGGTCAAACTTCAAGGTCAAGGCCAGGGGTTAAAACCATATATATTTGGAAAGGTCTTGTCACTGGTAATGTCCATGTGAAAAGTGAAAGCCCCAATTTTTCTCATTCAAAAGTTATGACCTAGGTTAAAGTTTTTGTGACAGACAGACTGACAGACGGTCGGATTGACAGATTGACAGACAGACGAATGAGATTTAATGTTCCTTTTGCGAAAGCGGGGGACAAATATCTTTTCTTATATAAGTTTATAAACTAGATTGATGAGTGCTTGTTTATGTCTTTAAACTTAATTAGGTTAAGTGAATTAATAAAATTTGAAGGAGTTCTATTATAATAGTAAGTAATAGCATGAGATACGCCTATGTATCAAAAGCTCATGGCGAACGATAAGTTGTGAAAAAGTGCCCTTCTCTTGCATCCCTCCGTTTTCAGATCCTAGCTGGAACACTCACAATAGATGAAATCCGTCCGATAGAAGTGCAATTCAATTGATTTAATTATTTAGTTTTTTAATTGAAATAAGAGCCGCAGTATTTTCTTAGCACAGTTGGATCTACTTCAATCACATGGTGAGATGAACTCTGTCCAGAGATCCCCAGGGAAAAGGTGAAAAATTTATAAATGGCACTTTACAAAAGCGTCAATCATTGCTTGTAATCTTAGACTTTATTAAAGCTATTTGAGCCATTGCATCAGATGAGTTAAAACATTATACCGCATTTTCTTCGCTGGAAAAAAAAGACATGGTCCTTGGTTTATGTTTTATGCCATGTTTGGTTCAACTGGTCAAGTGATTCTGGATAAGTCATAAATTACAATTGACAACAAAAGTGATCCGAACACAGTCGAGCAGAAAATTTACATCAGATGATCTCGAAAGGACTTAACAGTGCTTCTTGTTCATTTAACTGTGGAATCCGGATAAAGTCATGTATTTCACTATCGCACCAATGCGCACTGACTATTGGGTCAATGGTGCGATGAAGTAATTGACCGGAGCATTAAATTGGCAGTGCTGATGACGCCATGCAGTGCGAAAGTGCAACGATGATGTTGCAATGTCGCGATGGTACTAGGCCGATGGTGCAATGTCATGATGGTACTAGGCCGATGGTGCAATGGAGTGATAGCGAGCAATGCTTCATAGTCATGACATCGTCACTGCACAGTCGCATTATCACTATCGTATCATCGCATCAGCGCTATCGCTCCATTTGTCATCGTCATCGCATCATCGTGCTATATATAATACTGTGATAGTGACCTATGTGGCCCTATCCGGATTCCACAGTTATCGTCTGTTCAGTTGCATATACAACAGAAAGAGTATCTTTCCGGAGTCAAATTAGCAAGAATGGAGAAAATAAGACAGACCAGACCTGGATTACGACCTAGGTCACCGTTTTACAAAAGAACTTACAACTAAGACCAAAATGTAATTTTGTGAATAACTTTTTAATTTGCATTTAGTTTGAAAATGGTTTTAATCTTTTAAACAAAATATTTAGAAAGATATTTTTACTCAAGCAGTTTTTAACAGAATTGTTCATTTTGCAAGATTTTACAATCAACCTAACTCTTTGGTCTTAGGCGTAAGTTCTTTTGTAAAACGCGCCCCTGGTCCGTTGTCTAATCAAGTTCTACCAACTAAATTATCTGACCAACGAACCTGCTTGACGATGACCAGCTTCAATAAGACGCAGGGATAAATGGAGCAAGGCAATATTTTCTCCTAGTCACGTCACATCATTTAAAATGGACATTTTGAATAAGGATGAGGGATTTTTATATAAAGAAAAAACGTATGCAACTTGCTTAGGTACTTTTTAACACAAGACGCTGAAATGCACTGGTCAATCGCTTTGAAGTGAACCTTTGTTATTTGACAAACGGGACGATTTCAGATTTTACACTTCCCACCACTATTTATGTAGAATATTCCACTAGCACCTGCGTGTTTGCGAAATGCTGACTTTAAACTAGATTGATGAATGTTCTGTATTATCAATTTCTTTGTCAGTATCCTGCCCTGGTTTAAAAATTGATCGTACTCTGAGCATGCTCTTGTGTGTCGAATCAGCTGGGAGACAAAAATATTTTTACAAATCTGACATTGTCGCTTTCCGTGTCATTTTGGGTGAAAAAGACTAGTGTTCGAGCGGATGTGCAGCAGTGTACACTTCTAATGTTATTACAGGTATATTTGCAGTGTTTTTATAAATTCATGTTAACTGATTTCCATGGTTTTATCATTATAGGTGATTTTCATGCATTTTAAGTATTATCTAATTTTACACCAAATGCATGCATAAGTTTTTTCTTCTTCTTGTTAGTTATTTAAAATCTAGGCTTTTATTCACATCTTCATTATGAATAATGAACTAAGGAATTTGTGAAGGGTTGGCTATGTCAAAACTACACATAAGTCCCCCCACCCTACCCCATAAATTATGTGATAAATTAGGCTTTTCGCGATTTGTGAAATCCTCTACCCTTGGCAAAGGAAAATAATTTGAAAGTCGTCTATTGTAGGAGTTTGCGTTTCATTTGATGCCACGCTCTAGCTGTCGTTTAATACTTCTCGTTTATTAATTATTATCAGACTATTATGTTTTTCAACCCAATCTTAGTACATTATGTGGCCACAAGTAAGTCATAGTTTAATTTTTATTTCACTGTTCATGTATATTTCATTGAAATATATATGACGTCAATTTTAGCCCAATATTCATGACTTTTTCAGTTCATTTTTTTTTCTTTTTCCAGGATCCTAAGCGAAATTGAAAAAAAAAATGAAATCGTCAAGGCAAAAATTACTAGAAGTGTTCCATAACCAATATATATGTGCCGTAAAATTTTTATTTCGCTTATGATTCGTGATATCACCACAATGCATATGATAATTACGTAAAGATTAAACTGCAAAAAGCTGCATTTTAGGATGTTATATAGATCTACATATACTAATAACGTTGCAATATTTTTAAAAGGTATTTTCAATGAAATATATAATGAAAATACAATAAATAGCTCAGTCAATTATTGCCAGATACTGTAGATCGATGTATTCTCTATTAAGAAGTTGATCGCTCGTCCCCCTCACAACAGAGAATAACTGTAGATGTAGCATTAGACTAGTTCAGTTCAGTAAAGGAAACCCCTCCTTTGTATAAGGACCACCCGAGAAGTAGGTATAATAAAAAGAAATAAAATTATAATTTAGAGTAAAGAGTTGAAAAAAGTTAGTAAAACCTAATCTAATGTGCAATAAATAGAATTACCGTAAGAGTGATAGCCTTTTATTTCTTCATTTTTAAATGAATCTAAAAAGTTTCGTATAATATATTACAGGCTTTTTTGTAAGGAAAAAAGTTCAACATTACCTTCTTGTACTTTTCAGGTCATTTCTAGTTTCACTTTCAAGACACCGTAACCAAGCAATGGTGTGTCAACTTCCGCTGTTAATGTAAATACAAAATGGCTGGGATACCGGACTACATCGAGAGAAAAGGCTCTCTGTTCTTAAGATCAAATCATATGAACTATGGAAGGGCCACATTAAACTCGAACTGGTATGTTATATAGTTCACAGCAAATTGTCTGAATTGATAAGCTTTATTTTAACTTTTCCTTTCAATGCAACTCATTTCGAATTTTCTCGGTATTAACTTCCCATTTTATAGATGATTACTTGTTGTGTGTTATTGTGTGTTCTTGCAAAGTAAAAGAAAAATAATAATCCAAGTAGAGTTATACAGTACACATTTCAGACTATAATGAGGTCGCTATATAAGTTAAATAGAAATTGTATTGGACCTAAGGGAAAAAAAATTGGTTTTTTTAACTATTACATGCCAATAAAAAATAGGGTCGGCAGATAGGATTTTTTAAAAGAATTTTTTTTAAACATTTGCACATAAAGGAGAAATGTCACAGTTTGTCACATCTTGTGGCATTTTATTAAAATCATCTCTCACAGGTCTTCTTCAAGTACATGTTGCTCCAAAAATCTTCAGTGCAACATTAGGCAACTTTTTTTTTTTATATCTATTTGTCTGAATGGAATAATCTCCCCCTGGAACACGCTTACAAAACATTGTGCTTTTTGCACAAGACAATGAGTAATAAAATATACACTATATATGGAATACAAGTTGTATATGATTGTTTTATATACCACTAATAAGCTTGGAACAGGGTCCAATATTCCCAATTTGTTTAAATAAGCAAGCAAAACTCTTGTGTTTTGATTTCATTTTTATCCCTCCACAAGGGTTAAGCAAAGAAAGCATCTTACTTTACTATACCTTCAATACAACTATATATTTAAACAAAGCAAATTTTATACATACAGGCAAACTGGTATTTTTCAAAAACGGATATATTGATGACAAGACACAAAATAAAAGTGCAACCCTGCTTGAAATCAGTAACAATTGGAAAATTATCAATATGTGGAAAAGTGAATAATCACTTTAGGTCCTTTTTTCTACTTTGTAAAAGATTATAGCAATTGACAGAATGAAGTGTGATTCATAATAAAAGCATGCAAGGTATGTTGACACTTTCAAAAAAAAAAGAAGACCATCGAAGCTGAACTTTGGATGTCTTGAAAACCCGGATATAGCAACTTTTTTTTCCCCCTCCAATTGAGTTAGCGATAATGAGGTTTGACTGTATATATTTATTGTTATATGTATTTACAACTTTCAGGCACCAGGCCAGAGAGGCAGAGCCAAAAGATTACGACATTAGTCTAGGAGATGAACGTAATCTGTGTAAAGCTACATACAACAGGATAGGAGATGTAACTGATGGGGTAAGTTAGATTACATATAACAGGATAGGAGACGTAACTGATGGGGTAAGTTAGATTTCATATAACAGGATAGGAGACGTAACTGAAGGGGTAAGTTAGATTACATATAACAGGATAGGAGACGTAACTGATGGGGTAAGTTAGATTACATATAACAGGATAGGAGACATAACTGATGGGGTAAGTTAGATTACATATAACAGGATAGGAGATGTAACTGATGGGGTAAGTTAGATTACATATAACAGGATAGAAGACATAACTGACGGGGTAAGTTAGATTACATATAACAGGATAGGAGACATAACTGACGGGGTAAGTTAGATTACATATAACAGGATAGGAGACATAACTGACGGGGTAAGTTAGATTACATATAACAGGATAGGAGACGCAACTGATGGGGTAAGTTAGAATACATACAACAGGATAGGAGATGTAACTGATGGGGTAAGTTAGATTACATACAACAGGATATGAGACGTAACTGATAGGGTATGTTAGATTACAATTATAACAGGATAGGAGATGTAGCTGATGGGGTAAGTTAGATTACATATAACAGGATAGGAGATGTAACTGATGGGGTAAGATAGATTACATATAACAGGATAGGAGATGTAACTGATGGGGTAAGTCAGATTACATATAACAGGATAGGAGATGTAACTGATGGGGTAAGTCAGATTACATATAACAGGATAGGAGATGTAGCTGATGGGGTAAGTTAGATTACATATAACAGGATAGGAGATGTAACTGATGAGGTAAGTTAGATTACATATAACAGGATAGAGATGTAACTGATGGGGTGAGTTAGATTACATATAACAGGATAGGAGATGTAATTGATGGGGTAAATTAGATTACATATAACAGGATAGGAGACATAACTGATGGGGTAAGTCAGATTACATATAACAGGATAAGAGACGTAACTAATGGGGTAAGGTCGATTACATATAACAGGATAGGAGATGTAACTGATGGGGTAAGTCAGATTACATATAACAGGATAGGAGATGTAGCTGATGGGGTAAGTTAGATTACATATAACAGGATAGGAGATGTAACTGATGGGGTAAGTTAGATTACATATAACAGGATAGAGATGTAACTGATGGGGTGAGTTAGATTACATATAACAGGATAGGAGATGTAATTGATGGGGTAAATTAGATTACATATAACAGGATAGGAGACATAACTGATGGGGTAAGTCAGATTACATATAACAGGATAAGAGACGTAACTAATGGGGTAAGTTCGATTACATATAACAGGATAGGAGCTGTAACTGATGGGGTAAGTTAGATTACATAAAACAGGATAGGAGATGTAACTGATGGGGTAAGTTAGGTTACAATTATAACAGGATAGGAGATGTAACTGATGGGGTAAGTTAGATTACAATTACAACAGGATAGGAGATGTAACTGATGGGGTAAGTTAGATTACATGTAACAGGATAGGAGATGTAACTGATGGGGTAAGATAGATTACATATAACAGGATAGGAGATGTAACTGATGGGGTAAGTTAGATTACATATAACCGGATAGGAGATATAACTGATGGGGCAAGTTAGATTACATACAACAGGATAGAAGATTTAACTAATGGGGTAAGTTAGATTACATACAACAGGATAGGAGACGTAACTGATAGGGTATGTTAGATTACAATTATAACAGGATAGGAGATGTAACTGATGAGGTAAGTTAGATTACATATAACAGGATAGGAGACTTAACTGATGGGGTAAGATAGATAACATACAACAGGATAGGAGATTTACTGGGTAACAGATTACATACAAAGGATAGGAGGTGTAACTAATGGGGTAAGGTAGATTACATACATTACAACAGGATAGGAGATGTATATGATGGGGTAAGTTAGATTACATATAACAGGATAGGAGATTTACTCGGGTAACTGATGGGGTAAGTTTAATAACATACATTCAAATTTGGACACATTCTTTATAAAAGTTTGGACTCCTATTGTACATGGCCACATGTAGATTCCTGTTGCACTTAACATATCACACATGTGCTAATGAAAGTCTTAATTTGTTTTTAGTCCCTGAACAAGACTACTTATCAAGATCATGCTGAACAAACCAATCTAAAGAAGGATTTTGAGGAACAAGTTGTGAGGACACCAATGATGAACATGAATACTGTGGAACATGCTCACCTTGACAGGTAAATTTAGCTGCAAATATAACAGATAGTGTTAAATACTAACCGTAAACAAGTGCATGTATAGTTTATTGTATACCTTTGCAGGTGAACAGTAAACAAGGAATGAATACTAGATTCCCAAAACTCATGTTCATTATGCTCACTTATGAACACAATTCTATGTTTCAGTTATGTATTTTTTATCTACTAGAGATTTAGGCACACCTCAGCGGGGATTTGGTGCAGTTCTACCGAGGCATAATCCCGAGTACAATAAATGCCACTTAGAAACAACTCACAGAGCAGACTATCAACCCCCAGACTCAGATTACACCCCTGTCCCTGTAAGTCTCCAGCTCCAAAACTTGCTCTTTTTAATCAATTGTTCTACAAAAGTTTATATCTACCTCTACACTTCTGGTGGTTTCTTTGTAAATGATAATCAGTCAGCCATCATAATGTTCTTTATTATTGTGATAAAGTATTGAATCATTTTTTGATTGGGTCTAAACACCTCTTGCAAGTTTTCTTGCAAGGAGGATGTGTTTATACAAATATTGGGCTTAAACATTGAATTATACTTTTGCACTTTACATGTGTATGCAGCTGTAAGTTATACAAGACATATCACGGTATAAAGATGAAAATTTGCAATTTATTCACACCAAGTGTGACTTGTAGCCAGTGTTTGCAGCTAATAGCATTTTTACTCATCAGTCCACAGGAACAATAACCATGTAGAGTTATTGGCCCTGTACAAGATTTGTCTGCTCTTCTGGTGACAGGATAAAATGTATATCATCAAAGGATTATTTACATATACTGATTAACATTTTTCAGTTGCATGTCCTTAGCTTAATGTCTGAATTAATTTTTTTTATCTTTCAAAATTATAGTAGCTTTTTATCTTTCTGCATCGACTAAATTAAAATCAAGAGCATAGATGACAAAAGAAATGATACATTTTGTGCAGACTGAAAGTGAAACATGAAGGAGTTTGATGTTTGATGTTGTATTCGGTTACACATGTATATAGTGTGTACTCCCTCCTTCTTTGGATATTTCTTTTGCTGAAAATTGAGGATGTTTTACATATTACATGTATGTCCCGATGATAGCGATGGTGTAGCAAGAATTATTACAGAAAATAGCTGAAAAATGAAAATTATAAGCAAAGCAAACAATTTTATTTTACTTTTTATAATTTACCGAGGCTATTATTGGTGAATTTTTTGGTCTAATAAATCAAATCTAATTTATTTACTGGCACAACGAACAGACAAAATTTTAAATCTGTTGATCCTCTCTAATATTTGTCAGTCTCAGGCCATTGAACAGGTGTTAAGGTCGAAGACTACTTGAAGCACACAAAATATCAATCAAATCTAAAATTATATTCTTTACACTTAAGAAATTATTATGAAGACTCAAATTTTCTCCACAATTATTAACAATATAAATGTAATTGCACAGCTGTACTCTCTCCATGTTGTTCATGAGGAAATGTATTTTCTTCTACATATTTATTAAATTGTTTTCAAAATACTGTTGTTGTCAGAAATACTGACATAAATCAAAAATACTGTATGTGTAAAGTACGTCATAAAATTGGCCCATATTAACGTTCTTTTACAGTGTTAGTTTATGGCATTACCCATTATTAACTCAATCAGCAGTTTGCTGAGGTGTCATATTTCCAGATACAATGTTCATATTTTGTTATTTTGTCCTGCAACTGTTATCAGATGACTAAAACCAAGCTTCCATGTAAAATGACAATGCACATCCATTCTCTAACATCTCATTGTTTACAAATTCTTACAGGAGAAGCCTGCTGATTTTCCTGACCTGTCAGCTGCATACAGGAAATGTAACTCTCAGTTTACGGACACTGCCGACTATCGGCGCCCTGGCCGCAACACTTGGCAGGACGAGAGTGGAGTGTACGCTAATACACACTACAAACGACAGGTCATCCGGAGCACTAATCCCATCCCTCCACAAACCTCCTGAGGCCCCACAGGAGGGCAATCTCTGTATATACTGTGTACATAATCTAGAGCTGTTAGTGTCAATAAAGTCCTGTTATTCACAAGTCCTTAACTTGTTTGTTTATTGAACCTAGTGTTAAATTCTAAATATATTTTATCTGTTCTTTTGTCATATATTGTTCTAAAAAGAATGTATGAATTTGCAAATTTAAGTTGGGTGCGATTTTCACTTTTTCGGGAAAAAAAAAAGCCATTTGTTTGTTTTCTGTTTTTAATATTTTTGTACAAATAAATTTCAGTGTACATATCAACATAAACTCCTGACATACATATAAATCCAGATCTAAGTGTACAAAAACATGAAAACAGATAGTAAGGCCTAAACTTTAAATTCAACATCACTTGTACAAATACCCCCTTTCATGACATCACTGACAAATTACAATGTATCAAGTTTTTAGGGTCATAAGATACCCAAAATCCAGAGGAAGTGGGGGTTCTATCAAAGCTACCTGTATTTTGTTTAATTTGCTACATGGTAAAATTAGAGTAATTCATATTTATTTTAGGGATTTCATATTTTCATGCTTTTGCATTGATTTCAATAAAGATAAAGCATAAATTTGGGGATGTAAAGGTAAGGCTGGTTTGATAGGAAAAGTAAGGCTGGTTTGATAGGAAAATTTCATGATAAATACATGTATGTGTGTTTTACCAATAATAAAGCATGAACTAAACTGTTTTACAAATTCTGTAATATATTTTTGGGGTATCTTATGTCCTTAAATAGCAGGTACAGCTAAATATGTTATCTTTCATAAATTTTGAGAAAAAATTGAAAACATTAAAAAAAATGACAAAATTACTACACAAGGGATATTTCTAAAAGGGATGAGTTTCATTTCCTGAACTTATGCTGAACAAAAGATTGACAGTGCATACATTTCATTTCTAAAACCATAGATACTTATGTACAATGTATAATTCATAATTGATATAAAATGACTTTAAAAGTTTCTGAATATAAAAAAACAAATAAAAAAGTCATGTTTTATCATTATTAAAAGGGATTTCTGAGAAGGTGACATGATTTAAAAAACAAACATTAAAAAAAAAAACAAATATAAACTACCAGACATGGAAATAAAATTAACGAGATTATTCTGTCAAATCTTTCATTCGGCAAAATATAAACTTTCATTGGAAAAGAAAAAAAAATTGCTAGAATGTTCTCTTGATTACATTTAGAACATGACCAAATTTTTTAAAAATTATGGATAAAATGAATTAGTACAATTAAGCCAAACCTAATTTTTTTTTTTCAAAATAATATTTCACTTCATACTAATATATGCCAAATCATTTTGATTTGTACATTTATGTGACCTACATGTTTCATTCACACCCTAACTTGTATACTGAACAGAAAATTCTTTCCTTCATCTAATTATTGATCAAATGATAAATTTCATAAGTTGCAAACCTTTCTAGCAATTTTTTTCTTTTTATATTATTGAAGTCTTTTTAACTGATCTTGAATCTCAATAAAAATTACCCTGTTAGTGAGCAACAAATGCTGTTGTCTTTTAATTATTGCACATACAATGAGATTGGTTTTTGAATTCAGTTAAGTGGACACTTGTTGAGTGTTATGTCTCCAGTTATATCCTTAGCTCCTGCAAAGTATTTAGGTTGGTAGGATTCATCTTTACCACGTCTGATCTCAAAGTTACGCATACATCCTGAAAAATTTCTGTCGACCAAAATACCACGGCGGTTAAAATCTGAAAATACAACAACGAAAGATAAAACTTCACAAGAAATTGGTTTGTCATTATAAGGTTATAACATCTAACTCTGTTTTTTTACTGTTTTCCATTCTTTATCAAAGGGTAAGAATCACACATAGAGCATTAGGTAAAACTGAGGTCTGGTTAAATGTACAAACAATAGGGTTTGTTGGAATATAAATAGGTAAATGGAGATTGAAGGTACCTGGAACTCCACCGAGGTATAAGGGGTCATTAGAATTAATTTCCGAGGATCCTCTTGTCCCAGTCCCAGCAGGAGCATTCATTCCATCCACAGTCAACAAAAGGAGGTTCTTAGCCTTGTTCACTAGTAATAAAAAACGAATCCACTTAAAAAATACATAAAGAGAATAACTGTGTGTTAATTTAAGCTTCATACAAATAAAATCTGGCTTTCCTAGACATTACTGATAGATTAAACTCACCGCTGATTCTATGCCATTCTCCATCACACAGTGCATTCTCCTGGCGGGGGATATACGTGGTAGTTACCTCCCCTTTACCATTGTCAGCTGTGGCAATGACCTACAAAACAAAAACAATTAAAAGGACACCTCATTAAACACTGATGTGACAAATCTTATATAATCATAATGATGTAATGAAGATATCACATTCAGATATTGAGGCCATAGAGAAAATTAGGGTGAAGTGATGAAGACACGATGTGATGAAGATAACATCATCAAACACTGCAGTGATGAAGATAACATCAGATGCTGATGTGACATTCTATATTGGTTGTACCTTTCCATCCACTAGCTGTAGGAGGATAAAGTCATCACTGCTGTTTGAACTGTGAACTGCCAAGATGACACCACTCAGATTTCTTGGTCTGATGTCCAGATTAAATGCAAAGTCAAGACCCACATAATATTTGTCATCTATAAAAAAAAAAATCATGCTTTTAATCACTGCAAAGCTGGAGTTGGTATGCAGTTTCCTACACGCAAGAAGAGAAAAGTATAACATTTGTACCCTTATAAAGGGTGTTAAAATCTTTAGAAAGACTGTAAGATACTATTCTCCTTTAGAACCCAATGAAATCTAAGTCAAACTTACACAAAGTGATGTATCCTCCCTGGTCATTGAAAAATGTTCCCCGCTCTAGGTTAGCTACACATTGACTGACTTTTTGTTCCTGCACAGGTTCTCCAAAGCTTTCATCATTAATCTTCATATTACGGATACATCCATCAAAACTTCCCAAAACACCCTGTTAGAAACAAGTAGAGAGCTATGAACTACTTCACCTTACCCAAACACACAAGAGTTAGACAGTGCAGTTAACTAACTCCTACTAGCAGTTTCTGCATATAAATGTGACTAGAGACCCATGGGCCACAATGCTCACCTGAGTCACTAATGGCCCAACTATTCTGAGGTTGGGGATTTACTTTTACTTCAAAATAACTAATTTCAATATAAGTAGAGTAGGGTGTGCTAGTAAAAAATTTAAATTTTTGACACCTGTATATTATTTTTGGGCGTGTACGTAAGTTAAACACACCTGTAGATGACCCTTGACTTTGTCATGTGCCTGAAGCTGTGGAGTAATACCCCCCAAAAAGTATGGTCTTCCAACGTTCAGTGCCTGTGTAGAACCAGGGGATGTTCCCTCCTTTGCAGTTTCTCCATCCACTGAAATTTTCCCTGTCTTCTGGACTCGACCAAAGTCCACTGTGTGCCATTTGCCATCATTGTAGGTTTGGTCAGTTTCCAGATTCAGTGCCCTTGAGCCACAGTCAAAAGAAAAGACAAGGCGTCCCTCCTTCATAGTGAGGGCGAAAAAGTCTATCTTCCTTCTGCCAACAGCGTACAGTATGACTCCTCCACTGCTGGTAGTCTTAAACTCAAGTGATATTGTAAACCTGTAAGATCACATCTGTATTAGTAGTCTCCCTTTGAATTTACCTTGCCTCTATAAATTTGCTCTCACTCCATGCAAGTGATTAAACCAGTATATCATGAACTTACATGATTACAAATATTTAAACTTCTACGAACATGCAATATATATCTTTATGAATAAAAAGAAAGCAAAATTTGACTTAAACATGTCTAGAGAATATATCTTAAAATTGAGGATTCTTTCTTACTTGACTCGCAGACTCTTCCAATTGTTATACTGGTATCGACTTGTCAAAGTGTCTCCAAACTTGATGCCTTCTACTTCTCCTGGGGTAACTGAACCTACATCCACATTCTGAGATAGGCGACACTTCTCCTCCACTGGTACTGGTGCAGTGGTTGATTTCTCTTCACCTGTCACAAGACAAAACAGTCATTTACAAAAACTCCTAAGTAACAGCTATAATGATACATGTACACTCTGTCTGGGGGCATGTGCCAGTCAACAGAATGGCATATTTAATTTACATATAGTAATTTGTGGAGCTGAATTTAGATAAATATATAAGATGGAGATTTGGTATTTTCCAGGGATTTTTATTTTGAGATACATGTACATTAAGTAAAGAATTCAAATGGGGCCTGAACATACCTGCTGAATCATAAATTTAGAGCATAACAGTTTGATATTGCACGGCATATGAGAATTTCACAGAATTCAATATCACATATTGAGCATTGCATTTCTATACTACATTTAAATATAGGAGTACTGTCTATTTTAATACATTCTAATGAAAATAGAAACATAACTTTTGAGGGGGGGGGGATAAATTGTTAACAAATTTAATACAAAATACAGACAAAATTTTAAAAACATTCAGTTAAAATACAAAAAGCAGAAATTCTGTTTCATTATGGTTGAATTTTATTTAAACAAAAAATGATGTTTGAAGATAAATTTGCATAATACTGTCTATGCATCAGACATTCACTATTACTCGAAAAAATTCTAGACTGACTCAAGTTAAAAGTTTAATGGGAGACAGAATACTCACTTTCAGGGGGGAATGTTGGACGAACAGTTGTCCTGGAAACAGGGGTCTCTGAATCCTCTATAGGACACTCGCTGAATGAGACACCTCTGACATTTTGTCGTGGAACAGTGGCAAAGTTCAGGAAACTGTTTGATGAGAAAAATGAATTCACCTCTTTGTTTAATCATTTCAAACATAAAAAATATTTTTGCTCTTAAATTGAAATGTTAGTGATACATTCTAAAATGTCTCTTACACTCCATTGATTGTAAAATCTGACACACATCCAGAAAACCTCGCTGTGGATGACACCAGACTATCTGACATAGTGAAGTCTGTGCCTCCAATATACAGAGGGCGCTCCGTGAGTACAGCTGTTCCTGACCGGCCAGTCTTATTGAGCATTTCCTGATCATCAATGTTCATCATCAACCTAGAAAATAACACACAAAGTTAAAAGCAATAACATATACAAATATTAAATAGCACACTTACTTTAATGGTAATGTTAAATCTGTTGTATCAAAATGTGGACACAAATTTTCCCGAATGTCAAGGTCAGCTAAAGGCCTTACTTTGCTCCCATTTTCATAATGGAGACATAGTGCCAGTTTCCATCATTGTATGTGTTGACCGTGCTCTCCAGAACAGTAGGGTCACCGCCAGGGTCAGAGGTCACTATCAAACGACCTCCCACAATTGCCACTGAGAATCCAGAGGTCTGAAATATAAAAATAATTTTACAAAATTGCTGCCTATAAATAGTTTCAAAACTGATAAAAAAGACTTTCAAATTATGAAAAAAAAAAACTGAAGAGTGAGGAGATGATTTTCAATTTTTATTTTTGTGAGCATTCAAATATTAGAAGTATATGTACAGTATTTACTTCTCTGATCTTACAAGTAAAATCTTTTGTAAAGTTCTGCTACTACCTGGTCATTGTTGGATGTATAAAGGATCATACTAGCATCAGATTTTGTCTTAATCCTAAAGGTCACATCAAAATTGGTGCCAACGCTAGCTGTCATAGCTTTGGCAATATATCCTCCATCTTTGTCAAATGTGGCAGTTCTCAAGATCTAAAAAGACAGAAATTAGCTATTAACTATCCCAAAATACAAAGTACACAGAAATAAGCTATAAACTATCCAAAGTACAAAGTACACAGAAATCAGCTATTAATTATCCCAAAGTACAAAGTACACAGAAATCAGCTATTAATTATCCCAAAGTACAAAGTACACAGAAATCAGCTATTAATTATCCCAAAGTACAAAGTACACAGAAATCAGATATACTGAAATGCAAAAGAAACGCAACATCCTATTTGGGGGGAAAATATGATATACAGAATAAAACTTTGTACCTTAAAAGTAAGGACATCTTCAGCTTTCCAAATATCGATAATTTAATGGTTGAATGATTTTCATACCATTACCAGGGTTTGAGCCCACTCAACAAAATCAAAAATTGGATGTTAAACAAAACATGTGGCAATAATTTAGGGGTTTTAAGGGTTTCTAGCTGTTCATCATAAATAATGCAGCAATATTCCAAAAAATAAATTCTCCTTTCTTTTCATGAAGCAATGCCAAGGCTTCCTGAAAATGACTTAAGAATGCATATCCATTGCTCTAGCTGGAAATTCTCAAAATATAATTCATTGATGGATATTTGCAGATGCAAATACACACTACGTCATGCCTCAACAGGCTCGTATGTATCATTAGCATGAACAACAGTCCGTGGACTGGAAGTCCAAGGGTTATTACACTGCGCTAAGTTCGAGAATATTCAACCTCATCATCCGAAAAACAGGAACTTAAAAATGCCAAAGAATATTTCTTTCACTCAGATCTCGAGATTGATGAACCTAATGCTTCGTAGAAATCAAGCTGCCATTGCTGTGCATGGTGGCTTGCACACTGGAATTGAAGGGCAGGGGGAGGGGGGTGTTCTAACATTATGTATTACTTTCTAAAGTTAAAAGATAATCATTCAACATTTTTATCAAATCTCTGATGTTTTTAAATCGAGTTTTACCTTACTGTATTCAGTTTTGAAAATCATACGCTGCTTGTTGCGTATCTTTTACGTTTCGGTATATAAACTATTCCAAAGTACAAAGTACACAGAAATCAGCTATTAACTATTCCAAAACACAAAGTAGACAGAAATTAGCTATTAACTATCCCAAAGTACAAAGTAGACAGAAATTAGCTATTAACTATCCTAAAGTACAAAGTAGACAGAAATTAGCTATTAACTATCCCATAGTACAAGGTAGACACAGGAGAATATAAATACAAATATTGATGTTGCTAGCTACTTGTATATTATACATGTACATAATATGTTATAGAAGCAGGCATGTAGGAAACAAATATTGATGTTGCTAGCTACTTGTATACATGTATTATACATGTACATAAATACAGTCCAGTACATTATGAACAAGAGGCCCATGGGCCACAATGCTCACCTTAGTTACTTTGGCCCTGCTGTTCTTCACCAGACCCCCCTCCCTTGTAATACCTATTGTGGCCCCACATGATTTGAACAATTTAGAATCTACACTACCCAAGGATGCTTCCACATAAGTTTCAGCTTTTCTGGCCCAGTGGTTCTTGAGAAGAAGATTTTTTTAAGATTTTGCCTATGTATTTCAATGTAAAACTTTGATTCCCTATTGTGGTCCCGCCCTACACCCCAGGGGCCATGATTTGAACAATTTAGAATCTACACTGACCGAGGATGCTTCCATATAAGTTTCAGCTTTCCTGCCCCAGTGGTTCTTGAAAAGAAGATTTTTAAAGATTTTTTCTATATATTTCAATGTAAAACTTTGATTCCCTATTGTGGTCCCGCCCTACCCCCGGGGGCCATGATTTGAAAAATTTAGAATCTACACTGACCAAGGATGCTTCCATATAAGTTTCAGCTTTTCTGGCCCAGTGGTTCTTGAAAAGAAGATTTTTAAAGATTTTTTCTATATATTTCAATGTAAAACTTTGATTCCCTATTGTGGCCCTGCCCTACCCCCGGGGGCCATGATTTGAAAAATTTAGAATCTACACTGACCAAGGATGCTTCCATATAAGTTTCAGCTTTTCTGGCTCAGTGGTTCTTGAGAAGAAGATTTTTAAAGATTGTTCCTATATATTTCAATGTAAAACTTGTATTTCCTATTGTGGCCCCGCCCTACCCCAGGGGGTCATGATTTGAACAATTAGAATCTACACTACCCCAGGATGCTTCCACATAAGTTTCAGCTTTTCTGGCTCAGTGGTTCTTGAGAAGAAGATTTTTAAAGATTGTTCCTATATATTTCAATGTAAAACTTGTATTTCCTATTGTGGCCCCGCCCTACCCCAGGGGGTCATGGTTTGAACAATTTAGAATCTACACTACCCCAGGATGCTTCCACATAAGTTTCAGCTTTTCTGGCTCAGTGGTTCTTGAGAAGAAGATTTTTAAAGATTGTTCCTATATATTTCAATGTAAAACTTGTATTTCCTATTGTGGCCCCGCCCTACCCCAGGGGGTCATGATTTGAACAATTTAGAATCTACACTACCCCAGGATGCTTCCACATAAGTTTCAGCTTTTCTGGCTCAGTGGTTCTTGAGAAGAAGATTTTTTAAAGATTGTTCCTATATATTTCAATGTAAAACTTGTATTTCCTATTGTGGCCCCGCCCTACCCCAGGGGGTCATGATTTGAACAATTTAGAATCTACACTACCCCAGGATGCTTCCACATAAGTTTCAGCTTTTCTGGCTCAGTGGTTCTTGAGAAGAAGATTTTTTAAAGATTTTTCCTATATATTTCAATGTAAAACTTGGATTCCCTATTGTGGCCCCGCCCTACCCCCGGGGGTCATGGTTTGAACAATTTAGAATCTACACTACCCCAGGATGCTTCCACATAAGTTTCAGCTTTTCTGGTCCAGTGGTTCTTGAGAAGAAGATTTTTTAACGACCCACCCTATTTTTGTCTTTTCTTGATTATCTCCCCTTGTAAGGGGACTTGGCCCTTTATTTTAACAATTTAAACTCCCCTTCCCCCAAGGATACTTTGTACCAAGTTTGGTTAAAATTGGCCCAGTGGTTCTTGAGAAGAAGTTGAAAATGTGAAAAGTTTACAGACGGATGGACGGACGGACGACGGACAACGGGTGATCAGAAAAGCTCACTTGAGCTTTCAGCTCAGGTGAGCTAAAAACTGTAATATTACAATTTTCCATAATATAGTGCAAGTAAAAGTTATCTCCCCCATTGTAAAAATAAATCTAATGCTTGATCAAATCTGCATCTAGCTCACAGCTGGGCCAGTACTATCACTTACTATACGAATAAGAAGTAAAGTAGATACCTAAGGAGTATCATGTATCTTATCTATGCCTTTAGATTGGTTTTATACAAGATTATCAGCTGGATAATCATTAGTGCATTAGTTACAATATGAAAGAACCATGATGGTCGGAGCAAAACTAGGAAGGACGGAGACATAAAAACAGTATTGGGTCACTAGGTCAACTTCAAACTATAGAAGAAAATTAGTGCCAATCCCAGAAAAAATTCTCTTTGGCAGATATTGACATCCAAAGAGTGCACTATGTCAAAGAAAGTGAAAAATAAGCAATAATATTGGACTATTTCTTTACCCTGCACCATGAAAACAATTAAAACAGAAGATGGGAACCAAAATATTAGTATAATGAAGTATTTGTAAGGCTTAATTTAATATTTGCACAACATTATCTATATTACAATTTTCCATAATATTACAATTTTTCATAATACATGTATAGTTATATTATGAAAAATTGTAATATAAAATCTTATATTACAGAAAACTGTAATATTACAGTTTTTCATAATGGACTGGAGTGTAATATGTTACAGAAGCAGGCATGTAGGAAACAAATATTGATGTGGCTGGCTACTTGTATAATATACATATACATAATACACTACCTGTTCTGGGCATCCACGGACTACGCCTTTGGCAACCTCATTCTTGTTCAGATCCCATTTGTTGATATTAAATTGTAAATCTCGTATACAGCCGTCAAAGCCGCGGGACGTAACATTACTACAACAAACGTAAACATATACAACACCGAGTATGTAATCTTGTCACATATATACTGTATCAAGTTCACAAATAGCTTCGTATAAACTGTCATATGCTGCTCTTTGAAAACATTTGCTTTAAAAAAAATTCTGATTGAATATAGTTCTTTATAGAGAGAGCAGTGATGGAAATCATACCTCATAGGGAGGAAGATTCTGTTGTAACCACCAATAAACATATCATCTGTAAAGCTCAGCTCTTTCATGCTTCCTGGTGACTGGCCCCTGATGTCTACAAAAATACAGTCAACATGGAATACAAATTAAGCTTATAAAAACTTACTGCTGCTAATTTGTTACAATCGTGAGGAACTCCCATATCAATATAAACACCAAATTACACACATGTACACTGAACCCAAAGTTTTAGGATTACATTATAAATGAAAATGGAATTTCTTTGTTTAATACAGAATGCATTCTAAAAATGATTCTTTAATATATTCAGAATGTACAATAAACAAGATTCTCCTTTACCTTCTCCATCGTCCACAGTGAGTACACCAAACTGGTTCTGTCTCTGGGCCTGAATCTTGTGCCATTCTCCATCATTAAATGTCCTATTTGTGATCAGTTCTGCTCTCCTGTTGCCACCTAGATCATACTGAAACAATACTCGTCCCTTCTTCAGCTCCAGAGACATAAAGTCCGGGGTTTTACCCATGTAGAATAGCAGTCCCGTGTCTACGTATGTCTTAAAGTGAAGGATGAGACTGGATTCCGTGCGAGGTTTGAAGTTGACCTTGGACACACTTAATTTTACGTAACCTTTGCCATTAAATCTGAAGCCATTGGATATAACTGACTGCATAACATCTCTGTCAAGCAGAAAGATGAAAAGATCAGTTGATAATAATACTCTTATATAGGACATAGACAAATCTAAACTGTTATTTATGTTTTCTTTCACCATCTCTTAAATCAAAACCCAATATCTGTCTCAGTCAAACTCATCAACTGGATAAAATTGATATGAAACCACCCTATAAATATAGTCATTTTGAATTTCCTTATTAGTATCAATTCTCTATTATTGATTACGAGGGGTGATCAAAAAGTTCGCAAACTAATTGAATTCCTTCCTTAAAAGAAATTAAATGAGGTTTCGGTGCTCATTATTTTTTAAAGTAGTCCTCTCCGATTATAATGCACATCTGCCATTGTTCTGCCCATGTGCGAATCTCATGATCCAGGCATGCAGTCACGTGACATGCTCCTTGGGTTCTGTTCAGAGAAGCTAAAAGATTTTTCCGAGTCTTATATTTCTTATCATGCAAGTTATTTTTTGTAACAAGAACAGTCCATCTTTCAGAAATGGCCAAATCTCGACAATAGGATGGGTGAATAAGGACATCCCTTCCCAGAATTAGCATGGTGATCATCAAAACCCGAGTTCTCTGTCTCGGAAGCGTCATTATCCAATGTGGAAAAATTATGGACGACCTCTTTTTATCATATCTCATATGTTTAAAGTCTAAAGTAAGCGATATTTTAGGGATTTAATAATTATATTATTGTTAAGATATTCAACTATTTGTTCTAATTGTGACTTAGCGATCTTTCGTAACAAATTGTTCAACTAAGGACACATCTTTTCCCCGTCTTGCTTTCACTGGGAAACAAAACAAACATCATTTTTAACCATCTCCCTGCCTTCACTAAAACAATCAATCCAATTAATAATTGAACTTCTGGTAAGTCTTTTGTCTTCATAAACCTTGTACAAATTATCATATTCTACAGCAAAGGAATTTCAAGATATACGTTAAACTTTACAGCTGTTCGTTGCTTGAGTACGACTGAGTCAACCATTTTTTGTCACAAGTCACCTACATGTTGACATCATTTTCACATTGTGACATCACAAATGCGGGGCAAAACATTATATAACACCTGCTATTTATAGAATATGTGTATGACTATATGTGTGCCAAATTTCATTCTGATCTGATTTGTGGTTTTGTAAATATAGAGATAGTTCGCGAACTTTCTGATCACCCCTCGTATTCACTGATTTACAGTGTATGCTAGGCAATACCAGCATCACACATCATACTAACGAGTCATTCTACTCACAATGTCACAATTTAATGTCATATTATTTACAAGCATTGATGTCAATCTGTTTTTACTTTCATACATGTACTTTCCTTTCCTCTACCTCTCTCTCCATCATCTTTTCTAACAATGTCTCCTTAAATCTCTGTTGCTATAATTTTTCTCACTTGAAACATGTTTTCCTGAATCTTTATTAATATTTTAAACATTTCCTCTGGTTTTTTCTCTGTGTAAACTTTTCATGTCATGTTTTAATACCTCTCAATGGCTCCCTTAAAGTTGTTTTCTCCATCAACAAAGTTCCACAGTCCTAAGGGTTTGCCATCAAACATCACCTCCTCCATTACCCCTTCATAGAAGGACGACTCCACCTCATTAGGTAACTGTAGACATAAAACGCAATCATTATCCTTAAGAACTATCCTTATCCTTAAGAACTATACAGTCAATCTGATTGGTTTAGAGCATGTCACGTGCAGGGAGACAATTCGTGACGTCTCCCTCATTACAACTGTGTTGTCTCCCTTCAGATGAAAACAAGAAGTCTGTGAGCCAATGCTCACTAATAATACCCCCGCTCTGATGTGAATACACAAGTTCGGTTATAGACAAAGACAGTGATAATCAGGAAATTGACATCGAATTTGTAAAAACTGAATCGCAACATATGGCATGCCTAAACAAAGATTGTGCTAAAATTTCAAGCATCTGTGATAAGTAGTTGCTGAGAAAACTACGACCAAAATTTGTTATGTATGTTTCGGACAGACGCACGGATAAACAAGAAGTTGACATTGGATTTGTCGCAAAAATGAATCCCATTATATGGCATGCCTAAACAAAGATTGTGCTAAACTTTCAAACATCTGCAATGAGTAGTTGCTGAGAACACTCCAAAATTTGTTATGTATGGTACGGAGAGACGCACGGATAAACAGGAAGTTGACATCGGATTCGCACAGAAATGAATCCCACCATATGGCATGCCTAAACAAAGAGTGTGTTAAAATTTCAAGCACCTGTGATGAGTAGTTGCTGAGAAAACTGCGACCAAAGTTTGTTACGTGTGGTACGGACAGACGCACGGATAAACAGGAAGTTGACATCAGATTAGTACAAAAATGAATCCCACCATATGGCATGCCTAAACAAAGATTGTGCTAAAATTTCAAGCATCTGCGATGAGTAGCTGCTGAGAAAACTACGACCAAAATTTTTTATGTATGGTACGGAGAGACGCACGGATAAACAGGAAGTTGACATCGGATTCATACAAAAATGAATCCCACCATATGGCATGCCTAAACAAAGATTGTGCTAAAATTTCAAGCATCTGCAATGAGTAGATGCTGAGAAAACTGCGACCAAAATTTGTTACGGACAGACAGACACACAGACGGACAGACAGACAGACAGACACACAAGGGTAAAACAGTATACCCCCCTCTCCTTCGGAGCGGGGGTATAATAATGTGTTGTAAGCTAGATAACTCATATTAATATACATGTATAATGATATACCAGTATATGCAGGATTGGTAAACAATAATAAAATCCACAGATTTTATTAGTCCAAATGAAAATGCAGTAGTCTGAGACTCATGGACTAATGTAAGTGTCAAACCCTGTAGCGAACACGCTTATAATGTACTGACGCTTATAGTGAAGTGATTTTCATTCCCCTTGGCTTTAAAATATATAGTGAATTTAACAGATATAACAAATTACATTTATAACGAAGCAAAATCGTCTGTCCCTGGCACTTTGTTATAAGCATGTTTTACTGTAGTTCCTGCATTGCTTTAAGCTGCAGTTCCTTGAAGCTGTAATACTTACTCTGACGTCACTAGGGACACCTCCCACGTAATACTTACTCTGACATCACTAGGGACACCTCGCACTTAATACTTACTCTGACATCACTAGGGACACCTCCCACGTAATACTTACTCTGACATCACTAGGGACACCTCCCACGTAGAACTTTGTTGTCTGAGGGTTGAGCTCCAGGACAGTGAATGTTCCAGATGACTCCCCAGTGCTGGTGACAGGGGACAGACCCTTATCCCTGTCTCCCTCCACCACCAACTCTCCCGACTTACCAATCCTACAGATCAACAATGTAAAACTTACTCCTACAGGTAGTAAATAATGTAAGACTAAATCCTATAGGTAAACAATGTAAGACTTTATCCTACAGGTAAGCTATGTAAATCAATCCTACAGGTAAACAATGTAAGACTTGATCCTACGGGTAAACAATGTAAATTTTAATCCTACAAGTAATCAATGCAAGACTTAATCCTACAGGTCAACAATGTAAAACTTCATCCTACAGGTCAACAATGCAAGATTTAATCCTAAAGGTAAACAATGTAAGATTTAATCCTACAGGTAAACAATGTAAGACTTAATCCTACAGGTAAATAATGTAAATTTTAATCCTACAAGTAATCAATGCAAGACTTAATCCTACAGGTAAACAATGTAAAACTTAATCCTAAAGGTAAACAATGTAAGACTTAATCCTATAGGTAAACAATGTAAAACTTAATCTTACAGGTAAACAATGCAAGACTTAATCCTACAGGTAAACAATGTAAAACTTAATCCTACAGGTAAACAATGTAAGACTTAATCCTACAGGTAAACAATTTAAAACTTAATCCTACAGGTAAACAATGTAAGACTTAATCCTACAGGTAAACAATTTAAAAATTAATCCTACAGGTAAACAATATAAAACTTAATCCTACAGGTAAACAATGTAAATTTTAATCATACAAGTAATCAATGCAAGACTTAATCCTACAGGTAAAGAATGTAAGACTTAATCCTACAGGAAAACAATATAAGACTTAATCCTACAGGAAAACAATGTAAACTTAATCCTACATCTAAATAATGGAAAACTTAATCCTACAGGAAAACTATGCAAGACTTAATCCTACAGGAAAACAATATAAGACTTAATCCTACAGGTAAACAATGTAAAACGTAATCCTACAGGTCAACAATGTAAGAATTAATCCTACAGGTCAACAATGTAAACTTAATCCTACAGGTAAACAATGTAAGACTTAATCCTACAGGTAAACAATGTAAAACTTAATCCTACAGATAACAATGTATGCTTTAATCCTACAGGTAAATATTGTAAGACATAACAATCCTACAGGTAAATGTGGCAAAACTTAACATTCTCCCAAGTAAACATTGCAAGAATTGCAGGACTTACAAATGTTACAAATTAGAAACAACTAAATTAATATATACACATGTAGTAAGACATTCTCTGCAGGCATGCTATCCAGGTAAAACTCAAAACCTTTGGGTTCAATGTCATATCAAGTCAACATTCTAGAACTACAACTTACTACTACAAACCTATGTACTGTATGACCTGAACTACCATATGTACTGACCTATCTTCAGATGTTCAGATGTTCATACTCACCTCTTTGCCTTGATGAGATACCAGTTACCATCTGAGACATCTCGAGTTGAGACAATCTCAGCAGCACCAGATCCGAGGTTATATCGGAGAACTGGGAATCCATCCCTCAGCTCCAGGGACATGTAGTCCTAAAATCACCAACAAACCATCACTGATTTTTTTTATAAATCCTCGCTGCTTATACATAAACGTGAAAACAAAGAGCAGCTTATGTAAGAATTGTTTTGTATATTTTTCAATTTCAAACTTCTTTGACTCACTGGTGTGACTCTGTTTGGCATCATGTCTGCCCCAACATAAGCCAGGACAGCTCTTTTCTGTCGTGTCTGTACGTACATTGACAGTGTAGAATAGGAGCCCGCTGAGTCAATGTTTGCAGGGTTACGCAGGGTAGCCGTGGTGTTTCCAACAAACTCCAGACCAACACGGATCTACATGTAAATGACAGAGATTAGGAAAATGTATATGCTGAGTATAAACTCAGAAATATGGCCTGACCCACTGAACTTTATACATTAGATATAACTATGTTATGAGAGTACTATTTCAAAGCAAAAATTTCAACACTAGATGTATGAGTTGAAGAGCATTATCACATAAATGTACATACCCTGTTGGCCGCATCCCTTGCAAGCTCAATTCGTTCTTTGAGGAGGGTCAGATTGACAGATACCCCCCTTTGCAGGGCCTGAACAGATTTATTCCTTGTCCCAAGGAGGTCAATTTGGGTTATCACCTGGGGTAAATTGTTCTTCACAAAATCACCTGTTAAAAATGGACATTTAAAATCAGTTACAAAAAAAATCAATAAGACATCTCTTGTTGATGTTATCTCCAGAATGGCCAAACAGCAAAGCTTTCCAAAGTTATAAATAATAATCTACATGTGTTATCTTAAATCTTCTAATACATCTCTTTTTTTTCTCATTCTTAAATATATTTATTGGATAAAAAGTTCTTCAGCTGATCAAAGGTACACTTAATACCTTGACTTCTTGCATCCTTGATGCTCTTGTCTGTTTTTGCCACAGTGTTGGCCAGTCTGTCAATCTTGTTTTTGTCTTCTGGGAGCTTACTCAGAATTGTGCCCACTTTTTCCTGGGCATTCAGAGCCCGCTGCCCAGCTCCAGTTGCCTGGTTACTGGCATCCCTTGTCCTATTTCCAAATTGCCCTATAAAAAATAAACACATGCAGAAATACTGTGGAATCATTTAAATTTGTGGAAGTCAATGTTCATGGGCCACCAAAATTTTACTGGTTTGTTGGAACGTAAATTTGTGATCAACTCCTAAATACAGAAGATGTGATGAAACTATACTTTCATAAAGTTTGTTTGTATGGACAAATCTGTGAATAAGGGTGACCCATGAAATCCATGAACACTGGTCACCCATGGGCAATGAGGATTCCTATGTACATCACATTGAACTAAACATTAACTTCATATATGATTGCGCCCATGGGAAAAGGGCCCTTATGACAATTTTTACACATTTTAAGTTTTTCATGGATTTTAATAGAGCAAGGTTAGAAGTTGCCAAATCTGAATTTTTATGGCCCTACGTCAACTCTAAGTAGGTTTTTTTCTTCATTTATATCAATGATACTTTAACAGATAAACAATGACGTCATGTTACTTTCGCAACAACGTCAAAAGTTTTCAGAGTGAACATGACTTTCACTTTGCATTGTAATGTTACTACGGTAATAAATGTATGTTATTGAGCATTTCCAGAAACATTTTTGAGTCATTGCCTCTTTTAATAATTGTATAATATGATAATAAATAGTTGTATTAACTATTATCCATCATGCAGTGGTGTATAGAATTATGAGTGTTTGTTCGTTTGTTTGTTTTACATTTCACTATGCTGGGATGTCAGGAAAACCTGAGAAGCAAGCGGCTTCTGTTCAATATCAATTTATTCTCTCAATACCAAAGTATTTATCTCGTGTAATAATCGTTTGAGAAACCTGTAGAATTCATTCGAAAATCATCTCATTTTAAGCATGGCTCTCGATAGGACAAGATGTCATTTGGGGGGGGGGGGGGGGGGGGTTGAATCCAGTATAAACGATATCTCTTTCAAAATGTGAAGTTAAAAAATATTTCAAAAAAATTCTCGGGAACAACAATAAAATGGATGCTGCTGGGTAGTGAATTTGTTGTTGTTGTTGTTGTTTTGGTTTGTTTGTTTGTTTGTTTTTGTTTTCTAAATATAATTAGACAGAAAATTTGTGAAATGTAGTGAGTTACCGTATACGCTGTACAACAATTTAAGGACATTAAGTTGATACACTGCATGTTAAGCAATATTCGATAAAAAATTTTCAAACAAAAATTCAGATGGACTTCTGCCTGCATGTGGTAACAAAACTTCTTTTTTTAAATTGAAATGATACACATTTTTTCAGTCACAGCAAGGAAAATTTTTGAATAATTAATTTTGAATAAGCAGGTTGACAAATTATAAACAAATGGATGAATAATAATTCACATGCATTAATGAAAGGAACAGATCCAGGATGACCAATGGTTGGATTGTGTGTGTGAGTTTGGGAGGGGGGGGGTAAATGTTAAATGACAGAAACATGCAATACTTGTAGTTAACATGAGTTTAATAGCATACGAGGGTTGTCGTATTTTTAAAATCTTCCTAAATTTTAGGTGTGCAGGGGGGGGGGGGGATGCCTTCCCACCACCAACCCCAAAACCTCCAAATATGTCATTTGGTTAGGTTTGAAATAATATTGAAATAATTCCTCAATTTATTTTTGCACCTTGAACTCTCTCCTTATGTACATGTATATGAGCAGGGTCATTTTCAAAACAAACAGCGATCTTGAACTCCACATACCTGGAACTGGAAACTTAACTGCTATCAAATCTCGTTAATCATGAGAAAAATTGCGTCCTAGAATAACGATTTTGTTGGATTTTGTAAAATTAAATGGTTTTAGAAGAACATGTATTAATAATGTAAACATGTAACTGGGTATTAATAGATATCGGGTATTTTATTATCATTTAAACAAATTTTATCCAAACTTTGAATGAAATCAATATGTCATTTTTTAAAATAATATCAAATAGATTTTTCTATGAAATAAATCGTAAATAATTGTATATATGTTGTCGTTATGAATCGATGACATACAGATTAATTAATAGAATTTCTTCGGCTGGGGGGGGGGGGGGGGTGTAAAAATTAATTGAAAGTTTTATATATCCAGTCAGTTAAATGCGACTGGTTGGTAATATTCCTTGACTGGCTGAGTTTTTAAATGACAGATTTTTACGATGTGGCAAACATTTATGTACATGTGAATATTGTTATGTGATGGTGTGTGTAGAAACACCCCCCCCCCCCATTTCTCGAGGCTCCTTTATCGTATGAAATTCTAGTGTTATTGTTTTCTAATGTTATTGTATATGAAGTTTTACAAAATAAGAATTCCATTCTGGTCCCATGCCAGAGACTTTGATATGCTTATCCCTGTAAAGCTTTACAGATACACTGTAAAATAGTTAGGTCCCGGTAATATAAAATGACCCTGGCCTTCTTCCTTGGTCTCCTGCACTGCCGCAAAAATAAAAACATACAAACATATTGTTAGTCTTTTGTGCTGTATATTTTTAGCATTTAATTTAGTTTGTACAATGCATGTTTAAATACAATTTGATCTTAACAAGATTTATTTCAATAAATCCAAATGACAAAATCAGTCCGTTTACATAATTCAACAGCAAGTTAAGCAATATCATACTAAACCGATAACTGAGATAATTATTTCAATAAGAAAACGAGTTTTAGATTGATAATAGAACTGTAAAGACATACAATGCTGAGATTCTATGAATGACAAGGATTACATATATTTGACTTTTAAGTGACTAAAAAGTGCAGATAAAGCTAAAACCTTTGAACTTTTTTATGCACAACACGAGTACCAAAATGTTATATTTTCGAGTTACTGAAAATAAATAGACAGCAAAAGAAAAAAAAGAGAGATAGAGATTTTTTTCATAATGCGATATTGTTGTGTTTTTTTAAAATTCGCCTTTTCATTAAAGTTTCACATTTCACATTGTATTAATAAACTGGATTTAATGTAACATCTCTCTCTCTCTCTCTCTCACACACACACACACACATCAGGTATACATACATGTAAACTTTTTTTTAAGCTAGAACAATTAGAACAATTTTATTTCATTCGGTAGTTTTTGTTTGTTTTCAAGTACTTACATCGGAAGTGGCAACAACAAAAATAAGATGAAACAATTTTTTTTTTAATTTCATTTTATTTTATTTCAATTTATGATCATTATTACTGAAAAAAAATTAAATTAAAATTCAAGTTATTTTTAAAAAAAATTTCATGTTAAAATAAATAGATACACATGTAACAGATTTAAAAAAATAAATGAAAGTCTGGTTCAATGTAGCATTTATTTCTTATTCTATATTTTTTTTCCTCTTTCACTTTGACAGCAGCTAGTTCCATGAGCTTTCAAAAATACTTTTAAAGAAAATATAAATATAATACTTACAATTAAAACGCTTTTTTAAATGATGATAAGTAAGATTTTTAAAAATATTTTTTATACTACGGGAGCAAATTTGTACGAGTATGGTGATTTTGAATGGTGTTTTAAAAAAAGAAAGAAAGTCCCTGTCTGGTACCTCTCTAGTATCTCGCTAGTCAAAGTTACCTCTCTTGTTTTTATTTATAGTTCTTAAAAATAATAACACGTCTGTCATTCGTTCGTATTTTTGCTAGATTTGAGAAAACTTACAAGAATACTTTCCTTTTCTATTGGAAGAATTGTGATCAGTTTCAAATTTTTGGCAATTAAAGCATTTTACAACAAAAATTTATGCACGATGCGCCAATGCTTCAATGTTTATATGATCGATGTGTTGAGAATGGTGGAGCGGATCTTGTACAGGAAAATGATTTCCTCTGCGATATTTTGATAATAATCCCGTGTCTGACATATAACTTCAATTTCTCTATATATCAAAATCGCATTCGTTCATCCATATTCAATTATCCAGAAAATCACCTTGTCTGAAGCTTCTAGATATAGCCTATACATGCAGGAAATGCATAGCCCAGATCAGAGACGTATACGTATAAAGCTACATGTAGTAAAAAAACGGGTCTCGAATAAAATTCTAAATATTTTATTTTTTAATTAATATCAGTAGACTAGAAATAATTATTTCAATGTTGAGAACAACGACAAAAGTGAGCTAGACGTGTCAAAACGTAAAACGTGTGGATAAAAAAAAATCTGCGTCGACGCTCACCGTCTGCAACGTCATATCTTTATGACGTTATTTCTCTGTTTTAGCAAAAGTGCCATAAGGCCCTTTTGTCGTGGGCGCAATCATATACAAGTAGTGCATAAAACACAGGTTAAGAGATTCATTTGAATTGTAGACAACTCTTAAAAATGTACATGTTTTATAAACTTGCCATTTTTACATTTTTGTTATCATCTACAAGAAATGAATGACCTAATATGTGTAACCCCGTCCATACATCCCTATAAGTTACTTACTTCTGCTGAATTCCTGGATCTGGATGTTGAGGTCATTGATTTCATTGCTGAGTCTGTCATTCATTACCTCCACATCGTCAGTAGACAGCTTAGCATCCTGCAATCTTCCTGCCAGAGCTGGAACAAAACGTACAGCTATACACTGCTTGTTATATATGTAACTAAGCTCAGCATTAATTGTATCAAGTAAAGAGCTATCATGTGTTATCTAAGAAATGTAGTTTTTGTGAGAAAATGGACCTGAAAATTCATCCTAAGTGTCAAGCTACAAATTTCTCAATAGAAAAAATGCCACTTGTAAAATCCGAGATTAAAAAATAATTGTTCATGAATTGCAAAATTGATAAAGGATGCCAATATCAGTGACTGTTGATGTAATCCCTGATTTACTTACCCACTTCTGTTGTATCATAGAGAGCTCTAGCCGACTCCAGTAAAGCAATGCTGATGTTCTTAGAGTTTTCTGAACTCTCACCAACTCCATTGGACTACAAAGAGAACATTTATTATTAATGCCATAAATGAGATTTTAAGTAGAAAGTATATATCTAGTAGTTTGTTCCCTATGCATGTGAGTTAAGGCGAGGTATAGGCATTTCTATGCAAATGAGCTAATAAAAACGCTTAAGAGGTATATTTATTATTCCGAGAAAGTTTTGATTTATTTTCTTTTGCATATTTAGTACCCATGATATGTTATAGCCAGTGCACATTATGACGTCATATTATGACGTCATTGTTCTTACCTTGGATGCAATAAAACACATCAACAAAACAGTTTCGGCGCAAGGGATTACCCTATTTAATTTTATATAAGAATTGTGTAATGCTAAGAAGAATATTCTATAGATTAATAAATCTGCTGCACAAATCCTAGGCATTTTATCATTTGATCAGAATTTGAGGAAACTTATACCGGACTGTGTATTTTTACCCTGATTCAACCTAAAACTTTACAAATAGAAATTATACAACTGAGCTGTTGATATTTGTGCAGCAATACCAGCAAACTTTGGAATATTTTGCTTCTAAATATACCTTGTTTCAGTTAAATAAAATAGAGCATGCCCTTGCGCCAAAGCATTTTTATTGATGTCCATTATAATCTTGTGTAGTAAAGAACAATGACGTCATAATTTGACGTCATAATGTGCACTGGCTATCTCATGTCGTGGGTACCCAGTATGTATAAGACAACAAGTTTCAACTTTTTCTGTATAATAGATATAGTCCTTAGGCACTTTAATTAGTTTATTTACATAGAAATGCCTATACCTAGCCTTAACTCACCTGCGTAACCCTGCTCAGGGCTTCATTACCAGGCATTTGTGTAGTACATGTAGTTTATTCCCCAATTTCCCCAGGGCCTCATTAGAGGGTATTTATTAGGGATGTCAAAATATTTATTTTCTGTAGTCGAACATTCGATTGCATTATTCGAACGATAGTCGAATATATTCTAAATTTTTTCGGAAAGTAAAATTGTATTTCAGGCTTGAATGGTACATGACATATTTAACCCGAAATCCCCTTTTCTTAAAATTATTAAAAAGTAACATCAAATGTTACACACAGATGTTAACATGGACCTCAAATGTATGATTTCCCTGTCAATCATGTTCATAAATCGATCTGTAAAGTCGGTTTTTAGAAAGCATAAAAAATGATAGTACGATATATTTTTTAAAGCTTATTAAAATGATGGGGGGGGGGGGGGGGGGGGGGGCACACACGGTAAATATGTGATAATGTTGTATTGTTATATATTTGAATATACTTTTTGTACCAACTATCAAAATGTCTTTAAAATATATAAAAGAATATTAATTTTATAATAATTACCTTAGTGTCCAAACATGTCACGGCTATAATGGGTTCATGATATGAGATCAAGTCCAATTAATAATTTTACAAAGAAAGCGCAGTATAACGAAATAATTTTATTACAAAAACAACACATTAATTGACAAATAGTACTCGCGGAAGTAAAGCATTTATAATTACTTTACTTTCTACATATATAAATCCAGCAGTTTTTAATGAGGAGAATTATCTTATTGACTGTGTCTGAGGAAACCGGTTTCTCAATTTTAGGATGAGAATTCCATCTCTTTATCACTCTTTTATTGAATTTATTTATTCGAATGTCGTTTCGTTAATCGATCGTCGGTCCATTCGACTGATGGTCGAATAGTCGACTATTCGTTGACATCCCTAGTATTTATTTAATATTTATTCCCTGACATATCCCTGGGCTTCATAAGAAGGTACATCTGGGGTTTAAATTAAAAGAAAATACTCGCTAAAGGAGAGTGAAAAATCAAAACTGTGAGTTGAATTAGATTTGCAACAAAGTATATAGCGAGTAAAACAAAACAATGATCTTTTTCAGAATTTGAGTTGTTTTTTTGTTTTTTTTATACGTGTGGCATGTCTATTAGGTACATGCCACTTTTAACAAAAGAATTAATGCTTGTAATTTTCATACGTCAGGTCATGAAAATAAACATAGTAAATAAGGCCACCTCTTTGGCTTTATCATAATATGTAAAGTGTTACTGATTTTAAAAATCATTTAGAATATGAGGAAGATGACCTTATTTTTTCTCTTTCAAAATCTGTCGAAAACAAAGTTTACTGACCGTCCATAACCAAATTGTGTATAACATTAATCATATCTAATTTTTTTCTAGTACATGTATACACAATGTTCAATCAAGAATTTTAACCATAATCTGATAGACCATATTTTAACTGTTCTTTATTTGCTGATCGAGAGTCTTAGACATGTTAGATACAAAAAAGACTGAGTAAAGTTTGTATTTTTTTTTTTTAATCACAGAAATTATCTAGCAGCACTGGAAATAGAAAAATGCTAGTAAAACTTCAAGTTTGCTAGTAGAATTTTTTCCCAATAGCTAAAATTTGCTTGTAGTCAACTGTTAATTTGGACCCCTGGTTCATTTATTTATTTATTAAATAGTTTGTACTCCAACCTTGCCCAGGGCTTCATTGGCCGCGTCCAGGGCTGTACTGGAAGCATTGTTGGCATCATCAATTGCATCCACTATTTCCTTGAAGGCACTCGCTGCACTCAACGCATTAGCAGATGTTTCCCTGGTGTCTGTGTAAATACTGAAATCAAAATACAGAAACTGCTGTACACTATCAACATACATTGTACGTACCAGTACATATTCTAATTTTCAAAGAAAGTGGAAATCAAAATATTAAAATTTAAAATTAATAGGATGGATATTTCCATGTAGATGCGTGTTTGTTCAATGCCTTACTTTTCAAGGAAGTCAGCTTGGTCTGACAGAGCTTGGGCGTGTTCCTGACTCTCGTTGACCTTGATAATGGCTTCCTCAAGGCCATTGCTTAAATTTCCAACAAAGTCCCTCATACTCACAACAGCATTATCAATCTGAGAGGCACGAAGTTCGGCCTCCTACAAAACAATGTTTATTTCTTAATTCCATTATGTCAAATCAAGTCTGAAAACACAATTAAGTTCACAGGAATTGAAAATATAGCACACATGTTGTCTGATGTAAGTTACAGTATTTCATATAGATTACTCTGGTCACTTACATTGGCCTCGTCCACAGATTTGTTCAGTGCGTCCCTAGCATCAGCCAGAAGGCGGTCAGACATTGAATGTAACATCATGGTGTCTTTTTCTGACATCTCAATACCTCCCAGTCGAATCTACAGAATTCATAGTAATAACTTCCAGTAAGTAACCATAACATGCATTTCACTCATACTACTGATACAAATTTACAATGTTCCAAAAATATTATGATTAGTGATCACTTATACATGCACATATGAATACCATTGACATCATGGGTAAAATTCAGAAAAATTTCAAATTGACTTGACACATGAAATTTCAATTTTCAAATTGATTTGAGACATGAAATTTAAGTTCAAATTTAACAAGTTTGATATTAAATTTGCCATGAGATATTCATATACCTGTAGTAAGCTAAGAGTTTTCTGGTTGAGCTCTTTGATTAATTCTTCTGCGGCATCTGCTTCTCTGTCAGAGTTCTGGGCCTTACTTTGAAGGTCGTACAATCTCATACTGATGTCCTTGATCTCCTTAAGAACCTGAGCTGTGTCATTGGACTGTCTCTGTCCCGAGGCAAACAGGAAACGCATCTTAGCCAGTACTGAAAAATCCTCAAACAAGTGAAAACAAGACATCTTAGCCAGTACTAAAAGATTAAATTTCTCAATTAAAAAAAGTTTTTTTTTTGTTTTTGTTTGTTTTTTTTTTTGCATAATGGTGTATGTCCTACATATCAAAAACTTTTAAAGAACACAACAACAAGATCTACTTAAACCTATCAAATGTATTATACACTCTCTTTATAAAGATTAACTGGGTCAGGAAACCCCTGACTTACATTCCCTGGCTAGATCTTCCTCTGTGTTGCACTCCTCGGCGTTACCGGTGAAATTTGCCGAGTTGATCACTTCTAGGATTCTCATAGAATCCTTAATAATTGTCTCAATGTTAGTGACCTTGATCCCTTCATAAATCTGTCTCAGGATGTTCTGTGCATACTGAACAACATCTAAGGTAACAAAGGGATAAAAATAAGAAAAGTTGTTTTACAATGCTTGATACTATAAGAAGTAAAAAACTCAGCAGTCAGTGGGGACAAGAAGAGGAATACTTCCTGCCTGTTGAAACAACATACTGAAGTTGAAAATTATATGAAAAGCACAAAAAAAGTTATTAAGATACAAACAGAAAATTTCGTCAATTCTGTTCACAAAGTTTTATTTAAAGATGAGGTACCCTGCTCCTTTAGGTACAAGCAATGCCTATAAGCTGGAGGCTTGAGGCCTCGGTCTATTAATGCCTACCATCTGTCTCCCGTTTGACCTGTGCTGTCTTGGCCTCGATATCATCTGCATCCCTGACAAGTTGTTCTGTCTCCTCAGTCAAGAACTGTCCTTGTGTTATCAATCTGTCAGACTGAAGTAAAATACACACAGTAAAAATACATAAATAAAAAAATCATGAAAATAAGCTTAGTAAGTTCTGGATTTCCTACCTAGCCATTGTCTGATCTCACCTTAAGCTTTCCATTGTCAGCCAGAGCCTGTATAGCAGTCAGCTCCATGGACAGTGGATCCAAAGAGATGTCCTGTGGTCCCGCTAACAGAGCGTCCACCTCGGGCTGTAAAAAAATTAATAACTTTTATCTGAAAACATTGTGTTTATCTACCTGTATTATACTAGATGGCCAATACACAGTGCTTTTAAAATTTCTTAGCAATATTTACCTCAAAATATTGGGAAAAAAATCATTCTACCAAACCTCTCAAAAAGAGCCAATCACTGGCATCCAATAGTTTAAAAGTAAGTGGAGTTACCATAAAAAAAATTGTTCACTTTAATTTTCGGGTCGAAGAACCTAACATCAGTCTTATGATCTATACCCTGAGGTTGATGGCTGCCTGATTGATCTCCTCTAGTCGATTGTTGGCGGTCATTCCTACAGACACCGATTCCAGGGTAGTGGACAGTCCACTGATATTTCTCTGGAGGGCCTCCACATCATCCAGAAGAATGTGAATACAGTTGTCACATGCTGGAAATACAGAAAACATCTCAAATTTTTACATTTGCATCTAACTTTTTTCCATGTTTCAAAAATATAAGAACAATTAATGACTAATTAGATATAGATAGTCAATCAAATGTTTATCATTTTTGTGATAAAGTTCATCACTGAGGAGATTATCCACATTGAGACTGTACTTCTCCTGATTCCAACTTAAAATGCTTCAACAGAACCACTTCCAAATGTCCCATCATTGCAACACTAAAGTTAATTGTTAGCAAAAGGAGTTACATTAACCTGGTCATCATTGAATTTACATGTGCACTTCTCGTAACTCTGGATGGGGGAAGGGCTGTATCATTTTACAGATTTCCAATGTGTACTGACCTTGACATCCTTTGTTGGCCACAAGGATATACCTGGGTAAACATCTGTCACACCTATCCCCTGTGACTCCAGGTAAACACTGACATCTACCTGTCACCCTGTCACAGGTAATTGCTCCATCTTCTTCACATTCACAAGCTATTAATATCAAATGTCAGCCATAAAGAAATGTACAGAAATGATATTAATATAAATTTATTTATCTTTGAATGAAGGCAATTTATCTACTACCATGTAATCACAGGTCTATTACTACATGATTGAACTACATGTACTTCTAAATTACCTGAAAAATTCCACAATAAGTTTTTTTTTAAAGCTTTACCTTGGCATCCTGCAGCAGTGTAGTTCCAGTAACCCTCGCTACACTGATCACAATACCGACCCTCTGTACCTGGCCTACATGTACACTGACCCGTGACGGCATCACACTGGGAACTTACTGAGGCTGCAGCACAGTTACAGTCCTGACAACCAGCACAGCTGTCAAATCCATATGTGTCAGCCTGTGTATGTAAAATCAGATTTTCTTGTGATTATTATACAGGCATCCATTCTTGCAGTCAAAGTTAACATACCAAATACATCATCACTAAAACTGACAAACAAGTAGAGCGTGACAGACTGACCTTGCACCTGTCACAGTCGGGGCCCTCAACGTTAGGCTGACACTGACAACTTCCGGTGTTCCTGTCACAGGATGAGGAGCCACATTGATCACAGCTACAGGCTGCAAAACCAATCAGTACATACTTCATATATGTTAAAATGGACATCATAGAAATGGAATTATTAAAAACTGTACAACATATAACAAATAATTCCTTACCTTGACAGTTTTTGAGATTGACAGCATCACCATGGTACCAGTCTTGACAGTAGGCACAAGCCGGCCCCATGGTGTGGTTCAGACACTTAAGACACTCCCCTGTAGACAGGCTGCACGCTTCTGGATCTGACATATCAATGTTACCTGAACATTGGCATGGCTGACAAACCTCTCCTTCAACTGTTGGGTCACCATAGTAACCAGGGGCACACCTTCAATGTAGGAATTTTAAAAAGAAATTAAACAGAGGGCTGTTGAAAACATATTCCTGTTAATTTAATGAGCACAAATTAAACGTAAAAATATCTTCTTAAATTTCTTGGTAAACTGACGATTACTCACCTTTCACACCTTGAGCCCGTGTAGCCAGGTAGACAGTCACAGGAGTACACTGTACCTTCATACACGTTACACCCAGAGGCAAAACTGAATAACACAAAGAGTTAATATACAATCACCTTAAATTCTAACCACAGAGGCAAAACTGAATAACACAAAGAGTTAATATACAATCACCTTAAGTTCTAACCACAGAGGCAAAACTGAATAACACAAAGAGTTAATATACAATCACCTTAAATTCTAACCACAGAGGCAAAACTGAAGATAATAACACAAAGAGTTAATATACAATCACCTTAAATTCTAACCACAGAGGCAAAACTGAATAACACAAAGAGTTAATATACAATCACCTTAAATTCTAACCACAGAGGCAAAACTGAATAACACAAAGAGTTAATATACAATAGTCTCCTAAGTTCTAACCACAGAAACTATTTCAATCTGACAGCACAATCTCGATTTGCAATTTACAGCTAAGTTTTTCATAATGTGAAAAACTTAATTCATCTTCTTTAGTTTTAGTTGACAAGATCTTTCAAAATTAAAATGAAAGTATAAAGAATGAAAAGTGTGATCATATGGTATTTGTTGTTAGTCTTAATCTGAAAGTATGGTACTAACTTGTTGCTCTCAATGGGCATCGGACAGCTACAAATCTGACAACCCCCTGTCATAGGATCACCATAGTAACCAGGTAAACATTCTCCACACTGTTTTCCCATTGTATTGTCTCTGCAATTCTTTAAAGGAATCCAACATTAATAATGTTAATTAACACAAATCCCCAAGTCACTCAGAGTCTCCAATGCTGTGTGTTATTTATATATATAGAAGGTAAGCTGGATATAGACAAACCTGACATTCCCCAGTCTCTTTGTCACAAGTGTCTGAGTGACCATGACAATTACACGGAATACACACACCAAGGTATGGAGTCTTAGAGGAACGGTAGTACCCTGGGGCACAGTCCTACAATTAATAAAACACAGAAAATTGTCTACAATTTAACATAAATATTGCCCGCAGAAAGAAAAAATATGAAAGAAATTTCTTAAATTTTTTTAGTTCACTGATATCAAACACTTTCTGTGAATATTACATTGTTTATTTACAGACTTTACCTGACAACTGGAGCCAACGTATCCCATTGGACACTGACACTGCTCCACGCTGCGGGCCAGTGGTGCTGGGGCAGGGGTTGTTTGCTCACTTCCACCAAAAAAGAATCCTCCAAAAAACCCTCCATTTCCTCCATCGTCTGTTGTCTCTTCCTCTTGTCTCTCGACTGCCTGGTCTAACTGAACGTCCATAAGTCTGTAAAATCACAATCACATAACAAGGTCTGTACTATCGAGGAACATAATGAGGACTGTACAATCACAAAGCATGAAATCAGACTCAATTATTACATCTTTAAAAGGATTTGACAAAGAGAACACCCTATAATAGGTAATCTACTCCTAGGAATATAATGCACCCAATTTGTAATACTACATCCTATAAACATAAGTCGGTTATCTATTTATTTCAGATCAGAGAGCTACAGTGGATCCAATGTCATATTGGGCAGAGTTACCTGACTTCTGTGGTGGGAGTGAAATAGTTGGCACGGATGTGAATTGCTGTAATATCCACCAGGACCATCATAAAAGTTTCCCTGGATACTCCGAGTCCATCCTCAGCCCGGACAAAGTTGTACTGAAAACATCAATACAAACATGAAATTATTATCCTGTAGCATTACGATAGCTTATTCATAGGCATAAACAGTAAAACTGGACAACATTGATCCATCTGTAAATAAATGTAAATTGTACCTGTACATAAAAATATACAAGTCCTAATACAGCAAAAAACAAGTTAATGCATTTATAGTCACATGTACTGGAATTTCTATTTTTATTATAACAAATTTCATGTTTATAGTAAACTTGCAGGTAAAATACAATGTATGTAACATAATTTATCAAAGCTACATATGTATATGGGGACAATTTTCTTTTCATAACATTTTCAAATAATTCAGCTTTATAACAGACACCAAACTAGAGGCCCACGGGCTACAACACTCACCTGAGTGACTTTATTATTTTTTTAAAATAGATTTTTTCCCCTATCCACAAGGATCTAAACTAATTAAGCTTGCATATCAGTATGACTGCTGTTCTTCTGTGTTAAAGCTTGACCCCATCTAATCCAATCCCAGGGGCCATGATTCTCAAAACTTGAATCTACACTCAAAATGGCATTCTTAAGCAAGGTTTTAGAATTTAGAACCCCCTTTTTCAGACCCAGTTTTTGACAAGAATTTTTGATGAAAATTTATCTTCCCTTGAAAGTAAGTGGCTCTTCATTTTTATAAATTTGAATCCCCTTCTGTCAAAGATGTTTTTTGGCAAGTTTGGCTGAAAGTGGTCCAGTGGTTTTTGAAAAGAAATTGAAAATATGAAAAGTTTATAGACAATACATACTAATGATAATAGACAGATACATGTATATGGTCACCAGGCACCCTTTGTCTAGAGAAGAACCTTTGACTCAGGTGAGCTTATATGCTTTAAAATACATTGACCAACATTTACTAAAATCTAATTGTGTGGAAGAAGAGAAATATTACCTCATTAAGCCTGATCTCCACAGGGGTGGTGGCGGTGGCTTCTGGGGTGTTTGAGTATCTGTGGTGCAGCGTCATGTTCCCACCCTACAATAACAAAAGGTTTATTGAAAAGAATTCTCTCCATTTCTCCAAAAAAAAAAAAAATATCAAACAAGCTTGTCTTATCTAGAATAGTTCACATGGATCCAGCAAATCTCTCCATGCAATGAACAGTCATCTTCATTGCCATAAATTTTCTGAGTATGTGGTCTGAATTTTTTACCTTCAAGATGACATCTGGTCCACTTGGAAGCCTGGTTTCATTTCCTCTGGGAGTTACATAGTACACCTTAAACTGCAGCTTACCTCCATAAGATTTCACCTGTAAAAGTCGGTACCTGGTGTTAAATACACAGCATCTGTATCACATAATCAATGAACTTACATGGTAGGAAAATAAACAGGCAACAAGACAGATTTCAGTTAAACTTACAAGGCTTCAATCAGCCACAATTTCTTTTTTACAAACACATGGTTTTATTTTAAAAGATTTTATTTTGATGACAGATACATGTATACACAGTATGTTTAGAAAAGATCATTTCATGATTTACAAAACTAGAACTGTTACAATGATTTGCCCATGACCTGATCCCCGAGGTAGGAATCTGAGGCTATCCAGTACATGGCCTGGTTAGGGTCTGTGATTTTGGTGTCAGAGTCCAGGACAGCTATAATTGTCTGAGACTCCCTCAGGGCACCCTCTGCAGTGTTAGTCACATCCCAACCCAACATGTCTTGGTGCTACAAAAAAATATTTAAAAAAATAACTCAGTTATAAATCAGACAATTACAAAAACATGATGATAAACTTCACACTCTCAGTTCTGACTATAACTGATACCTGTGCCCACACAAATACAGAGCTGTCACAGCGGGTTGTTGTACCAAAACAGAAACACCTGGTACAACCTTTAGGATTCATTGGATCCAGGTAAAAACTGCCAGACTCACAGCGACTACAGTCAGGGGCAGCTACATTCTCCTGAAAACAGCAGCAAGAAGCTTTATTTATAGTACACAAAAAAGAATATACAAAACAAACTCTGACCTATATTTGTGTAAATAATTCTGATATTTACTTCACATCCTTAGATGATACAGTGTGGCACCGTCTACAGAAACATTTACCCTTGACCTGTGTTACTGTATGTACTTACCTTAGAGATACATGTACCTGCTAATATTTCTAAGTCTGTCTGTTGCCACCCTTACTGTATTAATATTTATAGCTTTTAACAGAGATACAACTGTTTACATCACAGATCTCTGATGTCAGAGACACATTACAAGTTCCTCAGATGTCAGAAGTTCAGTGTTATTATACACAACTTACCGAGACATGCTCCACAGCTTACGTCACAATTTTTTTGAAGTCAGAGGTGTAGTGTTACTATATATAGCTTACCTTACAGAGACACGCTCCACTGCTTACGTCACAGATCTGCTCCTGGGTTCCTCTGAAGTCAGAGATGTAGTGTTACTTTATATAGCTTACCTTACAGAGACACGCTCCACTGCTTAAGTCACAGATCTGCTCCTGGGTTCCTCTCAAGTCAGAGGTGTAGTGTTACTATATATAGCTTACCTTACAGAGACACACTCCACTGCTTACGTCACAGATCTGCTCCTGGGTTCCCTTGCTGTCACAGTTACTACATTCAGCACAGTACGGGAAGGAGTAGAATCCAGCCAGACAATAATCACACTTACGGCCTCCGACATTGTCCTTACATCTAGAAGATTCACAAAATTCTATTCTATTCCATAAACACAATTTACATAGCTAAAGAAACATAATACAAATATTTGTTTACCTACTGTTAATACAATTTGTGAACAATTGAAGTTACGTCTCTGGACATATAGGAATGGTGACTTACGTGCACTGACCCGTGGTCTGGTCACAGTTCATGTTCTCATTCAGAACTCCTTCAGCGTTACACTTACAATCCTGTCAACATCAAAAAATGAGCACATTTATATCATGAAACTGAGATTCTATATTTGTTTGTATTCTATAAACCTGAGGGGATTCTGAAGAATGACAGTAACTTACAGTACATCCAACTAGAGGATCAAAACCATAGGTAGCAGGTACACACGTATTACACCTCTCCCCCGTCACACGCGGGGGGCACATGCACTCTCCAGACCTTGGGTTACACATTCCATAAGGACAGTTATTACAAGCTGAAATCAGACAGTAATCTCTTAATAAGTCATTATGATAATCATCCACAGATGAAGAACATAATGTAACACAATTACATACATGTATAATAATGACTTGAGGTAATTTAATGGTGCTGATCTGCACCCAATAACCAGATGAAATGCAGCTACAGTATATTGTATGAATATGTAGATTAACTAAAAATTATTTTAAACTTCAACAATTTATCTGATTATTTCAATTTATTTACATGGGTACTTTACATGAATATCAAAAACACATTTGGTCCAAAGGAATGTGAGTAATCCCTTACGTTTGCAACGTGGGAATCCATAATAGCCCTCACGACATTGTGTACACTTCTGACCAATCACATTATCCCGACATTGACATTGTCCCCCAAAGTTAGAACACTCAAAGCTGAGAGACCCGTCCGTATCACAGCCACATGCCAGTCCGCCATTGTTAAAGTCTGTTGTTATAGTGTAGACACCAGAACGACAAAACTCGGTGTCATTGCTGTAAAACATACAATGTACAGGATCATCACTGTGTCATTAACAAATTTCCAAACATTATCATGCCATTTGTAATTCATAAAAAAAATTACGAGGTGTTAAAATCAAGATTTCAAGTTGGACAAGATTACTGACAATTCACTTTCAAGTATTTTAAAGTGAATACTTTATGAAAAAAATGAAATTTTTTGTTATCATACTTCCTGCTTTATGCCTGCTTTAAATTCAGGCCAGTTTTATGTCAAGTAACAGAGATGTGAAACAACATACACTCAATCAATCAATCAATCAATCAATATACTTACACAAGAACAAATCCTGGGCCAACACACCACTGTAGGAACTTGGCTGAGTTGTCGATGCGCTGTAGGTTCAAATCTGATGGAGAGAACTGCTGAATGGGTACCACCATCAAGTAGTCCTAGAAACAGATAAAAAGCCAAGTTATAAAAAGTACCATCATGAGCTAGTCCTATGGACATATACAAGTAAGTTATAACAGATACCACAAATACAATCTTAATACTGACCAGCAGGACATTTCGACCCATGGTATTATTGAACAAGATGGTGAAGTTCCCTGGCTGCAGTGAGATCACGTTCCTCACAGTTCCATCAAACACGATCTGACTGCGGCATCCAGAGATCGTGGGACAAAACCGTGGCTTGAAGGTTCCTAAAATCAAAACCTCAAAATAACATCTAATACTACCATTGTCCATCAGTAAAAACTCACGAGACTCCTAAAGTTTAACAAACTTTTCCATCTCACATTTCCAAACACAACCTCTAGATAACGATGATGTAGCATCAGCCGCTCTCTGTACCTGTAATTGGAGGGAATCCATCTGTGTGCAGGGTAACAGGAAGGTCAGCCCCTGCCTCGGACGGCATGTAAAAGTGAACAAAGAACACATACTGCCCTGGGTTTCTGATGTTTCCTCTCAGCTCTACAATTCTCTAGAAAAAATAAACACACAACACTAACAAAGTTATCCATTCAGTTCATAAAAATAAAACAAACACACAACTCTAACAAAGTTATCACAAATACACAACTCTTAACATAGTTATCCCTTCAGTTCATAACAAACACACTATCTAAACACATAGTCAATTCATTCTGATTTCTATACAACTTCTGAATTCATGGACTGAAAAATCAGATCATTTACACAAAATGTTTACACTGGTGTAGTTGAGTTCTGTTTTCCAGATAAACTTACATTGGTGTTATTGAGTTCTATGAGCCCGGTCTCAGTAATGTAATTAGGTAACGTGGTGGCAATTAAATTATCATTTGGAGGATCTTCAAAGTCAAGCCTCACTCCACTAGAAGGAATTGTGTATCCAGAGGTCACACATCTAGTAATTAACAAGGTCATCTAGTCAGCACAGAAAGCTAGCTACTATCACCAAGTATATTTAAATTCCTCTGTTTTATTACTAGAGAAAACATAATCAGTTGAACGTTTAACTAAAACTCACTTAAACCATTTTGGAATAAATTCTACTGAACTTAATTTTAAATTATACATTGATACATCACAGAGCCAAATTTGAGTTTGAAATGATTTATTTTTTTTTTATTACTTTAATAATACCATCTGTTGACTTACTCTTGTACCTGATGATAATACTGTCACATGATTATAAGGATCTATAAATTAAGTCCAGGTTTCTAAATACAGTATATACGGTACATATATTTACTTACATTCCATTAATGCGGATACAGATGATGCTAGGTCGGATGTATCCTAGCGACCACTCATCATAAGGAATGGCAACCACAGAACCCTGCAAGCAGACAATAAATAAACATCACACAAGCTCCAAACCCAAAATCATATACACAGACAGGAAACAAACATCAAATAAGGAAAGAAAACAAAAAATCACACAGACAGACAGCAAATAGATGTCACATGTGGACAAAGGTCACAGAGAGATGTTTCTTATATTGAATTTATAAAAGTCATCAAAGAATCTACAGTGTAACGTAAAACTTACAATGGCTACATCGATGTTTTTGTCGCCGGTAACCTGAATTTGAACTACATCATCGACAGTTATAACAGATGGCATATCATCAATGTTCTTCATCACCTGTCTACACAGCACACTGAAAATAAAAAAAATTTAACACTACAATTATTCAACAGCTAAATACAAGGAAGAACTCTCATAGAAATAGGTAGCTTAATCAGTTGTTTTGAAATTGACAACACAAGCAATAGTTTTACCTGTATTTACAGCTGTATAAAAGAACAGTTCCGGTAGTTGTCTGTCCATCAACATTGGCAATAACATCTAACTCCTGTGTTCTATTGGATAAGGCAAAATAATTAAACACAAGCACATAATCTCCGGGGCGGGGCACGGTCAGGTTCAGGTGTAACTCCCTCTGAAATAACATGAATTTTAAAAATAAAATGCAGTTAATTCAAATACTGTAATACATGTATAATCTTGTACAGTATCTCTTCTATCAATTACTCAAGTTTGGATAATATGGTACTCTCTTATTCTGAAGTTGCAAAGATAAAAACAAATGACTTGTTGGATACTGTTGTTACCTGACTATTGTCTAGCTGTGCCAGGGTGGGGATTCCTAGCTCATCCAAAATAATCTGATTGGGAAAGACCTGAGTAGGAATCCGACTGCCATTACGATCTATCACAAAACCATTACCTCCAATCACACTCGGGAATTTCTCCAGGTTAGGGTAATCATAAACAACGCATCTGTAGACAACAAGTCATATTAGTCTATACAATCTGTAGACATCAAGTTATATTAGTCTAAAAACCTGTCAAAAATAAGTTGTTATGCTATTCAATCTGTAGACATTGTCATATTAGTCTATCCAATCTGTAGACAGCAAGTCATATTAGTCTATTCAATCTGCAGATAAAAAGTCATATTTGTCTATAAAACCTGTAGACTACAAGCCATATTAGTTTATACAATCTGTAGACAGCAAGTCATATTTGTCTACACAATCCTCAAATACATGTATTATATACTTGTATACAAATGGTATTTAGATAAATAATATAAATTCAGAACATCATATACTGAAGTCAAAAGAGAATACTATTTTTGACAGTTTCACCAACATGTAATGATATACATGTAATTGTATGCAAGGACTTATCTCAATGTTTTATATACTGTATATAAATACATGAATATCAGGTTAAAATCAATCTAAAACTTACGGCCCCTGGTCCCCGGGGATACTACAGGGACGGGTGACTTTCTCTTGTAAAACTGTGGCTTCGTAGTAGGCATCTGGCACCAGCACCATGTAGTCCTAAAACAAAGTAAATGTAGGTTCAAAGTACAGTGTTCACAAAAATTTCTTATATAGGTATATGATTTCCAGCTCAATTACAACACAGAACAATTCAAAATTAAATCTACATGTCCTGTAAATGTAGTGTATTAGTATAATTAAATGTAAAACCTTACACATACTTACACAACTGACAGACACAACAGTGCACTTACTAGGAGCAGGATATCAGGAGAACTGATGGACACTTTCCAGCGCCCAGGATTGAGGACAAACTCGTAGTCACGTCCACTGCCCACGGTGACAAACATGGGATCCGTGGCCACCTGGAAGAATACCTCACTGTTCTGAGTGACATCTGTGGGGTTCTGGGGTTTTAACATCACCTGTCCACGCAGCACCTTGTCGTTAACATTCACATAGCGGAAGATCAAGCGGTACAAACTTGGCTTCTTTATTTCAATGTCCATTTCCACTTCAGGCTAAAAAAAAAACACCTTTCATTAGTGCTTTTTTCATAAGTTAAGCATATCTCCTACAGAACATTTCGAGTTTAAGAATTGGAATACTTCTTTCTGAATTTTGCTGATAAAATTAGATTCTGTAACCATCATATTGATATGATAATGAAATGTATTAAGTCATGTTAATTTTTTTATTCCAATGATGAAGAAAACAATGCTTTTTTTATCTACCTAAGTTACGTATGTAAATGTTGTACTGACCTGGATAGCTGTGAGAATTGCATAACCTCTCCAGGAGAACTTTGGGAAATATGTCTCATCAAAACCATATCTGATTCTTGAGCCTTCAGGAGTCCTGCCATCCTCTATCTCATATTTAAACTGCTGGAGGGTGGGGTAAAAGTGGTTCCTCTCTGGTCTGAATAAAACAAAACCAAAATTATTTACTGCCTCATAACTCTGCTACAAATAATTACAAAAACTTTATATTTAAATGTGCATGTTTTTTATGCAAAGTATTTTTTGCGAAATGTTTCTGCTTGTTTGAAAATTAAAAATAAAGATACCTTTCAAAAAATAGACTTACATGTCACATCTGCGTCCCCCTACTCGTGGCTTGCATGGACACTGTCCTGTTCTCTGCTCACACCTCAAATTGATGGATCCACCACTGTCGCAGTCACATTCTAAAATATTCAATGAAAAAATGCATTTTAAATTTAATGAAAGTTATGAATTTCAGCTTTCTTACAAAGGTCATTGATGAATGGGAGAGGGGATTGAATTGCATACCTGTGCATCCAAATGGATTGGCTTCTGACAGTCCAAAGAATCCACTGGCACATGTGTCACATCGTCGCCCTACCACGTCCAGTTTACAGGTACACTGACCAGTACCTGAGTGACACATATTTAGACCTGCCACTGTACCCGGAGCATAACAGGAACATTCTAAAGAGAGATTACAAACACATGTTAAGACCTGCTACAGTACCCAGAGCATAACAGGAGCATTCTAAAGGGAGATTACAAACACATGTTAAGATCTGCCAATGTACCCAGAGAATAACAGGAGCATTCTAAAGGGAGATAATAGACACATGTTAAGTCCTGTCACTGTACCTAGAGTATAACAGGAGCATTCTAAAGGGAGATAATAGACACATGTAAAGTCCTGTCACTGTACCTAGAGTATAACAGGAGCATTTTAAAGGGAGATAATAGACACATGTTAAGTCCTGTCACTGTACCTAGAGTATAACAGGGAGCATTCTAAAGGGAGATAATAGACACATGTTAAGTCCTGTCACTGTACCTAGAGTATAACAGGAGCATTTTAAAGGGAGATAATAGACAAATGTTAAGTCCTGTCACTGTACCTAGAGTATAACAGGAGCATTTTAAAGGGAGATAATAGACACATGTTTAGTTCTGTCAGAGTATAACAGGAGCATTTTAAAGGGAGATAATATGCATACTACAAAGCATTTACAGTTATATTGTTTTAGAACCTCTTACAGCTATTATACTCTGAACATTATATTATACATATTGTTGTCAATATATGACAGCTAATCCATGTGCAGTAAACCATTTCATTTACAGGATATTCAGATAATCAAACAATAATATTGCCATTTCAGACCCATTAAATTTCTTCAAATACATATACATGAATGTAACAAAATTACTAAAACAAAACACCTTACCGTCACATCCTAATGGGTTGTTTCTGTCCAGGTTATAATATCCCGGCATACACTGGTCACATATCCTCCCCATCACACGCTCCTTACACTCACACAGCTGACCTTTGATGACCTCCCCACACCCTCCCAGGGGGTACCCAGGGATCTGTTTGGCTCCAGCTGGATTACAGTTACACTCTGGAAGGATAAAATATTGTATTTGTTTACGTATCATGAATTTGAAGTTTGTAGCAATATATACCATTTTTACCTTCAGAAGATCAAAACCTGCGTACAAAGGTCATAAAACTTACATGAAGATACCCAATTTGTTTCAGATCACATGTTACTTCTTTAAACAATAACATTTTAAAGCCTTTGTTTGGCTTCTCTCAATAAACAGATTAATACACATATTACCTTCACACATGGGGTAATTGTAGAAGCCCTCCTTACATTTGCTGCAGCTCAGACCATCAAATGTGGCTCTACACTCACACTGACCGGTCAACTGTTCACAGGTCTCACCAAACGAGCCATAACGGTCACAGTTACATGCTGAAAAGAACATCAGCATGATTCTGAATTAAATACTTCAAATTTTAGGCACAAGTATAAGGCACATAGAACTCAAAATTTATTACATCTAATGACAGCTTCATTGATGCTTTCTTTGTTTTGAAATTTGAATGCTGTTGTCAGATACATACGTGAACAGTCCGGGTATCTGAAGAAGCCCGGATGACACCGGCTACAGGTCCTTCCTCCAAAATTGGCACGACATGGACACTGACCATCAGCTCGACACACCTTCTCTATGGAGCCGGGCTCGGCACACTGACATTCTACAGTATAAAAAGGTATGTACACAATGCAGTGACAATGTTCTATATTTCTGGTTTTGTTTCACTTTCCTCCTGGATTTTCTAAATCCTAGTATTCCATCAATACCTTCTTAGTGATTATAAATATGCATAAAATGGTGTATAAAAATAAAACCAATGGCTAGACTTTTACAAATAGCATTTATAACATTACTTATATTCAATTTTAACATAACATTTGACCCTGTAATAAGACCGACCTTGACAAGTGGGGTAGTTGTAATATCCTGGAGCACAACGATCACAGCGAGGATACTGGAAGCTCTCTTTACACAAACACTGACCGGTCTGTTTGTCACAAATTTCCTCAGAGGTTCCAGAGGGGTCACAGTCACATACTGCAAATACAACATACATGTAGATCAAGATAACAGCCACATTTTATATATTCCAATCCTTCTAGCAATAATTTTATGTACATATTTTTTATGTTCATGACAGAGAAAATTCTCAATAAAAGATATACTGTAACTATCACAAAACTTCAGGATTATAATTTTTACCAGTGCATGCTGGGTAATTGTAGTAGCCATGGGCACACTGGTTACACTCCTTGCTGGCGAAGTTTGATTGACAGGTACACTGCCCAGTCTCTACATCACAGTTATTGTCAGTAGATCCTCCATTTATTGTGTCGCACTGACAGGCTAAAACAAGGGGGCAAAAATACTCAGTGTAAGCTGTTTCTTTAAAGATCTCTATTTAAATTTGCATTATTTCTTTCAGTCTACTTTCAACTAACTTTGATAGACTAGTAAACCACCAAGAGTAATGGTTCTTAACAGTCTGGAAAGATCAAAACTAGATGGATAGGCAACAACAGTAATAATAATATTGGGTAATAACAGGAAGTGAACTCACGAGTGCATTCTGGGAAATTGTAGTATCCAGAGGCACACATGTCACAGCGGTTTCCAACATAATTCTCCTTACAAGGACAAGGGAGGCCATCCAAAGAGCAGACAGCGCCCTCTGTACCATTCATGTGACACTGACAGGGGACACAAGTGGGGTAGCCCTCATACCCAGGAGCACATCTAGAATATGGTATACATGTACATATATTTACCTTATACTAAAAAAATACACGTTAAACATAATCTAAAAGCTTTCTTCCTCAGATTTACTTTGTTCTATGTACCAATGTAATCATTGTCATTTTATTCCAATAAAATGATTATGGAGTTGTGCTTAACATAATGTAGGTTCATCTCTACATTCCAGTGCTAATTCATTTTACATACTGACAGCAAAGTCTTTGGAGTAGCATCACTAACCTGTCACAATTGAGGCCGGCGTATTCAATTCGACAGAGACATCGTCCTGAACCCTCCTCACACTCTCCCGTGGACACATTCAGGTCACATTGACAGGCTGAAGGTTAAAGGTTAAAGAGGTCATCATTACACAGCTACTAACAACCACTGATGTAAGAAAGCATGATGACATTTTGTATGAACACTTACGTCTACAAACATTTGTGTCATTCTTTGTGACTCCATAAGGTCTGTAGTAGCCAGCTACACATTTATCACAGTTAACTCCATACGTATTATGCTGAAAATAAAATATCAAGTCATTAAGCAAACAATTCATATCAAATATTCCTTTCAATACATAATTGTCAATATTGTCAATCAATAAATTTATGCTTTCATTCATTCCACAGCATGGTTCATAAGCAGAATTCAAACTAACATGATAATGTTTTTATACAACAAAATGTCCAAAGTTCGGTCTATTTCTATTAACTTTTAAATCTTTTATCAACATTCAATATTGTTAAAATAAAAATATGGTAAATCAACAATTTATAAAAAATTTATTAATGAATATTAAATACTATGACAATCAATGGATAGACAGCTGACCTGACAGTTCTGGCAGACTCCACCTCCCTCGTAGTTACCATACGTGTCAACACTGAGGCCAAGACGATCCACTTCCTCATCATAGACACACTCCGTAGAATGGCCGTAACATTGGCAAGCTGTACAACAGAAATTTAAAGAGGACTGTGTAAAACATTTCAAACCTGTCATCAATCCGTGCATCATTTAAAGTTATTGTTTTATTGCTACTAATAGGTAGAATGAAATGTCTTACGTTCACACATGAAGATTTTGTCTGCCCGAGCAGGTTTCCATTTCTTCTGTACAAACCCCGGGCAGCAGGAGTCACACTGGTTTCCACATGTGTTGTGTTGGCAGGCACACACCAGCAGGTTAGGGTTGCTAGAGTCACTTCTGGCACATGTGTTGGCATGGCCGTTACACACACACCGACCTCCAATGGAAATATCCTTTATACTGTAGAAGTACTGAAACACACAGAAAGTCAAACTCAAATTTTAATGTTTATTCAGTGTATATCCTTGTGATATTGGTATAGCCTTCCACATCTTAAAAGAATTTTCAATGGACTTTTGCGAGTACAAAATTTTGTGCCTATTTTTAAAAATATCTAAATTCAATTTTCTCCATGTGTATTTGACATTCTGTCCACTTTTCTTATACAGTTGAACCTCCATATCTCGAACAATGATATCTCGAACACCATGTAAAAGTGATTTGGAAGACCTAACGGCCAATTTCTTAAGTATTTTACTCTGGATATCTCGATTCCTTGGATATCTCGAAGTTCCTGGCCCCATCAAGTTTGAGATAACCTGTCCCCATCGAGTTTGAGATAACAAGGTTTGACTGTATGTTACCATTGGTTCCATTCAGGGCTGCTGGTACTTAAGAATAACTCCTCACTTGCCTTGCTTTTGACCAAATGTTTTTTCTATTCATCCTTTGACTAACAGATGGGTTTATCTCCCTACCAGTTGTGTGTTTTATCTTTTACTTTGAAATTTACTGATGATTCTTAGTATCAGTTTATCAACTTACTCTACAATAACTTAACATAGGTTGTTTCCCTAACATTTTCCTAGTGAATATAAGGTCCAGTCATGTGTTCTCTGTTGAACTGAAAAACCAATGGGCATAGTTGCCAACTCACCCGATTTCGTCGGGTTACACCCGATTTTTCGACCCTTAACCCGATTATTTTTTATGACACGGCAGGTCACGCTTTTCACCCGATTTTTGCCGAACAACCCGAAAATCTCCCGATTTGGTTCGTAAATTAGGTTGCACTTTTAACTTCCAGTTACAACCCAAGCTTGGATCTCCGTAAACAATGCCGATGGCTATGTTCAGTAGGCCGTGTACCAGTTAATTATCAGTGCAGGTGTTGTTTTGACAAATCAAAGTTTGAAGTCAATTTAAAATGGCTTCCGATAGAACTAGACCGTTATCAGGGCCAGCAGGAACAAATTGAATCAAGAAAAAGAGAAACGATATTTATGTACATATCAAGTTATCTTGGAAATCAACTTTCATTAGATAAAATAAAGTGACAGAAGATAGTGTAGGCCTAACTGTACATTTAAAAAATATTGCACTTGTTAATTAAATTAATTTGGGCGAGGAAAAATTACTTCAAAACCAAAATTGGAATACTTTTCAAATTTAGCGCAAACATGTGCTTCAGATCAGCAATGCAGATTCTGAAAAGGCTTTCTTTAAAAAAAAAAATGCACACTTAATTCAGGTCAATACTGAATAATGAAACCTTCAATGTTCTTTTTTAACATGTAAATTTAATCAGTATATATTAAATTTTTGTCATTGTAAGTTAAAGCCTTTCTTTAATAAAAGAATTCTCAATACACAAATGCTTATACATATATAATTTAATCATGGTAAATATGTCGTGAAAGTCATTACGCGCTATGACCAGATTTTTTACTTTCCAAATCTGGTCATGACCAGATTTTTACATATTGGAGGTTGGCAAGTATGCCAAGGGGGCTGGTTTTAATATCAGTGTACCATGTGAGTGGTGTTGGACTTGGATGACTTTATTTGTGACTGTTGGGTCTGGATAACCTTTTTTGCGACTGTTAGGACTGGATGACCTACTTTGTGACTGTTGGGTCTGGATGACCTATTTTGTGATGGGTCTGGATGACCTTTTTTTGATGGGTCTGGATGACCTATTTTGTGACTGTTGGGTCTGGATGACCTATTTTGTGACTGTTGGATCTGGATGACCTATTTTTTGATGGGTCTGGATGACCTATTTTGTGACTGTTGGGTCTGGATGACCTATTTTGTGATTGTTGGGGCTGGATGACTTATTTTGTGACTGTTAGATCTGGATGACCTATTTTGTGACTTGGGTCTGGATGATGTATTTTGTGACTGTTGGGCCCGGATGACTTTATTTGTGACTGTTGGGTCTGGACGACCTATTTTGTGACTGTTGGATCTCGATGACCTATTTTGCGACTGTTAGATCTGGATGACCTATTTTGTGACTTGGGTCTAGATGATGTATTTTGTGACTGTTGGGCCTGGATGACTTTATTTGTGACTGTTGGGTCTGGATGACCTATTTTGTGACTGTTAGGCCTGGATGATCTATTTTGTGACTGTTGGGCTTGGATGACCTATTTTGTGACTGTTGGGTCTGGATGACCTATTTTGTGACTGTTGGGCTTGGATGACCTATTTTGTGACTGTTGGGTCTGGATGACCTATTTTGTGACTGTTGGATCTGGATGACCTATTTTGTGACTGTTAAATCTGGATGACCTATTTTGTGCCTTGGGTCTAGACAGGGATGGGGTCAATTACATAGGAAAGTAATTAATTAACAATTACTTGCCCAAAACCTTCATTAAATTCCCATTACCATTACTAGGATTTTGAAATGTAATTAATTAAATTACAATTACTTTGCAAATATAATTACTTAAATTGCAAAATACATTAAGAAAAAAACATATAAAAATAAACAATGATAAATAGTCATGAACGCCCATTTATATTCATATAGATTTGGTTACTTTTTTTTTACATTAAGAAACATTGTTTAGATATTAGTGAAATTTTTAAATATTGGCTCCCCTAACCTACATCTATCAGGTTTAAAGATTTTCTGTCACAATGAAGATATTTTACACTGGGGCATTTGTGACAGGAATACATAAATACTGACTAATAGCAAGTTCCAGGGCTTAATTGACCCTTTTTGGTACAGGGTCTTGTACCCTTTTAATTGTGAATTTTTAATCAAAAAAGTGGCAAAATTGGGAAATGTTGTTGACATATTCATTTGTTGATTAAAGAGTTAAATAGTAGACTTGTTCCCTATATACACATGATATATATCTTTAAAAATGATTAAAATTTCAAAACATGTTATTTCTATGTATAAACAGCATTAAAAAATTGAATTTTGTCATCAATTGGGAAATTAATTGTTACCTGAATTTTTGGGGGAAAAGCCAATTTTCAACTGGGACACGGTCCTTTTACAGGACCTGGATGCTGTTTTACCTTAATTCATGTGTCCGACTTTAAGCTTTCTGATATATTTATGCAAAACAATGGATGCGTTTTGCCTTGTTTCCTGCTTTTTTTTCATCTAAATATTAGTATTTGACATATTGTGTGTCAAATTACTGTCTTCCCACAAATTTTTATTAAATAGAAAAATTGGTGTTATAACACCAAATTATATATTTTAAAAAAGATTTGTGGGAAGACAAAGTTAATGTGTGTTGATGAAAGTACCATTAGGTAAAGTCAAAATGAGTGTAAAATCTCTATTTAAGTTAAGTGTCAATATGTACATGACCCTAGGGCACTAATTAGCACCTGTTAATCACTTTTTACACAAGCTGTAGGTATGGCAAACAAAGGATTAGAAGCCATTGGACTAGATATCTTAAGTGTCAATTTATAAACAACTTAATTGAAATTATTAATTTTATTTGTACATCATAAACAAGGAGATAAATATGATCAAAAAGTTTTGAAGAAAATGCATTTTAAAGAGGAAACAGCATTTCACTGATTAGGAAATATATAATTTAAAAAAAAAATTATTATAGAACATTTTGTCATAAAAATCAGTTAACCTTTCTTGAATAAAGTGTATGGGATTTGAAGGGGGGGGGGGGGGGGGGGCTATTTCTCATTTATTAAACACCAATGTAATTGTGAATTACATGCTTTTCTTGAAAGTAGTAATTAAATTACAATTACATGTAATTGAAAATTGGGCCAATTACACATTACTTTCAATTACATCAAAATGTGTAATCAATTACTGTCAATTACCATTACACATTACCATTACCCAATCCCTGGGTCTGGGTGATGTATTTTGTGACTGTTGGGTCTGGATGACCTATTTTGTGACTGTATGACCCATTTTGTGACTGTTGGGCATGGATGACTTATTTTATGACTGTTGGGCCTGGATGACCTATTTTGTGACTGTTGGGTGATGATGACCCATTTTGTGACTGTTGGGTCTGGATGACCTATTTTGTGACTGTTGGGTCTGGATGACCTATTTTGTGACTGTTGGGTCTGGATGACCTATTTTGAGACTGTTAGGTCTGGATGACCTATTTTGTGACTGCTGGGTTGGATGACCTATTTTGTGATTGTTGGGTCTGGATGACCTACGTTTTGACTGTTGGGTCTGGATGATCTATTTTGTCACTGTTAAATTCTGACCCTCTGTCTTACTCTGCAGGCTACATAAGGTTCATTTTGTCCGCTGACCTTTCCCCAGACTAATGACTTTAGGTTTATCTACTTACCCTGCGTGTGACAGTGGGGTCCTGTCGGGCTACAGCCATTAAATGTCCCAGCAATGTCTTGGTCCTGAGCAGCTTTAGCCGGACATTGGTAGCCTTTGTCCATTGTTGTAATTGGTTGGCGTAGGTAAAGTTCTGGGCGTTAGGACGGTTGTTTATAAGGGACACCACTATCTGTAGACCAAAAAAAAGGGATTCTCTATATTGGCAGCAAATAGCTTTTTTAATGTTTATATATTTTGCTATGCATATAAGTTTTTGTAACAGTTATATAATTATGAATCATGACAAGAATACACTGGCTCTTCAGCAACACTGTTCCTGTGTTTATACAGGCCAATTAAAATTGTGGTCTTTAAAACATTTTAACATTTTTTTCTGCAAAAAGAACATGTATGAAAAGGAACTGTTACAAGTTCTCTGTACAGTAGCTCTGAAAATGCTTCCATTATGATTTACCATTTTAAAAAATTGCAAAATATGACAAATGATGAATTTTATTGAGATACTCATGATGAAAATATATTGTCTTATCTTTTTTCAAATAATTCAATTCAATTTATTCACATCACTATGTAAGTACATTGTATACAGTCAAGATAACAAATCATATGACAGACAGTGGTTTAACAATTTCTTTAATGGGATCAGTACCACAGTATAATTTATCATTTCAAATATCATAACACTGAAATCTAAGTTTGTCATACATAGGACAGTAAAGTACAAAATGTTTTTATTTTCAATGAATAATTCACATTTACAAGCATGGCATATATGTTTTTCCTTGGGGATTATTGGTTTACAGTATCTGAATGAATAGTGAACATGGTGAATGTGCACTGATTCTTAATTTTGTTAGCTGTGATCTTTCATGTTTTTTTCGAAGGAAACTTTAAAGTAATCCTGCAATTTATATTCAGTACAATTTTAATAAGATTTTACTACAGAAATAAAATTTTCCCATGTTAGATAATGAGATTGTACTCAATTGTTCATAGATCATATCAATTTTAACAAAAGTTTTATTTAACTTAAATCTAAAATCCTTAAGGAAAATATTTAAAGAATTCAAGTATAGTTTTTGTTGAAATTGAAAATCTTGGTTTAGCATGAAGTATATCTATTTTTCAAAGCTAACTCTTTGTCTTCTTTGAAAGCTGATGCTAAAAGTGCATTATTGTGTGTGATATTTGATTCCTAATCTCTTAATCTGATATAGTATTTAAACATTTCCAATACAAAAATAGTAGAGTGGGTAAGAACCAAGCATTGACTGATAACTCTGATGCTGTTCTATGTATACACCTAAAAAATCTTGGAGAATATGATTTGTGGTTTTTTTTTTCAAATGAAAAACATTCTAAGGATTTAATAAAGTGAACCAATTGTATAAAAAATTGATACATACTAACCAGCTAATCAGAAAGATGTATAAACTTCATCTATAAACACAATGCTTCATAAATACATTACTGTATTTACCCACATGTATCAAAAGAATCTAATTTTCTTATCAGAGATAAATACATCTTAAGAAGCTTCAAACACAGCCACTAAATCACAGAGGATATAAAGTGGAGACTTATCACTGATTCCTCTCTGTAAGAGGATTATCTTACTGTTAGTCTCCCCCTCTTATCAAACATCCTCCCTGCATACTGGTAGTCTCTACACAGACTCACCCTCTTATCAAACATCCTCCCTAAGTATTGGTAGACTCTACCCAGGCTCTCCCTCTTATCAAACACACTCCCTGCATACTGGTAGTCTCTACCCAGGCTGTCTCTCTTATCAAACATCCTCCCCAAGTACTGGTAGTCTCTACCCAGGCTCTCCCTCTTATCAAACATCCTCCCTATAAAGTACTGGTAGTCTCTACCCAGGCTCTCCCTCTTATCAAACATCCTCCCTATAAAGTACTGGTAGTCTCTATCCTGGCTCTCCCTCTTATCAAACACCCTCCCTATAAAGTACTGGTAGTCTCTATCCAGGCTCTCCCTCTTATCAAACACACTCCCTAAGTACTGGTAGTCTCTACCCAGGCTTTCCCTCTTATCAAACACCCTCCCTATAAAGTACTGGTAGTCTCTACCCTGGCTCTCCCTCTTATCAAACATCCTCCCTAAGTACTGGTAGTCTCTACCCTGGCTCTCCCTTTTATCAAACATCCTCCCTAAGTACTGGTAGTCTCTACCCAGGCTTTCCCTCTTATCAAACACCCTCCCTATAAAGTACTGGTAGTCTCTACCCAGGCTCTCCCTTTTATCAAACATCCTCCCTAAGTACTGGTAGTCTCTATCCAGGCTCTCCCTCTTATCAAACATCCTCCCTAAGTACTGGTAGTCTCTATCCAGGCTTTCCCTCTTATCAAACACCCTCCCTAAGTACTGGTAGTCTCTACACAGGCTCTCCCTCTTATCAAACATCCTCCCTAAGTTAGTATGTGTTCAACATGCTCAAATACTATATTTCACAATTTGTAACCATGTAAGAACCAAGCTAAATTTCTTGTTAAAAGTTATTTATAACTTCATACAATTTTTTTCTGCCTTCTAAGTAATATTTAACTTAATCTGCCCAATTGTACAAATCATCACTGAAAGTAGAGAGACTTGCATTACCTGATTTTATATATATATTTTATACAAAGAAAGACATTTTATGTTTATATTTATGTCTATATAAATACAGTAATCATATATATATAGTAGGATTAAGTATGTTAAATATTGTATAATTGATGTGTACATGCACTGTATGTTCTTATAAACTAATGTCAATCCAAAATGAAAAAATTATCGGAAAAAAACATGAATGTTTACCCTAAAAATTTATAATGCTGTGTCCTTCTTCATATATTTCCCCCTCTCTTTTTGTTTTTATTTATTTTCTGTCATGTTTTTTTTTTTTTGCTTTGTATGTGTACCTCTGACAAGTTTATATAAAATGTACATATGTTATGTACCAATATTTTGGTTTGGGTGAATAAATCGGGGATTTCAAAAAAGATAAGAAGCATATGGTACTTTTACAAAAATATGAAGTACCTTATGGTACCAATTTTGATGAAGTATACTATCGAATTTTTAAATTTTTCTCCATTTAATATTTTGGGTGGTACAATCATAATTTTAAGCTGGGTAAAAGTACTACCAGGTACCAGAAGATTTTGAAATGCCTGATAACTTAAACTTGTCATTGACATAAAAGCACATATGTACGCAGTCTTGAATACATACATTTGAAGGTGTAAATATGTAAATTTGCATAATAAATTGATACATGACTTTTTTCATGATAATATGTAACTATTCATTTATAAAGAAAAATAATTTATAATTTAAAGATATTACGTTACATGTATGTACATAATTGTAATTAAATTAATTAATTATACTTATGAATTAGAATAATTGGAATTGGCATTAATAAGGTAAAACAAATTGTAATTTATTTATTCTGAAATGTAATTGACCACATCCCTGTTAACACTGATGATAAATGGGAAGATTAAATTCTTTATCTGGAGGTCTTCAATTGGGATCAAGTTAGGATCAACCACTTCTCCCTTATCTCTAAATCACACAATATGGCTAAGGATTCAATTACATATACTGCACATGTATAGACACTATATTAAAGTCTACTGGCTTTAACTGCTGAGGGATCCTTATTTATCAATCAATTCTTTGTCCTTAACTTCATTTGAGCTTTAATGTCAAATTCCTCCCAGCTATTTAGGAAAGTATTTAAATTCTACTGCACTGTTAAGGAAGTGATACACAGAAGGGTGATATTTAAGAAGTGTACCCTTCACTGATTTGGTCATAAGTAGCTCATACTTAAAGGTCATGATGTGTGGTTTAGTAACAATAATATATACTGGTCCTGGTGACACACAAACACTAGCTGTCCCCGGTCAGTTAAGCAGTCTGTAACTACTGCACCAGGTGACCAGGGGTACAGTGTCCCCATTCGACTGACTCACACAGCGAGGGTTTTGTGAAGTGTAAGATGTTGAAGAGGGAGCTGGAATGTTTTACATGAATGAATCTGATACACAGCTGTTCTACATAATCTGTGGCATTTGTTACTTATCATACACACAAGGCCCCTCTCTGTTTACCACACTTCTCAAGGAAAATAAGTCAAGACTTAATCATACATTTTCCACACACCGTGAACACAGCTGTGAAACTTTGTAGGACAAGCTGTGGTATTTATTATGTGAAAAAAGATGAAGCTTTATGGAGGCTTTTAACTAAGCTTTGAATAATCCTGAAAATACCCCCCCCCCTTCAAAAAAAACCTTTAAATTATTATCACCATCATTTCACTTTTAAGTGGTCAGATGAAGGATCTTGGCCATGTGATATAGCTTTTCTAAATCTTATTCCCAAACAATATGCTATCACACAAATTACACACCTTTTTTCAAATAACCAAAAATAAAACATCTGCAGCCATTACCTCTCCATTTTCCAGAGGTACAATTTTGGAGAATTCTGTGGAGCAAATGACAGCATCATCAGAATAGATTTCCTGATCAGCAGGTACCCCGAAAAACTTCATACAGTCACTGGGGGTGTCTGCAAAATACTGCCAGGCACGCCACGACTGTCCAAAGTCTGTAGACCTCTCCAGGGCCCACACCCCAGGGCGCGGGGAATTAGCCATCTTAATGAAGACATAGGCAACATGGAATTCCTGAAAATAAGATGGACATCAAACATAAAATCTTGATACCTTCCTCAATAATAATTTCTTACAATGCACTTTAATCTTAAACATTTAAAAGTACTGTGTACATATATATACATTTTATGTATTTATCATATAGACTTTTCTATAGTCTCTGCCCTGTTCATGCTTCATTTAGTTAACTTTTGCATCTAACTTGCACACATTCAAGACAGAGCCTTATAATATGCATAGATCCACAAGAATATTTTATAATAGACATGTGATAGAACACCTCAAAGAAATTGTAATAGTCATTGTAAGACAGAAACCCACTGCTCAACTGACAAATGTTGTAAAATTATTGTATTCCTCAAACTGGTTTGAAAGCAAAGAATCATTTTTAATGAACAATCCATTTGAAAAGGGCTTTGAAAGTGTGATGAATTGACTTTTATTAATCCTTATATATTATGAATAAATATTTGGGAACCCTCATTTTTAAAAACATTAGATCTAAATTAAATTCTTGATACTAAATATCTTTTGTAGAGAAGACTGTACCAGCAGTCATAAGTAGACTAATTGACATTTTTAAGTAAATCATTAAACAATTCATTGAATGAAGTATATTGTCAAAAATACTGTGTCATATGTCATAAATCTGAAGAATTCCCATCATTTTCTAGTTCATTGTACATGTATGTTGTAACATAAGATGCCACATAAAGTTCCATCTATTTGGACAATGGACTACCGAGTAATCCCTTTAAACATACTGTGACATTTCACAAAGTTAAACAAACACACACTTCAGTCTGGAGGGCCATTTAATTTTCAAACAAGAGCTTCTTATGTAAGATTTTATTTATAATTCAATCAATGAATAGATAATCACACATCAAAGGAAAACAAATCATAAACCCATTTTACAGTAGGATAATGTGTAAGATCAGCATTAATTACATTAACTCAGGAGAGACCCCCACTGTGTGACATTTAAGACTGAGAGGTGTTCACTTCACGCCTGGAGTTTCTGATGAATTCAGGTAAATCTTAGTACAATTGTCAGTAATGAGTGGTTATACAAGGGTTATTACAGAGTCACTGTTGTCAGTATCAGCAAAGAGAGCTTGTATATACTAAACCTTCTGTCTGATAACATGGCTTCTGCCAAAACCACCTTATCTCTGGTTGTCTAGGTAACAGATTTAGCAGAGCTGCCAGTTCGCTACAGCGTCTGAACCGATGTTATCTAGACTTTTACATCTATGCACTATTTCAATAAAATGTGACCTAATTCAGAATTTATTTTTTTTTTTATTATTTATTTATTTATTTTTGCAAAAAGAAAAAAGTTATATAATATGCATTAACTTGTTACCTGTCCGAGGTCTATCGTGAGGTTGACGCGATTATATTCCATCCCCCGGGACAGGGGCGGGCTCTGCCACCATCTTTCCGTCCCATCAATGGCATACTCCGGAGGGTGACGATGCTCGCGGATGCTGGGGTCACAAACGTCACAATACTGTCCCTGGATTATCTCCCTGTAAGGATCAGCGAACCCATTTTCTGAGCTGGCCCCGGTCAGACGGCAATATAACTCCTGTCCCTCCTCCCCACAAGTGGAACTAGCATAAATTCTCCTCTCCTGGGCCAGGTTAAAGTAGGGAGGGGTTAAAACTTCCCCCTTTGTAATTTTTTGATAAAATAATAAAATCGGCACAACCAGGAGATACGCTCTCCCTGCCGCCATTTTTCGCAAACTAATCAGTTTCACAGACTGGGCAAACACTTATCTTGCAGACTAATGGGGTATCCCATTCTATTAATAGGTAGCGCCAAATTCACTCCCCCAGTCACGCGGAACGACCTAAGTGGAACATTCCATTCAGTTTGAACGTGCACCTGTACAAAGTTGGGTGTACGCTGATGTTAAACACTCTTGCACTTGTAATTTTTTTTCTGTAACAGAGTTAAATTCGTGCAGAGAGGCCCATAGGTAAGTTGTGTACGAAACTGCTCAAAAGATAATGTCTTAAAATAACATTTTTTTTTAACAGAGACATTTATTCTACCAATGACACTGGGAACTCTAGGAATAAATTTACTACAGTTAAGATTTTTTTTTTTATTGGATTTAAGAAAAAAACTGGACCAAGAAGAGATGATCAAGGTATCATTGTGACATGGTCTGCTGGAGGTCTATACGAGCTGTCCTCCAAACTAATCTCAGAAATCCTTAATTCGTGTGTTAGTTAAATCTCAAAGTATAGAGTATTATGATAAGGAAAGCGAATCTTTTTGTCGATATTACCTACCTCTTTCCTTCGTCGATCTTGTGAGGTGCATTATCTGTTGTGTCAAAAAAAATCATAAAAATACATTGTTTCTAAACATCAAGAGACATTAAATTTGATAACTAAGCATATATATGAGAAGATGCTTAAACATTACATATTGATGTTTTCTTATTCGTTATTTCCCTCGTCATGAATCAATGTTTTATATTACATATTAAAACTCACACATACATACATTTTATTACGTTTTACTTAGATCATGGCACAGCCTGCTATATAGATCTAAATGTAGCACTGTATAAAATGTACGAAAGTGAATTGATAATTACAAAATGAACATCCTAGCTGTAGCACTACCCCTACATGATATTTTCTATATGTTTGTATGAAAGCAGGCCCGTAGCAATGGGGGGGGGGGGGCACTTCCCCCAAAAAAATCTGACAAGCAAAAAAAAAAAAAAAAAAAAACATAAACTGACCAAAAGGGGGGGGGGCAACTTCCCAAAATTATCTGACAAGGAAAAAAAAGTAATTTAGGAAATTTACTGTCCAAATCCTGGATTTTGCCAGTGCTCGACCTTAAAACATCAACAACATCAAAAATTAGGGGGGGGGGGCAAAAAAAATTACTATAGCAAAATACTATACTCAGAAAAAAGTGGGGGGGGGGGCATTTTGTCTGAAAAGTTACTGCTATAGTGGTTATTACATTTGTGCACACCTGTTGAGTTATTTACACCACGGTAGTTACCGCTATAGTGGTAATACCAGCTATAGTCAGTTAGTCACGCGGTAAGTACACTTGCACCTGCGCTCCTCTTCAGTTGCAATAGTGATTAAAAAAAAAAACCAAAAACAAAAACAGAATCTGTTGACATGTATTAAGGCTGGTTTGTACAAAGGCATAAATAGTGGTTTAACAGAGTGTGTAATACCACCGATCAAATAAATATTAATTTATGAAGGGGACACCATAACCGACGGGGTTTAAGGTAATTCGACATCCTCTGGTTGTTGATAACCAGCAGTTAGTTAATTGAAAATGCTCATGAAAATGTTTCTGAACGCACAAAATAATTTTATATTTACCCATAGTATTTCACCAAAGATCATCATTATAGTTATATAGGGAAAAATATCAAATCTCAAATATATTTTCAGGAAACGCAAATAAAAGGAACAGCTTTGCATTTTCTAATTGAAAATCGATCAGCAAATATAATTTAGGGTAAGAAACTATAGGTATCCTGACATACGGAGAAAATTGCAATTTTTAACATATATTATATAAGGTATTTTAGTTCTTCTTTTATTTACTTCAGTTGTTGTACATACATAGTGGAAAACATCATCAGTCACAACGTCAGGGGTCCCGAGTCGACCCCTGATAATCTCTCATTAAAGCACCAATCAAATTGAAGGAGACAGATAATATAAACAGAAAGGAATCAGTTGACACCTAAAATGCACGTGTTACGCATTGCTCATCACCGAAAGACTTAATATGATTGGTTGAGAGATTAAAAAAAAACAATCAAGATTTGTAGTTTTCCCGAAAGACGTCTCTGCAGTCAACCCGCAAGATATCGAATGAAATTTGTCAGGGGTCCAACGGAAACGTGTTGACCTGACCTTGTGAGGATGAGTGGGAAAAGCTTGTGTTATCATTGTAAGACATCAAAGATCTCTTCTAATTTCATATCATGCTAATGAGCATTTGTATCGAAGGAAATTCGACTTCTCTACAAATGTATTTATTTTTGTACTTTTGGGGGGTTCAAATGTCAACTTTTTACAAGACCGCTCCTAAGGCTTCAAAGAACTAATTGGTTGGGATGCCACGTATAATTAAATGAGAACAGACCTAAATCTTGTCCGTATCCGAAGTCATTAAAAATGGTCAGATGGAGCATTACTTGCATGCATCACGTGAAACACCGTAAATGTACCGTATAGTCGCATGGCCGTAGGAACCGGGGGGGGGGGGGCACGGGGGCCGTGCCCCCCCCCCCCCAATAATTTTGCCGATATATAGAATACTATAGAAAACATAGCTACTACATGCTTGTGCCCCCTCACTAATAACGTCTGATAACCTTGTGTCCCCTCAATGTGAAATTGCTTCCTACGGGCCTGAGTCGCATTCACAAATGCACCATCATCACTTTTCGCTTTATATACAAAATACACAAATACCTGACCTCCAAAAAAGGTTCGATCAATAAAAAATATTCTACAAAAATTGGTATGCGGATAGATTTTCAAAACTTTAGAAAAATTCGAACCTGTTACCATTAAGTTTGCCTATGTCGCATAAAAACTGCTATTCGGATTGTCTTCCATAAATACACGTAATTAGTCTCTCAATTTATAGCCACATAAAATAAAGAAAATTTGGCACTAAAAAGCGTGCAGTGCTGTAGATCTCTTTTTATAATGTGTTTACTGAAGGCAAAATGATACCATTGTAATGTTTTACTAAAATTTTGAATTTGGGGTAAAATTTACATTAAATTTACAACATGATAGTGTTTTGCTTGGAATTCAACACACTCCATTGGCGCATGTTTAAATAAAGCATTTGCCCGAAGCGATCGATCTATCACTGATCGATGTAATTTTATATACGGTGAAAGTACGATTTAAAGAGCTATTTTAAAGGCATTTCGAACAACTGTCGGGTTAGGTATTCAATAAAACATATTTTACAACTTAACTACACATGCTGCTTGTACAAACAATAGATCTTCAGCATGGAAGGTGAAATGAAACAAAATGCCGATTCGAAGGAGGGCAGGTGCAACGAGTGTGTGAAAACATTTCCAACAATGTCTTGCTACAATGAAGGAAAAGACTTCATGTGTCCTGTTTGCTCCAATTTGTTGATTGTTGGACGGGGTCTTGAATCGCCTACAAACGACGGTAGGATTTCACAAGAAAATAAGATCACCCGCTCAAAGACGTTTGTTCCTAAGTTAGTTAAACCTTTGAATCTACAAAGAGGGAAAACCATGATTCCAAAGCCAGCATTACCGAAGTCTAGGAGATCAGTTCTTTCGAAAACCTTCCAGCGCGCCAAAACATTTGCAGAAGGCACAATTCAGTCACGTGTGGCAGGGACAGAATGTGGGTTTTTGACAGAAGCACGGACATCGAATGTGAAGTTAAAATCTCAATTCAAGTGTGCAGAATTTCGTGGGTGTATAAATTCTATCTGGCCTGTATCTTCGCAACATTCTTGGTTAGTGATAAAGAACTCCGAGGTTGCACTTTACAGCAGGACTGGGGCACTGCAACACAAAGTGACAGGAATACATCAAAGCATCACCGACATGGCGATAGATTCGGACAAAAACATGTACTTGGTGTGCTTCAAGGAAAGACTTGTTTTGAAAGTGGCGATGAAGTCCAGCGTTGAGATATCAGTGTTCGCCAAAATGACAATGACTCACCCGACAGAGGTATGCACATCACCGCGAAACCTGGTCATTGTGGCAGGTGTCGGCGTCACCTCTGTTCGATATCTTCCAGGAATTGGAAGGGAGTATGGTATTTTCATCTTTGATGTTCACGGTAAAATGATCAAGAAAATCTTGCGTTCGAATCAAGAGTTTCAGTATCCTCTGTATGTTGGAATAAATACATTTGAGGAGATAGCAGTTGGGGATTATCTATTGAAGAAGATCATCCTCATGTCTTCCAGTGGCCAGGAAATAACGACTTTTGATGGATTAAAAACTTTTTCGCGTCCGTTTGTCCCAAAAGGTCTGTGTTTTGACCAGCTTGGTAATGTTGTAGTGGCTAATTGGGACGGAAGTGTGTGTATCTTACTAAGGGATGAGGGTTTCTCCTCTGTAGGACTGCAATTTGAAAGGCAGCTCTCTCCATTGTCTCTGGCTGTGGATTCTGAAAATGACCTATGGATTGGACACAGACAAGGTGGAAATGTGGATATATACGAAATAGATTATACAAATTTGCGTCAGGAGAATGCCGCAGTTTGTGTGGAGACGGCAGCCAGATTTGACCAAGACGGCTCGGATAGAAATGAGTGTAAGGAAGACTTTGACAAGACTTCAGTGGTGTCCATAAAAACGGATAAAGAGAAAACACCACCTTGTGAAAGTTCTCCTGGAGAGAAAATGACGGAATGCCGAGAACTGAACGAAAGTAAAAATCACCATCAGGAGAAAACATTGCTGGAAAACGTTTAAAGAATCCCCACCCTTTATAATTTGTCACGATTTTTTTTTCTCTCTGGATTAAAAATGAAGCAGTTGGTTAATAAATAGGTGTGAAGAAGAATGCCATACTTATAGTGTTTAAAAAGGGGAAACCCTGAAGGAAAAGGGAGGGATATTATTCAAGGCAGATTCCGACATGTGGTTCGTAGTCATAACTCTAATTGAATGAAAATGAGCGACAGCAGCGTAGAAATAGGTATATAAAAGGGATTATGTGGAACGTAACTGCTTCGTGAGATCCAACCCTGCCTCGAAAATTCAGCCATTTCAATATAGTATTGAAAGCAATCTCATTCTGAACAATAATCAGTTTGACCATATACAGAGTATTGCAGGCACACAGAAGCTGAAATAAAAATTGAGCCGAAAAAGCAATACACGTCCCTGTATAAATTATATCTGATATGAATAGTTAAGTCTCACCTCCTCTTTGTTCAAATATTAGCTGGTAACTCGGAACCCCTGCAGCTGTAAGTCAAGTGCTCTACCAACTGAGCTACCCAGGCCGATATGTACGACCTAAACATATTACATTCCTCCCTCCTTAAGTTTTCTTCGCCCTCGAAGACACAACCCAATTTTTTATTTGCCCTTGGCGGGACTTTCACCTAGTAATCAGGGGTGGTCAACCGCATCAAACTGTGTGACAGGTAAGGGAAAAAAATGTATGGCTGGACCCGGAATCGAACTTTGAACACCTGCATCTCTAGTCACAGTGGCGGATCCAGGAATTTCCTAACGGGGGGGGGGGGGGCGCAGTAGAAGGCGGGGGGGGGGGGGCTGGGGGTGCATTGAAGCCCCCAGTGGGTCTAGGGCAAAGCCCTGGTGGGGTCCGGGGGCGAAGCCCCCGGAAGCTGACGAATTCTTACAAATAAGGCCAAACAAAAAAATATGTGTGGTTCCGGTTACACTTCCAAAAAAATTAGGGTAGGTAGGTAGGGATTTTTTTTTTTTTTTTTTTTTTTAACAAAATGATTTTCTTCATTTTTTCTAAATAATACCTATCACTGCTTTGCAAATGGCATTTAGATGTGGTGTGATAATATACTAGTCAATATTGGTAGGGGACGCCTACATGCTAGCTTGCTTTGGATTTAACACTATTAAACACTTGCACTATGTTTTGCAAGGAGGCCGTCATTGCTGAAACTAAAACTTAAACTGGAGCCATTGATGGAAATCGGGGGAAATTCCGGAAAAAATATGAAAATTGCCAAAAAAAAGTTTAGGGTCGGGGGTATAAAATAGGGAACGTCGGGTAACCGGAACCACACATATTTTTTTATTTGGCCTAAGAGATGTTTTTTCCTTGATTTTAGGATAATGGACATATAAGTTCTATATACAAAAAAATTGAAACGGGGGGGGGGGGGGCGTGCGCCCGGCGCGCCGGCCCTTGATCCGCCTTTGAGTCAGGTGTTCTACCAACTGAGCTACCTAGGCCGATACCCAAAAAATACAAATCGTCAAAAACACTGTATTTTTCATCTTCTAAATTTTGAATTTACCGGATGGGAGTTAATACGAAATATTTTACTCCCACCTGGTAAATTTTAAATTAAGAATATGACATATTTTTTGTAGGAGGGGAGGGATGGGGGCTTTTTCATGGATTCTCTTCACCCACAAAATGTTGTTCAACCTTAGTATTTTTAAATCAGGTGAACAATTTCCTTATCTTCAATCCAAGAAAATATGCCAACAGGAAAATATTTTTTAAGTTTCAATAAGAAGACTCCAAACTCTATTAGTGAAAAGCGAGTCAGTCGAAACATTTGAGGAACGAATGTACTCTTTTTTTTGGTCGAATATCTCAACGTTTAAGTTATTTAGATATGGTTTGACAACTCTGAACACAACATGATTTCAGATTTGATATTGTTTGGGTAAGTTTGCATGATTTAATATTTTTCTATGCTTCCAAGTAATAAGATACAGGTCATTTCACACTGCGACATTTATCTCACATTAACCATCACTGGTCATGAATGGTGTTTACCTCTCAATGATGACGTACCCTGGTACACGATGGCAACTTTATAGTTATATATCTGGTTTGAATGATGCCTTAAATTGGATTTGATTCTTTCTTTTTATCAAGGACTTTGTTGGTTAATGCTGGTGCTATCTTGAACTTTAAACTGTAAGTATATCACAAATTTAAATGTACCGACATTTTGTTCAACTTTATGTGTATATGTAGGTGTACGTTCAGTCGTTCATGCCTTGTTTTATTTTAATGCAGAGTCAAGGGAAAGAATGACCAGTTTGAAGTCAATCCTGAACCAACTCTAGGTAATTTCCTTTGACATAAGTGATACCCAACGTTTTTGTTCACCTATAGGTCTCAGGTCTATATTTAAGCTTTTGAGATGGTAGAGTTCAGATTGGGGGGGGGGGGTGCAAAGCAAAGGAGTTACAGGTCTGTAGGAATCCGTTTCTGGGAAGGAGAGGGGGATAACAAACATTTTTGAAAAGCAAAAAGGGTCATCCAACATTCTCTTTGAGGAGGTATCCACGTATTAGCTTTCTTTCCTACTGAATAGTATATTATGGCAAAATTATTGAGGGAGCACAAATGTAAATTATTTTGTTTTCCATTGTAAAGTATATAACCATTAACCAGCAAAATTATTTGGGGTACCCGCTTCTTTTTCCCATTCTTATGGATCTAGCATAAGATAATGCTAATCTGAATTCTTTCACAGTATTTTCACCTATTGAATACTGCAAATACAAGAAATTGTTTTTGAATATCTTTCAAGTATTGAGTTGTTTGAGTTGCAGGTGAGAAAGTCCGGGAATTTTTACAGAGCTTACGATATTTCAGAATTTTCATTGGATTATGGAACATATTTGTGATGTTTCTTATGCTAGTGTGAGTATATATCTAGTCAGCTATTTACAAGTCTCAGGAATTACAATGTCTATTATTAACCATTTGATGACTTTTTTATTTATTTTTTTTTTAACAGAATATACAAAAGGTTTCTTTTTTCATTTCAGGTTTTTTGGACATTGACTTTTTCTAGGATTATATATTGTAAATACATGTAAACAATTTCATATTTCATCACTGTTTATCTGAATTTCATTATGTATATTAACAATTATATAAAATTTATTCAAATATGATATTAAAAAAATCGACTAGATAGTTGTAAATTTGTTTATGAACTCTGTTGACAAAGCGATAATGTGAAGAGAATAAAGCAGTAACGATGGTTCTGTGCTAAAGACTGTGAAATTCTGTTGTGTTTCCTTTTCCACAGTCTTAGGGGTACACTTAATTCCCCATCCATCCCTCTTATCTACACTGTTGCCAGATCTGTCTCTTCCTTCGTTTGTTTGCCCTTCGTTTGTTTGCCCTTCTTTTGTTTTTCTGACTTCTGTGTATATCCTTTGATCATCATTTTCTCTGTACTCTTTAGGAAGATCTGGAAGAAATGATAAAATTAATAAACAGAAAATCCAGATGTATTTGACATGAATGGCTGACCAGAAGGTCTTTGCGTATGTATTATGGACATAATGATTTGTTGATGCCGTATTTGACTTATGGCTAACCAGAAGGTCTTTGCTCATGTAATACGGTTTGCTGATTCCATCATTTTCTCTACAGTCCTCGCAGAAACACAAGAAAATTGTGTCGATTGTTATCTAAAAAAAAGAAGAAACTAAATGTTTTGTTTTTGGATGGACAAAGATGTGACGTTAAATATCTATACTTATAAATTAATAAATTTTGCGAATAAACTCCGAACCGGATGCACCAGAGTGTTCACTTACTCCTCTGAGAATATACTAGATACAATATGATGTCCGTAAACTATATTTAGATTTCACTCGCATTGTAAGTATCGTACATTAAATTAAAAGTCTACTTTTATTTTCTATAAACAGCCATGAAATAGCAAAAACGTGAGTATGGTGGCGTTTCCGGTTGGCGGATCTAAGTTTCAGGCAATTTTTTATGAAGCTGAAAACAATCAATCGCGTATTTATTTCATAAAACGTCATCACTGAATTATTCAATCAAAACTTGATTTAAATGACATAAAAGAAATAAGTTGTGATAACCGATTAAAAAGGAAAATGTGCAAATTATTTTTGTCATTCACCGATCTTGATATTAACGGAAGCTTCTAGAACATCATATAGCATCGAGCCCGATGTTAAAAAGAAAAACGAGACAATTATAGCTGTAGGAACATAAAAAAGCTAATGTGTGAATGGTCATTGAAAAAATGGTAAATCATTGATAACACTATAAGTTGTGAATATATTTATATATCGAAAGACTATTACATATATGTAGTAGGTTTTCCTAATAAATTTATCGGTAAAATGTGTATATATTCCTCACTGCTTACATGAAAGAGAAAATTAATAAATAAGATATTGTTCAAATACAATTGAAGCCGTAAAATGTTGTGCTTTAATCAATACATTTCAGGTTTTTTTTTTGTTTGTTTGAATACTCGGCCTATTCATAGGGCGTTGAAAGCTAATTTTTACACAGATACTTGCGTCTTGGTTTATATATATATGTATGAACCTTATTGATATGTAAAAAAGGTAAAGTACATTTTTTACATATCAATAAGATACATACATATTTATAAACCAAGACATGAGTACCTGGTAATTTTTACCCCCCCCCCCCCAAAAAAAAATCAATTTATCGGCAGTAAAATGTGCATATTCGCTGCTTTTAATTTATCCTTGACGGAAATGAAATAAGAGCATACAATATATCCATAACATAGTATAACAGGTTTCATAATAAACATCAAGTAATGAAATTGTGTGTCAAGTTTTTGCAAAAGGGGGGGTGGGGTTGGAGACGCACATGAGGGATTTTGAACAAAGCATTTCTTCCTGCTATAACCCTGTAGGCTGTCAGTAGAAACTACAATATATTTTCTGTCGGTAGTGGTATAAATTCAATTCCCCGCGCTTGCGCGGGATTTCATCTAGTACATGTAAATTCTGACCTCATATACAAGGAGAAAACAATGCGCTATGGCAAAGGCAACCACACAGCTAACGGTGATGGGAACAAACGCAAAATTTACATCCTCATGTCCCTGCAATGGCGGAAAACATCAGTGTCAGGCTTTTCCCTCCAATATTAAAGGTTGAATAAGGGTCCGTCTTACAAAATAACTTACGACTAAGACCTAAATATAAGTTTGCGAAAACTTTAATGTTTACATTTACTTGAATATAGTATTAATCTTTTTTAAAAAGAATTTTGAGAGATATTTTTTATGAAAAAAACAAAGCATGATAATTTTGCAAGATTTTACAATCGGTTAAAACTTTAATTTTTGTCGCAAGTTCTTTCGTAAAATGGGGCCCAGGAATAGTAAAGAATTGAGTTGGCACACATTTTTTAGTACCTTAGGTGTATCATATATCTTTTTTAAAAAAGTGTGGAAACACTGAAAAATGCATATCAAAACATGTGCCGTGATTTAGTGCATTTTGCATACCTTTATGCGAATCACCAATTTCGCTGGGTAGAGGAAACAAAATTTGTAAGTTACAGTACCGACCAGACACAACCTAACAGAAAGCGAACCCAGAGCGCACCCCGGGTTCGCTTTCTGGGTTCGCTTCGGGTTCGCTTGAGGTTCGCTATAGCGGACCCCGAGCGAACCCGGAGCGGACCCCGAGCGAACCCGCAGCTGACCCAGAGCGAACCCAGAAAGCGAACCCCAAATTCAGTAGCGAACCCAGAAAGCGAACGCGCGTTCGGTGTTGCGTAAGGGAGCTGTCAATCAGGATTAGCGATAAAACGTGTTAACCAATCAGCGCCTCGACCAATCCAGTTTGTTATTCGATGTAAATAAAACATTGTACAAGCAAAGTATATTAATGTAAAGTGTGAAACTGTTATTAACATGATTAAAAAAATTATTTATATCTTAATTATCCAGGTAGCATGTTATTTTTACACATTTATTTTCTGTATTTTTTATTTTTAAAATTCATTAACATTTCGTAAAAAGGTACTTTCGTGTATAAAAGAAAAAAAGGAAATAATGGTTATTACAATTGTTACTAAAAAATGAAAAAAAAAAAAAAAGATTTTGACAAATCAATGCATTTCATCATTTCAAGTTACTGTACAAGATTATGTATAATTATGTACATGTACGTGCTTTTTATTCAATTACTTTATAATTCTAATTTCCATCTCGTCTAAATCCAGATCAACATTAAAATTATTGATCTTCTTAATTGAAAATAAAAAAAAAAAAAAAGTACATGTATGTCCGATCGTAAACAACTATGGTATTATTTTGAATTATCTTCTACAAGAAAAATAATGTAAAGCTTTAATAAGCTTGTTTGTTTGTTTTTTTTTACCTGAAATAAAAGAGGAAAAAATGAAGCGCGATTTACATAATTGAACGAACTAATTATCGGTAGTAAATAAGCAATATAGTAAGTCGTACAGTATTGTATTCTCTAAAAATAGCGTAACTTTTATAATAAAGCCTATTTAAGATATTTAACGATTTTTTTCTCTGATGTTTATTATATTAACTGCTAATTGTGGTCTTGATTGTTTTATATCAATGAATCAAAAATGTACATGAAAAAAAATTCCGAATACTTACATTTAAATATTTAGTCGGCAAACGTACACGACATGATTGTCGGGGTTACTTTTAATCCCTGATGCTAATTATTATTTTTTTTAATATAATTTCGGCAAATGAAGGAATAAAAAATGGCTGATTTTTGAAATTCATAAATGGAAAGATGGATAAAGTTTTGAATCATTTTAGGCCATTTTTAATTAAAAATCTTATACCCGCTTACTGCATATAATAAAATCCAATTAAATCAAAACTCACGGCCCATCTATATCATGTGATAGAACAAGCAGCATTCAATCATAAATTACATCTTTGAGTATCAAAAAGATTAATTAAAAAAAAAACCAATTTTCCAAAGTCGGAGAATTACATAAATAATTATTTGTAATCTAAAATAACTACATGTATTAAGTCTTATTTACATGTACATGTAGTTTCAAAAATATCCATTTCTAAGTTTTTTTTTTCAGTTTTCCAAAGTCGATGAATTTCACCAATAATTATTTTTAATCTAAAATATCTATTAATTAAGCCTAATTTCGTTCTAAAAAATATCCACTCCTATATACTTTTAACTATTTTGCGTAAAAAATCGCGCGTTTGCGTTAACAATCATGAATGGTCGTGTAACGTGAAGAATCGTGTACGTGAAGGATCGTTCGTGTAACAGGTTTAATCGTGCGGAATCGTTCGTGTATATGTTTTCAACAATAACGTTGCAACCACTGTACATGCTTATGTATCGATCGCCACAAAAACAATAATGATCGATTTCACTACTGTATTTGGAATATACAAGGGGCGGGGCTTACTCGCGGCAAGATTAAAGCGGGGTCCGCTTCAAGCTTGAGTGCGTAAAGCGAACCCAGAAAGCGAACGCCGGGTTCGCTCTAGCGGACCCAGAGCTGACCCCGAGCGAACGCAGAGCGAACCCGAAGCGAACCCAGAGCGCACCCAAAATTTCTGAAAGCGGACCCGTAGCGGACCCCGAGCGAACCCAGAAAGCGAACCCGGGGTGCGCTTTGGGTTCGCTCTGGTGTTAGGTTGTGTCTGGTCGGTACTGTATATTCGAAAAATGAAATTGGTGATGAATACCATTGCTTATTTAATTGCAATGATCCATTTATTTTGAAATCAAGATTATCATTCATATCAAAGAATTTCTATTTATGTCAGTTTACGAGAATAAAGTCATTGCGTTTTAAAAGTGGTTGAGTCGAGGCACCGAAGAGGCTGAGACCCATTGCTTTTAAGGAATGGAGAGGTACTCGGACATCGACTTACTTAAAATCCACTGCATTAAATTCTTCTTATCATTGTAATTCTATATATTTTACAGACATATTTAAATTAGCTTAAATTATATATGTTATTAAATAATTTTTATTCCTATATAATACGGAAAAGTAAGTGGTATGAAGTTATTTGAATTCCCACTCGTCATCGGTCTCGGTAGCATGGTGTGGAAAGTACACGACTTGCATGGTGAAGGAACTGGGTTCGAATCCCAGAGTTGGCACAATTTTTATAAGTAAAATATTAGTTATAATAAGCTTAACACCAAAAGGTAAATATGAGGGAAAACTTGTATATAATAGGGGAAAAAGTGTTCTCCTTTAGTTGATATGCAACTCTCCATTCCTGAAAAATAATGGAGCGCTCATTCTAAAGAATGACGTTACAAGTAGATTTTGGAATCTTGCTCGTAGATTTCAGATATTCTACAGACTTACTCGAAAAAATTCGTTGCCGATGACAAGGACTACTGCTACAGTGCTAAGTTTTCCCAGAAAAAGAATGAAGTCCCCGATAGAGTTGATGGCGGCCACTCTCAGAGCGTTCTCCAAAATCAACATGAACGCTTTCTTGGCTCCAGTACAGAAAGAGTGGCCGAAGATAGCTTCAATAAAAAGAAATGTACTGAAGTGGTACTGTTAGCTTTAAAGGCACCAAATTATGATAAAAATCAAAGGAGAAAAAATAATACCAAAGTAAAGAGCGTTCATTTTTTCCTGCAAAATTGGTAAAAAAAAAAAAGAAAAAAAAGATCTTTTATTAAATTTGTGAGCGCAAAGATCTAGTACAACATAAGAAGCTGGGGAAAAAATCAAAAAGCAAAATTTAGACCTGTACTTGGCACGTATAGCCGTTGAACAGCGAGGGATTTTTTCTTCAGCATCTACTGCGACACAGGACCTCGGCTCTCTGTTATACAGTGGATTCGAACCCGCGACGTAAGGATTATATCCTTACTCCGCGAATATAGGGAGCAACGTTCTAACCACTGATTCACGCGAGCGACTGCATGTGTAGAGAATTCAGCAACAGGCTAACATGTAATATATAAATACTGCATACATTGACAATTTTCACCTTGATTATGCCCAAGAGAGTCATTGTCAACCATGGCGCAGCCGAGGTTGAAAAAGTGTTTAGAGGGATGGAAATCTCATCTCGGTTCAATAAAAATATACGGGAAACCGTACACTTCCATCTCACGCATGTGATAATTTTTATACTTAGCATCACCCATTACCGAGTAATGCTTACTGTTACTAGACAAAAACTGAAATTAGAAGAAATCTACAAGGAGTAGCAATTTTAAAATAAATATGTTGAGATGAACACACAAACGGACGACGGACACAATGCTAACGTATCAAACTTCCGTAAATTTCAGATCAGCTGTGAGAGGAAAAAGATATATAATAAACTTTTTCATAATAATATGCATGTAAATTTTAGCACCGCAATTCTCTTTTCACATCAGAGGAACTTGCCGGTTTCACTTGAATAGTGATTCATAAATAATAGACAAGAGCTATAGTAGCGTATTCTCAAAGCTACGAATTACTACCATGAGATATACAAGAGACATACCTATTTCAATATAGGCGTTTCTATTGAGATATGCTAGGAACTTCTCAAAACACCAGAGACAGCATTGTAAAACCTTGAGAATAAAGTCCACAACAGCACCGCTCTTATCCCTCAGTCTGTGGAGAGGAAATAAAGAATGGAGTAAAGATTTTAATATAATCAGGGATTTAGAAATCGTCAGAGACTTTGACTTACCTAGACTGAATATAAGCAAGAATTAGGCGAGCCAACCGCACCACAGCGATGATGAAGGACCCAAAAGCTATGGATCCCATATGATACCTGCAAAAGTAAACTCATAGATCGTATTTAAAGAGTGATTCACACAACTGAAATACTTAAACATTTTTAGTATTTTCTTTATATATCCACCTCATAACTCTCCATATGCCTGTCAGTATTGGACACCCCATGGAAGACCTGTCTCTGAAACAGAGAAGTATAGGTATCTTACAATGATTGGTAGATTTACAAATATGACAAAAGGAACGATTTACTGAATGAGGTACCTTTTGAAATACCAAGTCGCAATGGCACTAGCTATGACGAAATCTTGACATGCAATAATGAAAGCAGTAATCCACAAAAGGCCAAAGATTTGGTACCATCGCACATACTACAAAAATGAAACAACCATAACAGTAAGCAATTGTCTGTGGAGGGATGTATATTTTTCTCGTGATTTATCCATACCAGGCAGTAATCAATTTTTCTTAGCGAGACTGATCATGTGGTTTGTCACATGACCCTTACCTGCCACGCCCCCTCCATCTGGTAAGTGACAGTCTGGGTTTGGTTATTGACAACAGGAAGTCCTGAAAGACGATAGTGACATATGTGGAGATAACGAATAGTATTCGAGCTCAAAAGTCCATTAAACATTACAAAATATGAGCAGAGCAAACGACATCAGAGGTGGGATCAGGTGCCTGGGAGGAGTGAGCATCCCCTGTCGACCGGTCACACCCGCCGTGTGCTCCTTGTCATGATCGGGAAATAACGGAAAATCTGTCGACAATTCAGTGTGTAAATAATGGCCTAACAATTAGTATGAAAAAAGTCAGTCAGCATTTGACTTAATGATAGATTGTATTTGCTGACAAGGTCATTTATCGACCATAGAACTTACGAAATGATGACTTTAATCAAGACTGCTGATATTCTTGTTTCATCAACTTGTTTGTCAATAACTTACCTCGTTTTAGAAATTGTTCATACAAAGAGCATGCTCTGGCGTATCGAATCAACTGAGTGAGAAATACTTGAGATATAACTAGTATTCCATATTAAATAATTTAACAAGAATGGATTGGCTTATTCTGTGTGGGCTTACCGGAAGTCTCAATATATACCGCTATCACAGCGAGCGCCACCACAGTCCCAATCAGTATCAGCAGAGTCTGTTAACAATAACTCTACATGAGCTGGATAAAGTTTATTTGAAGGTTATGTACATCAGAATAATTTTTCGCCGTTCTCCATGAAATCGACAAAATTGATTACGTCCTTGCAGTACTCACCCAGACAGGTTGAAAAAGCAGACATGGCACACATTTCAATGCCTTCCCCGCTTCTTTGAATAGCTGCACTACCTGTGCCACAATGGTGATAAATCGACTGATCAATCATATTCTCATTTTAATGCTGCTTCAGATCAGAAATAGATTATATAAATACATGTAAAATACTAGTATACAGAAGCTTACCAGTTGTATTCTTTTTCTCATGATGAGCAAGACAAGCAGCAGCACCAACTATAAAAGATATAAACCGTCCTCTTTTGTCATAGCTCTAGTCTTTATTAATGATGGATAAATGCTTCTGCCGCTAGAAGTTAAAGCGTTGATAAATTACAACTGATAAAAGACAAATTTTCAGTGAGAGAAATAACCTACAAAGTATTCCATAAAGTACCGATTTCAGTTACCATTGCGGATGTACCAAACACCAGTCACGCCAAAACGAGGCATAGCAATTTGGGTTGGATGTTATCTGCACGCATTCCATGACATCGCTAGCAGAAACAGCAAAGTCTGGTTTTATCAATTTTCTTTCTTACCGATAATCAATTATCTTGACAGAAAAAAATATTTACATAACCCGCGTTATATCACACATCACACCCGTATCAAAAAGGCGTTTTATTGTTCAACTATACCCTAAAAATACAGTTAAGACTGATGTAACTAGTACTGATCTCTTAACATAAAGTCAGCAAATAGATTAATAATAGACTTACATTGACATTTTTGTAGAGGTACCCCATTTTCTATTACAATTATTGCTGTATTGTAGCTCCAAGATACCTACCGTTACTCCACTGGCGACACAGCATAGATACCTACCGTTACTCCACTGACGACCGCAGCAATATAGATACCTACTGTTACTCCACTGACGACCGCAGCAACATAGATACCTACCGTTACTCCACTGACGACTGCAGCAATATAGATACCTACCGTTACTCCACTGACGACTGCAGCAATATAGATACCTACCGTTACTCCACTGGCGACACAGTATAGATACCTACCGTTACTCCAGTGGTGATCGCATCATAGATACCTACCGTTACTCCACTGACGACCGCAGCAACATAGATACCTTACGTTACTCCACTGGCGACCGCAGCATAGATACCTACCGTTACTCCACTGGCGACCGCAGCATAAATACCTACCGTTACTCCACTGGCGACCGCAGCATAGATAAGCCAAGTCTGTGTTTTCTCTTTTTCTGCTTCCGTTTGTTCTGTTGCACTAAGACTTTTGTATCTCTTGTCAAAGTGATACCAGTAGTACCTTCAGAAAACAATCATGTCAACAACTCTAAATGACATGTTTTTGGTATTCTAAACAATTTCTGCAACAGTACTGTAAGAAGAGATTTAGAAAAGGAAAATCACCAGCAGTATCCGGTGGCTCCGATGCAGAAGATGATGACAGAGAAGATGAGCATCCAGATTATCACAGCCGCTAGGAGCCACATCAAGACCACCACCAGAATAGAGGTTCCTGTCGTAAATCGACCAAGTCACCACATTAGAACTACTGTGGAAGTGACTAAGATTACTAATATTGCTTGTAAAGATGCGACTTACCAAAAGCAGTTGCAGCAAGATACAGCATTTCTACCCAAGTGTTTTTCAGATCAGAGATGACCTTCTACAAAGCAAACCAATGTGTTATAACCTTCATTTTGAAGTACTATTTTAATAATAATATTCCTTTATTCTTTACCAGTTAAGAATTTATATAAGCTGTCAGAGACAGCTGGTGATGTAGTGAATTACTATTTTTACCTGAGTGAAACTTCCTCCGGATATACCGCTAAGTAAAGATGTAAAAGACCCGGACATTCCTTTGACCATCGTCACCACGGTATCAGGAATACAGCGGTAAAACACACTAGTACTAAAAGAAATTTGGTGGAACTGTATTCCATATTTCCGGGAGAAAAAAAGTTATATTCGAAGAATTAATATTCCCCACTTTCAGTGAAAGCAAGGGACAAAAAGTGTAGTGTATGACAGTCCTTTTTATGAAAAATGTGGTAAAAACAGCAATAAGCAAAAAGTTGTTATACAGTTTTTATGATGAAGAAAGTACCCTCTTTTATTTTGTTTTTATTTGGATGGGGTTTTTTATGGGGGGATCTGTTTTTATTCTTTTTGTTTGTTTATTATACCCCACGCAACAAGTTGCGTGAGGTATAATGTTTTTGACCCGTCCGTCAGTCAGTCAGTCAGTGTGTCAGTCAGTCAGTCAGTCAGTCCGTCAGTCCTGTTTTTTTGTCAGCGCAACTCCTCATAAACCGCTGCACAGAATTTCGTCAAACTTTGCAGATATTTAGGACACAATGTGTAGATGTGCATATTACCAGGAAATTCCGATTCCTTTATTTTTTCTCGGAATTTCGGCACTTTTCAACTTAGATTTTTGGCCATATCTTGAAAATGGAGATGAACAGTTTGTCAGCGCAACTCCTCATAAACCAATGCACAGAATTTGGTCAGACTTTGCAGATATTTAGCACACAATGTATAGATGTGCATATTACCAGGAAATTCCGATTCCTTTATATTTTCTTGGAATTTCGGCACTTTTCAACTTAGATTTTTGGCCATATCTTCAATATAAAGATGAACAGTTTGTCAGCGCAACTCCTCTTAAACCGCTGCACAGAATTTGGTCAAACTTTGCAGATATTTAGGACACAATGTGTAGATGTGCATATTACCAGGAAATTCCGATTCCATTATTTTTCTGGGAATTTCAGCACTTTTCAACTTAGATTTTTGGCCATATCTTGAATATAGAGATGAACAGTTTGTCAGCGCAACTCCTCTTAAACCGCTGCACAGAATTTGGTCAAACTTTGCAGATATTTAGTACACAGTGTGTAGATGTGCATATTACCAGGAAATTCCAATTCCGTATTTTTCTGGGAATTTCGGCACTTTTCAACTTAGATTTTTGGCCATATCTTGAATATAGAGGTGAACAGTTTGTCAGCGCAACTCCTATTAAACCGCTGCACAGAATTTGGTCAATCTCTGCAGATATTTAGTACACAGTGTGTAGATGTGCATATTACCAGGAAATTCTGATTCCATTATTTTTTCTGGGAATTTTGGCACTTTTCAACTTAGGTTTTTGGCCATATCTTGAATATAGAGATGAACAGTTCGTCAGCACAACTCCTCTTAAACCGCTGCACAGAATTTGGACAAATTTTGCAGATATTTAGTACACAGTGTGTAGATGTGCATATTACCAGGAAATTCCGATTCCATTATTTTTGCCTTAAGAGTTTTGCCTTTTATTGAAGAAACTTTCCAGCTAGGTAATAAGAAACTCCACTGGAATCAGCTTTTTATAATGAAATTCTATGTGAAATATCTTATGACCTTAAAAGACCCCTATTGATTTTGAGATCAAAATATTAATGGTTTAACACAAACACACACTCACACACACACCATCTTCGATAGTTCTCCCCCCCCCCCCCCCCCCTTCAAATTGGTGTGCTTTGCCTTAAATAATTTCATAAGTACAGTATATAAACAGATTCATATGACTACATCATAATTTTGTTTCCATCAATTATTTAAATGTGTAAACTGTCATGTGTTGGACATGGACTTACACTCATTAACAAATCGAAATCACTGAGGAATTTAAATAACAGTTTGTCAGCATAATTCCGGCACTGAATTTCCTGAAACTTTGTAGGTATTTCAGAATAATGTATAGATTTGTATATTACCAAGAAATTTTGATTCCATTATTTATCTAGAAACTTCAGCCCAGTTAAATTTGTAACATACAAAGATTTGAATGTCCTTATATGCAAGAAGTTTTGATGTGATGATTTTTTGCAAGTAATGCCCCTTTTTTGAATTATACTGTGTATTTAAAATGCACTGTGCCATTCATTACGTGTTGCATTGTCGAGTTTTGGGGAAGCGTGGGGTATGTGAGCTTGCTCACTTTTTCTTTCATTTTAGTTAATTTTGTTTTGTTTCATCAGTTACTTAATGATTTACGTACTGTGGCGAGACTGGAGTGAGACAGACATCGTTATCACTGACGTAAGACGTGGTGTCATAGCGACACAGGCTGACGTTTGTACGCGTCATGTACGCGTCCACGTCTGCCGGCGTCCCCAGCGTCTCGTTTGGACAGAAGGACAAACAGATGACAATATCAGGATCGTTACTTAACGACGGCACAAAGTGTGTTGTCAGTAAAGTCATGTAGTAGCTCTGGTCAAGGTGCAAGGTTCTCCTGAAATTGAAAACAAAGAAATCAACAACACCTATTAAAACACAAAATGTCAAGCAACAATATTTAAGGGTTTTTTTTTTTTTGTTGTTGTTGTTGTTTTTTGGTTTTTGATCGACTTACAGTTTCCCCACCATATTCCTGCCTGACATAGAAACTCCGGGAATTGGCTGGTTTTCTTTGTCGCAGATATTTCCCCAACTATCCACGCCGTATATCAGACGGTACGGGTCTCCCTGAGAAATACCGCGGTACCCAACGTAACCCTGTAATTATGATAAACTCTAAATATACGTAAAAGCGTTGATGTTTTACCTAATAGTAAGATATAAAGCACCCCGCCTCATGAAATGATATAAAGATAATGACTTGATAATACTCAATTCGTGCAAGATCCTAGTAACCCGAGTAATTGCGCACCCAAAGCTTAAAAGGGAGGGAAAAAGTCAAAATTATCAGAACACTGTTCCGTAATAATATGGGATCCAACTAAGTCCTATCATCTTCAATACATAATAAATCAACAGTAAACACTTATTTTTCCACACGAAAAAATGGTGAGAAGGAATGACGGAGGAGTTGTAACATCATGGGGGAAGGGGGGGGGGGGTGAGACAGGACATGACCAACCAACTGGATAAAGCAAAAGCTCTATTTAGAACGCTCAGAAGAATCTGAAGCTCATTAAAACTTACTCCATACTAAAGTGTAATTATTCAACAATTTAGTGTTGTCAGTCCTTATGTACGAAAGCGAGACATGAAAAACAACAGAACGTGACAAAAAGAAGCTTTACACCTTCTAGAATAGATGTCTGAGACAACTTCTACAAGTAAGATGGCAGGACAAAACATCCAATGAAGAGTTACATCGATGAACAAAAAAAACACCAACAGTCAATGGAAAAATAACACTCATTGCAGGAAAATTGAGGAAATGGAAGTGAATTGGCCATGTACTAAGGACGGAGAACACTAGAATATGCACAACTTCACTGACATGGCATCTAGAAGGAAAGAGGAAAGTGGGCCGGCCAAAAACATGGAGAAGGAGTGAAGTCTCTGTCTCACTTTTTTCTTCGTATTCATTAACCATTTCATCATGGCAACCAGAAACAGACAACAGGAACGATTACAGCTGGGGTCATCTGGGTGACGGCAGGGATAGCAGCTAGAGACAGAGCAAGATGGAGGCAATGTATCGGGGCTTTATGTGACAGCGAGCACAAAGAGGATAGGTGAGGTGAGGAGGCGGGGGTAGGGGGAGTCTTTCGGCCATGGTTGTAATTTACATCTGATCTAGATCTTGTGATCTAGTTCATTAGATATGTTTAATGTGTTTATGATAAAACCAACGATTAAGCAATGAATTTACGCTATCTTACATTTAAAGAATTTCCAACTTCTTACCATGCCACCTATGTACAGTAGGAAGATGATGAGAAAAATGACGTCACGACATTGTCTATCAACGATTGGTCCGTCGTCCAACTCAGGTAATTCTTCATCTTCTTCAGCCTAAAACGTGTTACTCGATTTTCTCATTAATCTTATTGAAAAACAATATTTATTCTGAATACTGAATAGATTGGACAACAGGCAATGCCTATAAATACCCTCTATTAATCTTATTATAGTAGCATTGGCTTATATTATAATTTTCAACAGTGAAATAATGTGTTTTATTACTTGAATGAGAATTAATTTTTCCTAAGTGATATTTTCACATTAAAAATATTTAGAGTATGAAAATGGCAGCAAAACTCACATTTTCCTTCTCCTCATGAAAAGTGTTATTAAGAATATAGATAGGCCTATATAATTTACGACGATGATGGACGCCAAGTCATGGCAAGTTGTGGCATAAGAATTGGTTTTCTGCGCTAGGTGAGCTAAAAACCGGTCGGCAGGAGAAGCTCACTCCTCAATGGCACCTGATCCCACCTCTGATGTTTGCTCTGCTCCAAAATTTGTTTTGTTTAATAGATTTTTAAGCTTGAATACTGTTCGTTATCTCCATACCTTGCAGTCCAAAAAGTTCTACAAAAATCCAGGCCTAACGTCTTTGCAATTAACATGTACATAGAGAGCAAAAAGGCAGTACTTACAGGGTACAGCTTAAGTTAACAATGATTGCACAGACCTTTTAATTAGTGACGATTGCATATCTTTAAAAATCAGGGATCTTCCGGGAGTTTTGGTGGAGAAATACAAAGAAGGAAGCAATATTATCAAGACCAATTTTCTAAGACGGATGAGATTTTCTCACAGGCGTTTGTTTCATACAATACGTAAGACTTACGAAACAAGCGCCTGTGGGTTTTGGCTATATATCAGACAAAAATGATCGCTGGATGTGTACCGATCTCTTTAGCCCCTTTTATCTAATTTCTTAAAGACTTACGTAAGTAGAGGGGTACCTATGCTCTAGTTAGAATAATCTAATTGTTTCTCGAGACAGGTTAAACCCGGTTTAGGACATCAGGCCTATCATTTTAACGATTAGAGCATTCTTATTACACACCACCCCCTACCGTACGTAGCCGTAGGCCGAGTTTTAGTCGTTCATTGTTATGTTATGCTACGCGAATGTCTTACATTCAATGGTTTCACCTTTGTAGTTCTTGTTTTAGGCCTACAGCAGCAACTTGAGCAGCCCATCTTCTAGGAACGCATTCCTACGTCAATGACAGAAAATGACGTCATCAGGGTTTACATCTCAATCTGAGCAAAGTTTATTCCTTTGAATGAAAAAATCAAATTGATCTATTTTTATTAACTCAAACCTAAAACCTTAACAGAACTCCTGTGAGATAATACTGTGTATTTAACAGAATTAAACTGTGGACGTTATGATATATTTTGAGTCGGGTTCGACACATTCTTTTATTTTGTTTACTTCCGGTTTTGATATGAAAGGGGAATATGCTTGTCTGACTGTATTTTTTCTTTTGTTCAAAACTTCTTCAACTGAACGTAAGTTAACACGCATGAATTTTTTTTACATTGTACAGTATTGTTTTCTCCAAAACTTTTTTAAAAAATCGATGAGCTGACCTTTGTAAAATACCATGTGTAATGTACAGATGTAGGTAATTAGCTGTTTAATAATGGTAGTATATATATACGAACTATACGGTTACCTAGTGTACAGGTCTCTGCTAATGCCCATTTATGGGAATATATAATTATATACATGATTATCTACGTGTCAATTATTAGAAAGTAGTATTGATACAGAATACATCTTCAAAACGTGAGAGAAAGAGAAAGTAGCGTATTTCATGGAATTCAATTAACCTACATTTCAATGATCTCATCATGAATAAATATAGACTCTATTTATTTGAAACTAAACTGCATGTAAACATTACTTGTCGATTTATAATAATAGAAATTATTGAAGACTCAGAGAGGTCCCATTATTAAAACATAATGTTAAGACTTGGGACAAGACTCGATGTATTTTACTTTTAAATTTATCTTACAGTAGCCAAACCTGAGGTTTGGCTCAGCTGGTGTTTGGATACTCCAGCATGCTAGAGGTTCACGGTGAGATAGGGTGAGTTAACCATGCATCGGACACATACCTTGCTTCAGACAACTTTAAGCAATAAACTTTCATTGTACCCGAGTCTCCCCGTGTTTTTACTTGTTTCTGTCTTAAAGGTGAAGATTGAAACTTTTTAATGATGCCGATTTTTATTTTCATGTTGAGATAAAAATACCACAAGAATGGCCTTGAAATTACGTCATATTTTGCATCATCAAAGGGGAGTAACCAGAAATTTACGATTTTGCAATTTTTAGAGTTGTCGTTCCTTTAAATAGACGTCAACGGAACGGGTCGGACCTAGATAAAATTTATCAATAATTGATAATTTTACAGAAATTTTCTAAAATTTTACTTCAGTGTTCGTATAATATTTCTTAGAGTTGTTTTTAACTAGTATGTTTATTTCACCGTACATCGGACACAAATTAACCATGCATCGGACACTTTCCGATGCATGGGTTATCACTTCCATTTTCATATAAAACCCAAATGACAGCTGTTTTTTACGGAAATAGAAAATAGAAACTCTAAATTTTCAGTGAAAATACAAATAATCGATATATGACGACTAGAAGTAGACTCAATTTATTTCTTTAAACTAGATGATGATAACCCACGAGACAAAGGCGCAAGTTGCCATATTACTAGTACTGTAAAGCCTTTCTAAGGCGATGTGATGCAACTAAAATCTTTTCACATTTGTGGATCGAAATACTCATTCAAATTTAATTAGAAGGTTAATTTTTAAATAAAAGATAAAAATGTTTTGATATCACTCATTTTAAAGCACCGAGATCAAGGTATGATATTTTTCTGGTTTAAATATCGTATGTTCGATGCATGGTGAATATTGTCCGATCCATGGTGAATTCTGACTTATTCCGAAAAAATCGATTTTTAATGATATTTTCTCAATAAATAGGGCACGGTTGTATCAAAAATTTATATTTTAACCACATACTACATATTAAGTTCCATTTTGATAATATTCGGTCGGTAGCGATATCGGTAGAACTTGTTGAAGTGCGAGGGTGTCCGATGCATGGTGAATTCACCCTACTTCTGACTTGGCGCTCACTGCTGTGTAACTATAGCATCCATTGTAAAACTTCTCAATGCTGAAACTCCAAGTAGAAATAAATTGTTTAATGACAAATTCAGACATTTACGGTTTATAAAGTGTAATCTGCCCCAACCCAGGTTATACCAGTATAAATTGGGTAGCTATTAAATTCATTCCTTAAATAGATTGATTGCTAATACAAGACTTGCATTGTTTTGTGTCAGTGTATGCATTAATATGCTCAGGCCAAAAAAAATAATAGTCTTGTTTCCTGCTACCTGACCTACCCTATTTTTTTTGCACCCGACCCTAAAGTTTTTTTTCAAGTTTTGGGAGAAAAAAAATCAGGAATTTCTGGAATTTCATCGTTCTGTCACTGTAATCGGTTTCCGTGTTAACACAAAACAAGCATTTCATGAAATTCTTGTTTTAAATATGGACTTTCATAAAATACCACTTGAGTTGTGCATAAAAGACATGAAATTCAATTTTAAAAGACAATGTTTAATTTTATCCTGTATTAGTTCATATCCAAAAAATGCTGTCGGAAAAAAATAAAATAAAAATATAAAATAATTTTCCTACCTACCTACCCTATTTTTATCAGGCTGGTAGCAGGAAACAAGACTATTATTTTTTTTGGCCTCATTAAAAAATAGCCTTCAGAGGAAAGAGTCCAAGGTATATAAGGAGCGTAGGGATGTTAACTGAGGCTCTAACTTGTAGGAGTAAATATTAGGACTGACGTCTTTAGTGATGGTAGTCTTTGTAAGAGGTACTTACAGGACTGAGCATGACTTGATCTATCACTGTAAAGAGTAGAAAGCGTGTTCTGTCACTGTAAAGAGTAGAAAGCTTGATCTAAAACTGTAAAGAATAAGAAGCCTGATCTATTTTTCTAAAAAGTAGGAATCTTGATCTACCACTGTAAAGAGTAGGAAGCTTGATCTATCACTGTTAAGGGTAGAAAGCGTGATCTGTTACTGTAAAGAATGATAAGCTTGATCTACCACTGTAAAGAGTAGGAATCTTGTTCTATCACTGTAAAGAATGATAAGCTTGATCTACCACTGTAAAGAGTAGGAATCTTGATCTATCACTGTAGAGAGTAGGAAGCTTGATCTGTCACTGTAAAGAGTAGGAAGCTTGATCTATCACTGTTAAGAGTAGAATGCTTGATCTATCACTGTAAAGTGTAGGAAGCTTGATCTATTACTGTAAAGAGTAGAAAGCTGGATCTGTCACTGTAAAGAGTAGAAAGCTTGATCTATCACTGTAAAGATTGTAAACTGTAAATATTACCTCAGAACCTTGATTTAATAAATTTTTAGCTCACCTGAGATGTAAGCTCAAGTGAGCTTTTCTGATCACCCATTGTCCGTCGTCCATCCATCCGTCTAAATTTTTCACATTTTTCAGCTTCTTCTCAAGAACCACTGAGCCAATTTTAACCAAAGTTTGCACAAAGCATCCTTGGATGAAGGCGAGTTTAATTTCTTAAAATGAAGGGCCAGCCCCCCTTCCAGGGGGTGATAATTTTAAAAAAAGACAAAAATAGGATGGTGTCATTAAAAAATCTTCTCAAGAATCACTGGGCCAGAAAAGCTGAAACTTAAGTGGAAGCCTCTTGAGGTAATGTAGATTCTAAATTGTTCAAATTACGGCCCCCGGGGATTGGGTGGGGCTACAATAGGGAATCAAAGTTTTACTTTGAAATATATTAGGGATGTCAACGAATAGTTGACTATTCGACTATCAGTCGAATGGACCGATGATCGAATAATGAAACGACATTCGAACATTATTATGATTAAATAAATGCACTAAAAGAGTTATAACAAGATGGAATTCTCATCACAAAGTTGAGAAACTGTCTTTCCTCAGAGACAGTCTATAAGATGATTTTTCTCAACAAAAAACTGTTGATTTTCCATGTACGTATGGAAAGTACAATAACTATAAGACTTAGTGCTTCACTACTGAGAGAATTATTGGTCAGTAACGGCCTGTGTTGTTTTCGAAATAAACTACCCACTAATAGACTACCTTTGTTTGTAAAATATTAATTGGACTTGATCTTATACCATGTTCCAATTATTTTTTGTTATTTTAAGATTGCTCAAATGCAAGGAACAATCATAGCTGTGACATGTTTTGACAGGTCGATAATTATTAAAACAATTCGCTTGCATTTTTTACTGTTTAAGGACATTTTGATAGCCAGAGCAATCAATAATTGAATAAGCAGTATCTAAATGTTTTTAATAATTTCATGGGCACATGACGTGTAAAAAGTGTGAGATTAACCCCCACCCCCCACCCCCAATTCATTTCATAATATTAAGCTTTAAAAAATATCGGCTGGCATTTTTTTTAATGCTGACTAAAATACAGACTGACTGCATGTACAGACCAATTACTGATTTCTGTTGACGGGGAAATCATAGACATACATTTTGGAGAATTAGGTTTCTAAATTTATTTCATATAATCATGCTATCCACGCGTTACGTTGCATTAATTTTGATGGTACTTTTTAAATATATTTAAGTAAAAGGATTTTTTTAGTTATAAATACATTATGTACAAGCGAAGTTTGAAATAATTTTATTTTCAGAAAGTGTTCCGAATATTCGACTATCGTTCAAATAATGCAATCGAATAAATATTTTGACATCCCTAAAATATATATAGGAAAATTCTTTTTAAAATTTCTTCTTAAGAACCACTGCACCAGAAAAGCTAAAACTTATGTGGAAGCTTACTGGGGTGGTATAGATTCTAAATTGTTCAAATCATGGCCCCTGGGGGTAGGGTGGGGCCACAATAGGGAATCAAAATTTTACATTGAAATACAAAGGAAAAATCTTTAAAAGTCTTCTTCCCAATAACCACTGCACCAGAAAAACTAAAATTTATATGGAAGCTTCCTGAGGTAATGTAGATTCTAAATTGTTCAAATTATGACACATTGTGGTAGGGTGGGGCCACAATAAGTATTACAAGGGGGAAAATCTGGTGAAGAACAGCAGGATCAAAGTTACTCAGGTGAGTGTTGTGGCCCATGGGCCTCTTATTTTAATATGTAGTAAGTCTTTATAAGAGTAAGTTTTTTGTAACAAAAATGAATAAATAAATAAAAGGCCAATTTTTTTTATTTTTATTATATTAAATTATTTTGTACTTCTTGCTTTTTTTTTTTGCAGTATATTCAACCACTGTATCATGGACGTTGATGGTTCAGATGAGCGATTACAGAGGGTACCAATCTGCACGTCTAACATCAGTAGACATTCCTCCTAATACAGCCAGTGCATTAATTGACATCCGAAGTTCTGCCTCGGATCTCAGCTGTCCTCATAAGACTGTCAATGTGTAAGTGGACCTATGCTAATAGGATCAGCAAAGCTTCAATTTTTTTTTTTAATATTTTATATGCATCATATTACTTGTTTTGAATTGATAAATACAAATCATTTTTTTTATTTAGAAACAGAAGTAGACTGCTTTAGATTTTGTAATTATATCAAGGGATTTTTTTGGGTTTTTGACTTTGAGACGATTTTTTAAATGCTACAAAATGAAAATTCTGTAATAAGTAATGTAAATTACTTATGATTTAGATATGTGCGTCCAGGAGGATATCCTATAGGGACCCCTTATAATGAGTCCTTCCCTGATAAGTTCCATCTAAGGAGAAAGTTGGAACACCATGTCATCTCCATCACAAACAACCAATCATCAATTTTAGTTTTACCAACACCTCAGTCGGGCACTTGGTACATTACATCATTTTTACCAAAGAAATCCAATGAAAAGATCACTCAGAAGGTTTGTGATGAAAATCAACTGGACTTTGTAGAAATGTTAATCAAGGATAATGTATAAAGGTCTAACTCACTGCGGGTATACACAACTATATTCCTCTGAAATTTATTTTTTATTATGAATATATTATTATAAATAAATCTAATGCACTTTTAAGAATATACAGTACCAACCTGACACAAAGCAGTCCCAGAGCAGTCCTGGGGACTGCTTTCTGGGACTGCTAAAGCAGTCCCAGAGCAGTCCCACAGCGGTCCCAGAGCAGTCCCACAGCGGTCCCAGAGCAGTCCCAGCGGTCCCAGAAAGCAGTCCCAGCAGTCCCAGAAAGCAGTCCCAGTGGGCGGGGTTAATTAATTTAATGGGCGGAGCTTACTCAGAAATGAGATTACCAATAAACAATGTAACTATAAAAGGCAGTTGAAATATTATTGATGATCCATTTCTTTCTGAGCAGTATCAATTCTCATGCGACAGTCATTTTTTAACTGTTAAGAAAATCACACTACGCGTGAAACAAATAATAAATATTGAACAAAGAAGACGTTCACACCTATAAATAACATGAATATTTAAACACAGTTTTGTGGTATATTAATTTTTCACCAAATTAAATCAATTTCTAAATTACTGTGATTGATATTTGTTTCCATATTTATTTATTTATTATTTTTTTTATAGATAATTAAGCTTGAGTTATTTATTTTCTATCAAAACTAGCTTTAAATAGGCCTTATAATTATACAGCAAGGCCGATTTCCATACTATACTCTGAATGCAGTTTTCTTAAGTATACTGGAGCTTTTGAAAAATTCTTTGTGTATTATATTTCAGTCATGATTATTTTCACTGACTTGCCAATTTAATTATCGTTAAATTATCTATGTTACAGAAAACAATAATACTTTTATTATATAAACGTTTGAGTGTACATCTGTAAATCACACGAATGGAACCCTCAGATTATGTTCAAAATTAATTAATCCCGAAATAAATTTATACACATTTATTGAAACAAAGATTTTTTGCAGTACATAGATTGAAATTAGTGTCATTGTTGACCAGCATGTTCAGTGATGTGTAACACAGATACCCAAATAACATGCATTGACTTTCTGCTAATCATGCCCGAAGGCGATTGAAACTTCAGGTGTTGACACTATCTTATACATTTGTATTGCTTTTTAATAATCGGCCAGGAAAACACAAACAAAACAAATAAGAAATAAGTCACAATTCCCAATATTTTAAAATGTTTATAAATTTACTCTTTTAATTACTTGTTTATAAATCAAAAACGAATTCATAAATAAATCCCCCAATAATTGTTCACAAATATAATGTTTTAAATGACTGAAGAATGGTAGAATAATTTTATTTCATGGTCATTTAATAAATTATTAGGTTTTATTTGAGGGTGGTAAAAAATAGCATGGAATGATCTTTTTTAGCATGCATATGGTTTTAGCTTTTTCAATTTAAAAAAAAAATCCAGTACAGTACGTCCCTCTGAATGTCTTATTGTAATGACAAGTTTGTTTGTTCTTTTGTTTGTTTGTTTGTTTTTAAATAGTGCTAAGGCAAACTTTGAGTACATTCCGTAACTTGACAGCATTAATTAATTAAATAGGCCTCGATATTTTTTTTCAAACACCTGTATTAAAGTTTTAATTAGCATTAATTAATTAAATAGGCCTAGATATATATTTTTTTTCAAACACCTGTATTAAAGTTTAATTTAAAGGATAAAAGTCATCTCCTTACTTCCCTTTTAACTACTTTCATTTTTTAGCTCACCTGAGCCAAAGGCTCAAGTGAGCTTTTCTGATCAAAATTTGTCCGTTGTCTGTCGGCGTCGGCGTCGTCGGCGTCGTTGTTGTCGTAAACTTTTCACATTTTCATCTTCTTCTCAAGAACCACTGAGCCGATTTCAACCAAACTTGCCACAAAGTATCCTTGGGTGAAGGGGATTCAGGTTTGTTCAAATGAAGGGCCATGCCCTCTTTCAAGGGGAGATAATAAAGAATTAGTGAAAAATTAATAGCATCTTTTAAAAATCTTCTTGTCAAGAACAACAGAGCCAGGGAAGATGAAACTCATGTGGAAGCATTCTCAGGTAGTGTAGATTCAAGTTTGTTCAAATCATGACCCCCGGGGGTAGGGTGGGGCCACAATGGAGGATCAAAGTTTTACATAGAAATATATAGGAAAAACCTTTAAAAATCTTCTTCTCAAGAACAGCAAAGCCATGATGAGTCATATTTATATAGAAGCATGCTCAGGTAGTAAAAATTCAAATTTGTTCAAATCATGACCCCCGGGGGTAGGGCGGGGCCACAATGGAGGATCAAAGTTTTACATAGAAATATATAGGAAAAATCTTTAAAAATCTTCTTCTCAAGAACAGCAAAGCCCTAATTGGTCATATTTATATGAAAGCATCCTCAGGTAGTGTAGATTCAAGTTTGTTCAAATCATGACACCCGGGGGTAGGGCGGGGCCACAATTGAGGATCAAAGTTTTACATAGAAATAAATAGGAAAAACCTTTAAAAATCTTCTTCTCAAGAACAGCAAAGCCATGATGAGTCATATTTATATGGAAGCATCCTCAAGTAGTGAAGATTCAAGTTTGTTCAAATCATGACCCCCGAGGGTAGGGCAGGGCCACAATGGAGGATCAAAGTTTTACATAGAAATGTATAGGAAAAATCTTTAAAAAATCTTCTTCTCAAGAACAGCAAAGCCCTGATTAGTCATATTTATATGGAAGCATCCTCAGGTAGTAAAAATTCAAATTTGTTCAAATCATGACCCCCGAGGGTAGGGCGGGGCCACAATGGAGGATCAAAGTTTTACATAGAAATATATAGGAAAAATCTTTAAAAAATCTTCTTCTCAGGAACAGCAAAGCCTTGATTGGTCATATTTATGTGGAAGCATCCTCAGGTTGTAAAAATTCAAATTTGTTCAAATCATGACCCCTTGGTGTAGGGCGGGGCCACAATGGAGGATCAAAGTTTTACATAGAAATATATAGGAAAAATTTTAAAAATCTTCTTCTCAGGAACAGCAAAGCCCTGATTGATCATATTTATTTGGAAGTATCCTCAGGTTGTGTAAATTCAAGATTGTTCAAATCATGACCCCCTGGGGTAGGGCGGGGCCACAATGGAGGATCAAAGTCTTAAATAGAAATATATAGGTAAATATCTTCTGATGAAGAACTGTAAAGCCATGATTAGTCATTTTGATATGGAAGCATCCTCAGGTAGTGTAAATTCAAGTTTGTTAAAATGATGACCCCCCGGGGATAGGGATGGGCCACAATGGGGGGTCGAAAATTTTACATAGGAACATATAGGAAAATATCCTCTTCTCAAGAACTGAAAATCATGTTTAGTCATTTTGATATGGAAGCATCCTCAGATAGTGTAAATTCAAATTTGTTCAAATGATGACCCCTGGGGTAGGGTGGGGCCCAATGGGGGATTGAAAGTTTTACATAAGAACATGCAGAAAAAATATTTCTTCTCAAGAACAGAAAAGCTATGTTTAGTCATATTGAAATGGAAGCATCCTCAGGTAGTGTAGATTCAAATTTTCAAATATTGACCTCTGGGATAGGGAGGAGCCACAATGGGGGATCAAATTTTTACAAAGGATTATATGGGAAAAATTTTTCAAAATTTACTCAAGTACAACAAAGCCATTTGTTATATTGACATGGAAGCATCATCAGGTATCCCCCCTCCCCCCCCCCCCCCCCCCCCCCCCCCCCCCCCGTAACCTTTTCAATACTGAACTGATTTGTGCTTTTGTGCTTTTGCCTAGCCAATGTGCTCAGGTGAGCGATGTGGCCCATGGGCCTCTTGTTTAAATTAATTCTAGACTACAATTGTGTAAATTTACAGCCCCTGAAGACATTTAGTAATTACATGTATATTTATCTCTACTTATTAAAATGTTGTAAAAAATCCTTGTTTTTTTTTTTCATTCTTTATCTTGAACACCTCTCTGCTGAAAGTAAACAAAACAACAACAGGGAGCCTGCAAATTCAGAATACACAAGGGGCGGAGCTATCATGTCACTCAGAACCTTTTTCATGCATGAGTGAACAAAGCAGTCCCAGAAAGCAGTCCCAGGGACTGCTGGGTCTGCTTTCTAGAGCAGTCCCAGAACAGTCCCACAGCAGTCCCAGAGCAGTCCCAGAGCAGTCCCACAGCAGTCCCAGAGCGGCCCCAAAGCAGTCCCGGGGACTGCTTTCTGGGACTGCTTAGATGTCAGGTTGGGTCTGGTTGGTACTGTAGTGAAGCTATACATGTAGCTGTTTTACACTTGTAAGGATATTTTATTAAAAAGGATTGTAATGTAAGGATAGTTATTTTACTGTAAGGATAGTTACTTTACTGTAAAGATAGTTATTATGTAAGGATAGTTATTTTACTATAAGGAAAGTTATTATGTAAGGATAGTTATTTTACTATAAGGATAATTATTTTACTGTAAGGATAGTCATTTTACTGTAAGGAAAGTTACTTTACTGTAAAGATAGTTACTTTACTGTAAGGATAGTTATTATGTAAGGATAGTTATTTTACTATAAGGATAGTTATTTTACTGTAAGGATAGTCATTTTACTGTAAGGATAGTTATTATGTAAGGATAGTTATTTTACTATAAGGACAGTTATTTTACTGTAAGAATAGTTATTTTACTGTAAGGATAGTTATTCTTTACATTCAGAGAGTGATCTGAATCATTTATTTAGAGAGAAGACGTTGTATTACATGTAACTTTTAGTTGAACATCATATTACATGTGTCAGTACTCTTATTATGACAGGGAGTAAACGAGAAGAAATGTGTGTATGGGTACGGAGTCCGAGTTATCACAGCTGTCCAGGAAGATATCAAGATCATCAACGTCAAAGAGAGAATAGATATCAGTATCAAGGAGACAGAGGGGCCAAACAAAACTGTAAGGTAAGGATGTCAACAGACAGACCAGAGGCTTATACAGCTTTACTAGGGGTGGTATTGGGCTAACTATAGGGTAAGTAGGCCAGAAACATTCAAGGAGAGCAGGGCCTTATAAATATCTACATCAAGGGTCCAGATGGTCTTTTAGGGGGAAAATTGTTTAAAGACATTGCAAGATTTTTAAGGAGAAAAAACATACTAAATAGCTGCACAGTTCACATATATTTTCATTCCAGATTCTGGCTGTCAGATAATATGTATGCTTACTCTGTGGTGCTCAGTGATTGTACGGAGAAGATGGAAAACTCAACAAGTAATGCTTGTGCTGTACTAGTAGATACCTCAACTGGTAGCCTGCCCTCCACAGACAATGCTGTAAACTGTCAAAATGAAACCCAGTGTAAGGTTGAGATCCACTCCCCAGTAATCACAGACTGGAATTACATCAGATTTAGGTATAGGGGCAGTGGCATCCTTAACTTCACACTCAGCTTCACTCCTAAATGTAAGTGGTTGCTATTGCTTAAGGGAAGATTACTATGTTAAATTTTCAGTTTCTTTACTTTTTTCCTGTATATTTTTTCATGATAAAAGTACTTTGAAACCAAATTTATGGAATAAAATTGATTTGATAACTTTATTTCCATTAAAAAATATTGCAGATTGTCCTCTTAATAACATCTACCAAATAATTACTGATGATGATGAAACTAATATGGAGGAACCAACAGTTAGAATACAGGACACAGTAGCTGGCTCTGATGTAAACAACAGTACTATAAATAGTAACATGACCTTGGCCCCAAAAGTAGTGAACTCCAGTCTGACCCAGGAAAATGTCTGTATACTGATCTCAAGCTTAGGACGATTCCAGATCTCAAAGGACCTCTTCAAAGTGTCTTTCTACTTTCCTAATGTTTTCCTGAATCCAATACCAAATAATGAGATAATGGTGTCAGATGAAGCAGTTTTAATCTCCGATCTCAAACTGGAAGCTGACAAGGATCTGGGGGGTACATTCAAAATCCAGGTCAAAAATGCTCCATATAAAATAGTAAGTGTTAATTAGAAATTTCTTATTTATCTTATCTTTTTTAAGTAATATTGTTGAGATTTGTTGAATCAATGTAAACTTTTGTGCAAAACCTTCTGACTAAATTTTCATCATCATTATTCTGATGTTAAAATAGATGACTTTAAAATGGTAATATAGCTTCAAGGATGAAAGAACCTTTTTTTCCAAGGACTTTTTCTTTAAGAAAACCATGTTGTATGAGAAGCTTACATTTGTCATTGTCATTTCAGTTGCACTTTCATTTTCAATAAAAAAAAAAATGATAGTCTTTCTTCAAACAATACAATATAAAGGCTCATTTGCGAACTATTTTAAGTACCAAGTAATTTAATCTATTTTCCTTGTTCTGTTTTAGAGTGCCACACAGGAGGCAGTTGTATGGGTCTGTCTCGTCAGGGGTTATCTCCCTCATCAAGAAACCATTAGACAGTGCCCTCAGGGCCTACCATTGACTGTCCACTCTAATTCAACCACCCCAGTCACTCAGTACATCCCCTATCCTGAGGCAGGGAAGTGGTACCTGGCTCTCCATAGCCAGTGTACCAACAAAACATCAAATCAGTAAGAACTTCTCTACCTAACTGAGTTTATAGTCATTAGAACATATTAAGTACAATTAAACCACAGAATTAAGGTACTCAAAGGCTGGAAATCAAAACTGTTTTGGTACATATGTACTAAGATGAGTCTACAGAGGGATGAATATCTGTTAACTGAATGTCCAAATATCCCACAATGTAAGTAAAATTATGTTATAATGTTTGTAGTACAATGTATATACTGTTACTGCTTGTATTTTAGGAAAGAGCCGTGTTACATTTTACCAGGGATAAGTGTGAGTTTAAGTATTGTGGGGTGTGTAGATGATCAGTGTGGAACGTTTGGATCATGTAAGGAGTACATTAGTGGCTCTCACATCTTCAGCACCTGTCAGTGTTACTCAGGCAAGTCAACCTTTCCCCAGTATGTAGACAAAGCTATTCTAAAGATAATAAGGCTAGGGGTATACTTATGATTGAAGGGTAGGAGAATATGTAATCAACTTAAAATCTATTGATAAAACATGCAAAATAAAAATGTCCTGTAAGAACAAAAATCTTAACTAAATAAGCAGGGAGAAATATATATATAAAAAAAAAACAAGACACAATATACATGTTTTGTTGTATACATGCAATCTGCAACTTTCCAATATTTAGTTGCCTTACCTTCTTTCTTGAGACATTTATTCTGTATTAGTGAATAGGTACAATTCTCATCAATAATAAAACAAAAGAAAATATTACTTAAACCAATCCCTACATTGAGATTATGATTTTTATCATTTATATCTCATAGAATTATGCATAAACAAAATTATTGAATTAGATGGTGTTGTACAATATTTTGAGTCTTGCTTTTATTTTTTAGCTCACCTGAGCTGAAAGCTCAAGTGAGCTAGCTTTTCTGATCACCTGTTGTCCATCATGCATCCGTCAGTCCATCCGTATGTAAAAGTTTCACATTTTCAACTTCTTCTCAAGAACCACTGTGCCAATTTTTACCAAATTTAGTACAAAGCATTGATGAGTGAAGGGGAGTTTATATAATTTAAGTGAAGGGCCAAGCCCCTTTAAAGGGGAGATAATCAAGTAAGACAATGGTAGGGAGGGATCATTAAAAAATCTTCTTTTCAAGAACCACTGGGCCAGAAAAGCTGAAACTTATGTGGAAGCTTCCTGGGGTAAAGTAGATTTTAAATTGTTCAAAGCATGAGCCCAAGGGGTAGGGTGGGGCCACAATAGGGAATCAAAGTTTTACATTGAAATATATGGGAAAAATCTTTAAAAATCTTCTCGAGAACCACTGGGCTAGAAAAGCTGAAAAGCGTAGAAGTCTTATGATTCTAGATTCTAAATTGTTCAAATCATGGCCCCTGGGGATAGGGTGGGACCACAATAAGTATTACAAGGGGGAAAATTTGTTGAAGAACAATCAGCAGGGCCAAAGTTACTCAGGTGAGCGTTGTGGCCCATCCGCCTCTTGTTAAAATTGTAATAAGTATAGAAATCTTTGTGTATCATTTAATGTTTTATAGTCACTGTTTTAGGTTGGGCTGGGTATGGGTGTACCGATGGTCGTGATGCAGAGAGTAACGACACCATTCTGTTGGGGACCCTCCTCCTGTCCCTCAGTAACCTGTTCTTTATCCCCAGTATCGGCCTTGCCCTCTATCGACGCTACTTTCTGGAGGCTCTTGTTTACTTTTTCACCATGTTCTTCTCTACAGTAAGCTTATAGTCTTTAAAATACTCTTCTTCCTAATGGCTAAAAAAGCAATGTAAAGAGTTGTTGTGGTATGTACAATATTTTAATAAAAATCCCTCAAATAGGATAGCTGAAAAGGTATAACTCACTGGTCTGCAAATAATTCGAATGGACAACCAATTTTTTGGCAGATGAGAGAGCTGCAGTCCTATAACTTTAGTTTTGTGTGATTTTAAACTGAATTTTGAACTGGTTGTTTTGTTGAGTAGACTTCCTCAGTCTATGACTCCAGTCTCACTGTGTTTGTCAGGATTCTACTTTCATTTTACTGTTTACTTGTATCTACAGCCTCTTTGTGATGTTTCTTCTTTCAGTTTTACCATGCCTGTGACTCCAGTAAAGCTCTCTACCAGTACTGCATGATGAAGTACGATGTACTTAGTTTCTGTGATTTCTTTGGTTCGTACACATCATTCTGGGTCACAACGTTAGCCATGGCCCGTCTGCCAGAGAAGGCCAAAAGTTTTCTAGTCATGTTGGGGGTGCTGGGGCTGGCGGTGGGGATGCAGTATGATAAACACTCTCTCTATGTGTTCCTCATTCCTATCTGTTTTGGCATTATCATCATGCTGACTTCATGGGTAAATGCATCCAAAAAAATATATATTTTATTAATAGATTATTAGCGTGATCTGAAATGTTTAATAATCTTAAGGTCAAGATCTAGTAAATGACTTTAGACTGTCTTTTTGGTGCTAGATCCATTATGACGTCATAATTGATTTAAGCTTAATTTTTCCCGTACTTTACGGCTGTAAAAGAATTATGTAGCAAATGAAGCATTTTCAATGTATTCAATTTGAAATCATGTCAAAAGTAACCCCGATATCTGTATTTAATTTAATATCATTTTGAAGTAGAGGTTAAGAAGAAATGAAAAACCGTTTTTTTGAGAGACTGTAGGCAATATTGATACATTTCTTTTATCTGAGATGGAAAAAAACTCCAAAATTTATACCTGGCTTTCTTCGTTTTTCATTAAAAATTACAGTTTAAAATATATTTTTTCGTCTAGTTTTTCAAAAAATTATGTCCCGAAACACCCTATTTTTGCAAGCTATATTTGTAAGAGATCATTAAAAGAACTCGTTTCTCAAATTTGAAAAATCTGTAGGCATCTTTCATTTACTAGATCTTGACCTTAAGTTGTTTTCCTTTTTTTTAATGGACATAAATTGTTATAACACTGTCAACGAAATTTCACTTTTATTGATTTTTCTTTTAACAAATTCATAAAGTACAAAACGGTGTTCCATTTGTAAAAAATGAATCTTTGTTTACATGTTTTGTGTTACAGATTTTACGATGTGTAAGAAGACGTCAGCTGTACCCCTCTAAGCGGCGCTACCTGCTGTTCCTGTTACCGGGAGTCTTATGTGCGGGTACTGGTGTCGTCATCTTCACATTCCTGGAGACTGAGGAAAACTACAAGTATATACACAGTGTGTGGCACGCCTTGGTGGCGCTGTCCATTATGTTCCTGCTCCCGCCCCGACAGGCAGACAAAACAGAAGGTAGAATACCTTTTGTCAATGAAATTGACCTGGAGCCACTGTCATAATTATACCTTTTGAATTTTTCTAAGTCTCAGGGACTTGCTGTGTGCTTGTTGCTTTCTATTTGGCTTTTGTGTGTAGATGATTCATGTACTTAAGAGTTTAAGCAATAGTGCTCAGGTAAATACAGTTAATCTATAAATATTAAACAAAACTTACAAATCAAACCTTTATGTTCCTTGAAAACATTTTGTTAAAACAAAAGTTTCTTTAAAGAATAAGTATGATTTGTATAAAATAGTTTCAAATTTGTAAAGTAATGGGCCGATTGGCGTACTTTTTACAAATTTATGCTGGTTTCAGTCACAAATGTAGAAATACTGTAGTCAATAAACAAGAGTTTAGAAAGTTACAGTTGAATGCTACAGTAACCTAATTTAATGCTGGAATATGTCTACACTGGTGCTTTCTAATTGCTTCTAATTTTGTTTGCCATCAGGTATTATACAGAATGTTTACCTTTAATTCATGGTTTTAATCCATGACATATTGTTTTATATTTTATGAATATTTATCTAATTTAGATTTTAATTATTAATATGATTTTTTACTTTTATTTTGCATATAATTTATTTTAATAAATATTATATACTGTATGTACATACTGGTAATCAAGTATGCAGCATTCATTTTGATTTTTTGCATGTTCAGTAGCAATCAAATTTTATGTCATTTGACCTTTGCACTATTACTCTCCTTGTTGATTGGTCGAAGGGTGCTTCACCTTGGCTCCAGCTCAGAGTAGCGGGCTTTCTTTGTGCTCGTATTGCATGTAGTATATACCTCATGGGCATTTTTCAACTTAATGTATCATCATTGGCATTTATAAGTATGTATAAAAGAGAAAAATTTGTATACATACTTTATCATTAAGCTGAAGAGCCTGTGGATAACCTAACATAAAGTGATATTTTAATCCATCCATCGTTCAGTTTCTGTCTTAACTACAGAGCACACACACATCAAAGAACAATGAAAACAATCCAGTCCATTTATATGTCGTTAGCAGTATGTTATATACAGGAATGAACCTAATACTACATCTGTCTTTTTGGTAATAAACTTTTTGTTAACTGAATTGAAATTCGTTCCAGACAATTAACACATTAAAAAACAAACAGTATTGAAACTCTAAGCATGTCTGCTTTTGGAGGAGGGCTAAAACCCCATTCATTTTTGTGAATAAACAATTGTTTAAATTTTAAAAATGTCTGCTTTAAACTATTTTGATGAAATATTGTCCGAGTTGGCAACACAACAATAAAACAAAAATCATCTCTATAATTTTTATATTTAATCACTTTGTTGAATGTTTTGACACAATCATTTTTCTATCACTGGCTTTTACCTCTTAGATTTGGATACATACACTATTAACTAACACAGAGAAAAAAGGATTCCCTTGGAAAGACAAGCTTTAGTATTCAGACATAATCATCATTTTAACCACTGCCTGTAGCAGTAATACTTATCTGGCTTGTGGACTGTATGTTTGATTAACCCTGCCTGATGATTCTGTTTTGATGCTTGGAAAGTTGGATGTGTACAAGTCTTTCAGGATTTTTAGAAATATTTTATCAGATACTAACAACAACCTTTTATTTAGTGCATAATGAACGTAGCATGAGTTTTATATTAATGTCATGGTTGTCATTACCACAGCTTTACTTTGTTTACATTTTAATTTCATTTTAACGAATTTAATTTGTTTTGTTAGTTGTTTACAATGTATTTTCTTTTTCTCAGAGAAATAATGATGAGTATATGCCCTTAGTTTTGTTTTGTATAGGTTATGTATGTGTACTTATACAAATGAATTTTGCCATCAAGGTAACTTCAGTAAAGCATGAAATCCAAGATGATCGTCTCCTAAACAAACATTTACTATACAGGTTTATATAACAGGACTACAGGAAATTGATTTCAAAGATTTCCAAGTACACAGCGTTTGTTAGCACTACTGCTATGGGAAAATGTCTGTCCATTTGTCTGTCTGTCTGTAAATATTTTTTTTCAAATTCTACTCCCCCAACAATGTTGCCATGGTTTCCAAAATAGAAATTTCTGGAAAATTCTTTCAAAATGCCACTGCTCCTACAGTTTTGGTCCTATTCCAATAAACCTTTGTATACAAGTAGATTATACTAAGATGCGTAATTGTCTTGAAGAGTTTTTAATTTCAATGAAATAAAAATGAACACTTTGAAATTCTATCAAAATTCTCCTCCTCCTAAAGTTATGCTCTTATTTCAGCAAAGTTTTTTAATAATAAACAAGTACACTACACTGATATAGATTGATGTACATATATCTGTTTTTGAATTGGTGAATGGGGTAGCCATTGTTATTAATACAAAAAAATTCTGTTAAATTCTTCCAGAAGGCTACTTCTCCTGCAGTTTTAGTCCAATTTCAATTAAATTGCCCAACAAATAGACTAAACCAAGGATCGTAATTGTACTTATTGGTCTTGTAATAGTTTCATGTTTACCTACTACTTTTCTCTTCCTTGTTATAAGTTCAAACCAATAGAGCTACAGTCTCATCACAGACTTCTGGTTTCTGGATGATGAACTTCTCTTGTGCAATAATTTTATTGATTTTTTATAAAATCAATACATTTGAAGAATCTAATAAATTCATCAGCACCAGCATCTTGTTCAGTCTTGTTTTGCATGTTTAATTTTGGGAACTCTGGGATCATTCAGTTCTTTCTTTTTACTCGGTGAATACTATGTTTGGATGATCATTTCACCAGGATATTAATTCATAATTACAATAAAAAGTAATGCAGTTTGGGTGCTAGAAATACCACCTGAGTAATGGAGTTGTTATTTGTATTTGATAAAGCAGCAATAAGTGAGGTCATTCTCATTTACAGAACATTCATGCTTGCACAAGCCCTGGGAGACATGTTCTTCTATCCGTCTACTTGGCAATGATTCTGAAAATGAATCTGGGAATGAGGACCAATGAGGTTGTGTTTTACATCTTAGAAAAAGATAATCCAACACCAAGAACTCTTACTTAATAATTGGACATATTCATGAGTTGTGCTACAGAAGAAATCCACCGCCTATGAATCTCTCTAGTATACTTTTATTTTTAAGAACATATACAAGTATTGTATGTAGAAACTTGCATTCTATTTTTTTTTTCATGAAATATAATCAAAAAGATTAGCTTTCTAATCCAAGTACTGTTGTACTTTTAAAACGAATAAATCTGTAATATTGATTCAGCTTGTAGAATGCTTATGATTTCTTAATGAAGCTCTAAAGGATAATTATGGAAGCCAGTTGGTGCCAGGTAGAAAAAATATTTTATCTGGCGGCCGCCAAATCTTTTTATCTGGCGGCCACCAGATAAGTTTCTGGCGGCCGCCAGTTATTTATGTGGCGGCCGCCAGATAAAATATTTTTTTTTTGCCTGGCACCAACTGGTTTCCGTAGAAAATACAGTGTAGGTTCCTACGTGCAAAATTTAAAAAAAACCTAAAAGTTACTCTGGCGGCTGCCAGATAAGTTTCTGGCGGCTGCCACATAAATAACTGGCGGCCGCCAGAAACTTATCTGGTGGCCGCCAGATAAAAAGATTTGGTGGCCGCCAGATCTATTTATCTGGCGGCAGCCAGATAAAATATTTTTCCTGCCTGGCACCAACCGGTTTCCGTAGAAAATACAGTGTAGGTTCCTACGTGCAAAATTTAAAAAGATAATTTAAAAAAAAACTAAAATTATCAAATATTTTCAAAATATGACAACTTTTATAATAAGTTATCTGGTGGCCCCCAGAACTTTTTATCTGGCGGCCGCCAGAAAATTATTTGATGGCTGCCGCCAGTTATTTATGTGGCGGCCGCCAGATAATTATTTGAGTTTCTGGCGGCCTCCAGATAAAATATTTTTTCTACCTGACACCAACCGGCTTCCATAGATAATCGCCTATCGCAAGCGAGTTGAGGCTAGGTATAGGCACTTCTATGCAAATGAGCTAATAAAAGCACATAAGATGTATATGTATTATACAAAGTTTTAATTTATTTTCTAATACATACTTGGTACCCACAACATGTTAAAGCTAGTGCACATTATGATGTCATATTATGATGTCATTGTTCTTTACCACACAAGGTAATAAACAACAAAACAACGTCGGTGCAAGGGCATATCCTACTTGATTTTAAAAACATAATGTATAATATTTAGAAGAATATTGTTAAAAATTGATAAAATTGCTGCACAAATCCTATGCACTTTCCCATTTGATGAAAATTTGAGGAAACTTACACAGGACTGTGAATTTTTACCATGTTTCAACTCAAATCTTTATGAATACATGTAGTAACTAAACCATTTCACTGTCAACATTTGTGCAGCAATGTCATAAATCCTTGGAATATCCTGCTTCTATTTATACCTTATTTCTGTAAAACAAAATAAAATATACCCATGCGGTGAAGCTATTTTGCTGATGTTCCTTATAAACTTGTGTAGTAGAAAAACGTTGACGTCATAATTTACACTGGCTACCACATGTCGTGGTTACCAAGTTTGTATTAGGAAACAAGTTTGAACTTTTTCTGTATGAAAGGTATAGCCCTTATGCGTTTTAATTAATTAGCTCATTTGTATCAAAACGTCTATACTTAGCCTTAACTCACTTGCGGTGGTAACATACTTGTAAACAGTATTAAGCAGCTTCAGTATTTGTAAGATGTGCATACTTATTTAAAGCTTGATTATCAGTTTCTAATAAGCTGCTGTTAGATATTGCATGTCTAATTTTGATGAAAGGAATTTATTGAATGAATTTCTTTGGTTTAAGTTTTGCCAAGTATTTGTTTTGGCCTTTTGTAGAAACTTAAGCACCATCTATGCACAGTCACTTAAGTGCCCTGGTTTCATGTACTGATATTCACCACACAAACACATAAACAATATTTTACATGTATATTTACCACATGTATTTTTAATAATATGAAAAAAAAAATTGCATTACAAATAATTGAAATATGTCACAGAGAAGGAGTACATGGTACATATGTAAATGAATTAGGCAAGAGAAATATCTACATGTAAAATATTATAAAACCAAGGGGTCGTCATCACTAAGGTCAAGGTCAGAAAGGTTAATGTCTTCATCTACAAAAAAAAATAAAATAAAATTATCAGCTGGTGTGCATTGAAATTCATAAATTTAAATTAATTTATCAGTACAAGTAGGTATTTATTTACAATGTATATGAAAATGTACCACTACTACACTATGAAATCTGCTGTTGGTTTGACAGCTTTTCTCTAGAGACATTACACAATCTCAGCTCTTTATTTGTGAGTTAAGTATATCACTTTATCTGCCAATCTTAATGCATAAGCTAATTAATAATGGAGGAGTGCCACTTTGGAATATTTCTAAAAAATATGCTTTCAGTTCAAGTAGTGATTGCACACAAAATTAATGAGAACTTATTGCTCTTAAATGTTTTAGGGATAATATTAAAAATTTACAACCCCTCATGGGAAAAAAATGACAAAAAATATGTAAAAACAAATAAATGATTATGAAAGAAATGCAACAATAGAATAAAATAACAAAATGTGTACACTGTATTGCAACTGAATAAATGAAACTGGAGCCAAAAAAGCCACAATATTAATTACAACTTACCATGACACATCTGTGATTAAACATAAAACAAAATGATATGGGAGAAATTCAATTTCATGCAATAAATAACTCTCACATTTGTCTCTAGTTTTTTGTAATTCTTTGGTAGATATTACATTTTGAGACCCAATTAAAACAATTCATTCTAATGTCTTGCTATGTACATTTATCAAATATCCATGTAGAAATTGACTATAAGAAATATAATGTCAGTCTGAAAATTTTTAAATCAAGATACGAGGGGTGATCAAAAAGTTCGTGAACTATCTCTATATTTACAAAACCAAAATTCAGATCAGAATGAAATTTAGTCATGACGTCAATATGTGACAAAAAATGGTTGTTAGTCGTACTTGAGCAACGAACAGTTGTAAAGTTTAACGTATATCTTGAAATTCCTTTGCAGTAGAATATGATAATTTGTACAAGGTTTATGAAGATAAAAGACTTACCAGAAGTTCAAACATTAATTGGATTAAGTGTTTAAGAAAAGACAGGGAGATGGTTAAAAATGATGTTTGTTCTGTTGCCCAGCGAAAGCAAGCCAGGGAAAAGATGTCCTTAGTTGAGCAATTTGTTTTGAAACATCGTCAAGTTACAATTAGAAAAATGACTGAATATCTTAACAATGATATAATTATTAAGTCCCTAAAATATCGTTTACTTTAGACTTTAAACATATGAGATGTGATAAAAAGAAAGCGTCCATACTTTATCCACATTGGATAAACGACGCTCCAGAGACAGAGGACTAGGATTGTGATGGGTCACCACACTAATTGTGGGAAGGGATATCCTTATCCACCCATCCTATTGCCGAGATTTGGCCATTTCGGACGAACTGTTCTTGTTATAAAATATAACTTGCATGGTAAGAAATATAAGACTTGGAAAAATCTTTTAGCTTCTCTGAACAGACTGCTACAGAGCATGTAATGTGACTGCCTGGATCACGTGATTCGCGCATGGACAGAACAATGACAGATGTGCATTAAAATCAGAGAGGACTACTTTAAAAAATAATAAACACTGAAACCTCACTTTATTTCTTTTAAGGAAGTAATTCAATTAGTTCGCGAACTTTTTGATCACCCCTCGTATAACTGTCCCTTGTGATCATCAATGAAAAAAATCAGAGTGAAAACTTGTCAGTGCATTTAAGAAGTATAAATGCATATATTTGACATGAAAAATCAATAAAATTGACCAAAATCAAAAATTAAATCTGGAAGGGAAAAAGGAAGATTTCTTTCTTCTTTGCTAAGTATTAAATCAATTAATATTCACTCAATGTGAAAACTAGGCATTACTAGTAGTTGGTTTAATTTCCACAAATATTGAAAATTTTAAACTTTACTTTTCCATGGTGTTTTATGGACAAAATGAACTCTACCACTGTTATAACTACATTTCCAAAATTAACCTGTGGTGATGAGCTTTGCAGACTAGAAATTTGGGCACAAACTCCAGACACAAGTTAGCAAGCACAATAAATGGATCAGAATTATTTCATTTGCACTTTACACCAGTGTATTTCTTTTCACTGACGTTTTGAAGAAAGAGAACTGCAGACAACAACTTGCAACAGAATCAGGTTTTTGATTTCAACAGCACCAGGATGAAAGAATGCAAAAAAAGGGCTTACAAACTGACTTTCAATCGAGAGAACATGAAAAGTACACAAGAAATGAAACAGTCAGGATAGAATTTATATGGATTGTTGGGTAAAAATATTTCATCTACATATTTCACTTCTGCCAGTGAGTAACCAGGTAACAAACTGCAGAAAAGAAAATTTTTTGTGAAAATGAAACAAAAAAATTGCAGAATCGTAATTTTTTTTGGGGGGGGGGGGGGAGGGAGGAGGGGGAAGCCATTTTGCAAAAACATGATACATGGATTTTGCGAATCATAGCATTATTCAGTAGTTGTGTACATACCTGAGTCAACTAAGGTAGAGCTGATCTGGGCTTTCTGAGGATTAAACATTTCAAAATCAGTGCTTTCATCATCATCAGAAAGGTCAAGGTCATCCAAGTCCATTACACTATTCACAGATTGTTCTGATTTATAACCTGCAAGTCAAAGTTTAAAGTGAAAAATGCACATTTATCTGTACTAGGGATGGCAATTTTTAACCGGTTAACCGATTAATCGGTCGGAACGATGGTAATCGGTTAGGAAATCTGCAATCGGTTAGTCGGAAAAAAAATTAAAATATGTGAAAATTTCATTGAAATTCAGTTTGCAATTTTAAAAAAAGCTATGAATGTTGAAAAGTCATAACGTATTCACTAATTCTGAGATAATTAATGAAGACTCGGGATTGAGGTGTTTGGGTAATTGGTCAATTGGTGAAGTGTAAATTGCTGCTTAAACATCCTGTCATTACCCAGCCTGTCCTATATTTCGTTTATGATATTAATTAAGTCACCGTGGAGCATTGTGAACTTATTACATTGTGTATCTTTTGATGTTATTTCTGCCAGATTATATTTTTATACAAACATTATAAATTCAATGATAGTTCAGACTTTGATCCTGTTTATGATGACAATGCAAAATGACCTTGTGTAACATCCGGTCGCAATGAATTATCAGTATCCTATATTCGTAAATGTATCTCATGGATGTTTTATGGTTTTCCTTTCGAAATTGAATAAAATAGGCAAAGTATAGAGATCAAGCATTACAAAACATTACTAATGCCGTTTTGTATATTTTTAGCTCACCTGAGCCGAAGGCTCAAGTGAGCTTTTCTGATCACATTTTGTCCGTCGTCCGTCCGTCCGTCTGTCCGTCTGTCTGTCCGTCCGTCTGTAAACTTTTCACATTTTTGACTTCTTCTCAAGAACCACTGGGCCAATTTTGACCAAACTTGGTACAAAGCATCCTTGGGTAAAGGGGAATTTAAATTGTTCAAATGAAGGGCCAAGTCCCCTCACAAGGGGAGATAATCAAGAGAAGACAAAAATAGGGTGGGGTCATTAAAAAATCTTCTTCTCAAGAACCACAGGGCCAGTAAAGCTGAAACTTATATGGAAGCATCCTGGGGAAGTGTAGATTCTAAATTGTACAAATCATGACCCCCGGGGGTAGGGCGGGGCCACAATAGGAAATACAAGTTTTACATTGAAATATATAGGAAAAATCTTTAAAAATCTTCTTCTCAAGAACCACTGGGCCAGAAAAGCTGAAACTTATGTGGAAGCATCCTGGGATAGTGTACATTCTAAATTGTAAAAATCATGACCCCCGGGGGTAGGGCGGGGCCACAATAGGGAATCAAAGTTTTACATTGAAATATATAGGAAAAATCTTTAAAAATCTTCTTCTCAAGAACCACTGGGCCAAAAAAGCTGAAACTAATGTAGAAGCATCCTGGGGTAGTGTAGATTCTAAATTGTTCAACTCATGACCCCCAGGGGTAGGGCGGGGCCACAATAGGGAATCCAAGTTTTACATTGAAATATATAGGAAAAATCTTTAAAAAACTTCTTCTCAAGAACCACTGGGCCAGAAAAGCTGAAACTTATGTGGAAGCATCCTGGGGTAGTGTAGATTCTAAATTGTTCAAATCATGACCCCCGGGGGTAGGGCGGGGCCACAATAGGAAATACAAGTTTTACATTGAAATATATAGGAAAAATCTTTAAAAATCTTCTTCTCAAGAACCACTGGGCCAGAAAAGCTGAAACTTACGTGGAAGCATCCTGGGGTAGTGTAGATTCTAAATTGTTTAAATCATGACCCCCGGGGGTAGGGCGGGGCCACAATAGGAAATACAAGTTTAACATTGAAATATATAGGAAAAATCTTTAAAAATCTTCTTCTCAAGAACCACTGGGCCAGAAAAGCTGAAACTTATGTGAAAGCATCCTGGGGTAGTGTAGATTCTAAATTGTTCAAATCATGACCCCCGGGGGTAGGGCAGGGCCACAATAGGGAATCCAAGTTTTACATTGAAATATATATAGGAAAAATCTTTAAAAATCTTCTTCTCAAGAACCACTGGGCCAGAAAAGCTGAAACTTATGTGGAAGCATCCTGGAGTAGTGTAGATTCTAAATTGTTCAAATCATGACCCCCGGGGGTAGGGCGGGGCCACAATAGGAAATACAAGTTTTACATTGAAATATATAGGAAAAATCTTTAAAAATCTTCTTCTCAAGAACCACTGGGCCAGAAAAGCTGAAACTTATGTGGAAGCATCCTCAAGTAGTGTACACTCTAAATTGTTCAAATCATGACCCAGGGGATAGGGCTGGGCCACAATAGGGGGAATCCCAAGTTTTACATTGAAATATATAGGAAAAATCTTTAAAAATCTTCTCAAGAACCACTGGACCAGAAAAACTGAAACTTATGTGGAAGCATCCTGGGGTAGTGTAGATTCTAAATTGTTCAAATCATGGCCCCTGGGGGGAGGGTGGGGCCACAATAGGTATTACAAGGCCATGGCCAACAGCATGGCCAAAGTTACTCAGGTGAGCGATGTGGCCCATGGGCCTCTTGTTATTCATGTAATATTTTTTATTTGTGGGTAGGGGTATGAAAAAAAACTAACTTAAAAAAGAATTCCAGATGTGAAATTTGTTACGATTAACCGGTTAATCGGTTGGAACGTCTTGCGGTTAACCGATTAACAATTCTGTATTCGATTGCCATCCCTAATCTGTACACAATTTTGACATTGTTATCTGATAAAGAACTGCAAACATCATAAAATGAAAAATTTTTGGGAGGTGACCCAGGATACTGCAGATTTTTTTTTCACTTTAAGACATTAAAATGATTTACATCACAAGTTAGCCAGCCTACTATAAATGGACAAGAAAGGGCTGTAAGGACTACAACTTTTTTTAAATAATAGTAAACAATGACAACAGACAGCTATGAAAATACCTGTCTTTCAAAATTTTGATGGAGAAAGAATAAATGGAGAAATCTAAAGATGTAATTTTGATGATCAGATCATAAGCCTTACACCAAAATTGTAAGGACTGGCAGCCCAAAATTTACATCACATACTGTACCATTATCATAGAGGGTGGAGGACTTTGCGTTGATGTATAGAGGAGTGTGTACCCCGCTGTTGGATGTGTATTTCTGTTTCGGTGTCACTGATCCACTCCCTACAGAGTACTCCAAATTATCCACCTTGTTTTTCAATGACGACACAGTAGACCTATAAAAACAGCATCTAACTTAGATATTGTACATTTACTGACTCGATGTACATGTATTTACAATTCTAACAATTATTTTTCTTACTAGTTTTAAAACTTTGGTTCAGTAGCCTTTACTCTCAAAGATCTTGAATATATGCTATAATATAAACTGCAATTTATGCGTTTTATTCAATTTTATTCAGAGCTTTGAAGTACTTTGAGAAGAATATTTTCAACAAATCATTGTTATCATTACTGATTACTAATCAGAGGTACTATATCTGATACTAATCCCTGACCCTATTCCAGGTGTGTGCGGTAGTACTGAGGTAAGACTTATCTGAGGCCCTGTATCTGATACTGATCCCTGACCCTATTCCAGGTGTGTGTGGTTGTACTGAGGAAAGACTTACCTGAGGTCCTATATCTGATACTGATCCCTGACCCTATTCCAGGTGTGTGCAGTTGCACTGAGAAAAGACTTACCTGAGGTCCTGTATCTAATACTGATCCCTGACTCTACCCCAGGTGTCTGTGGTTGGACTGAGTAAAGACTCACCTGAGGTCCTGTATCTGATACTGATCCCTGACTCTACCCCAAGTGTCTGTGGTTGTACTGAGGAAAGACTTACCTGAGGTCCTGTATCTGGCACTGATCCCTGACTCTATTTCAGGTGTGTGTGGTTGTACTGAGGAAAGACTTACCTGAGGTCCTGTATCTGATACTGATCCCTGACCCTATTCCAGGTGTGTGTGGTTGTACTGAGAAAAAACTTACCTGAGGTCCTGTATCTGATACTGATCCCTGACTCTACCCCAGGTGTCTGTGGTTGTACTGAGGAAAGACTTACCTGAGGTCTTGTATCTGATACTGATCCCTGACTCAACCCCAGGTGTCTGTGGTTGTACTGAGGTAAGACTTACCTGAGGTCCTGTATCTGATACTGATCCCTGACTCTACCCCAGGTGTCTGTGGTTGGACTGAGTAAAGACTCACCTGAGGTCCTGTATCTGATATTGATCCCTGACTCTACCCCAGGTGTCTGTGGTTGTACTGAGGTAAGACTTACCTGAGGCCCTGTATCTAATACTGATCCCTGACCCTATTCCAGGTTTGTGTGGTTGGACTGAGGTAAGACTTACCTGAGGCCCTGTATCTGATACTGATCCCTGACCCTATTCCAGGTGTGTGCAGTTGTACTGAGGTAAGACTTACCTGAAGTCCTGAATCTGATACTGATCCCTGACCCTATTCCAGGTGTCTGTGGTTGTACTGAGGTAAGACTTACCTGAGGCCCTGTATCTGATACTGATCCCTGACTCAACCCCAGGTGTCTGTGGTTGGACTGAGTAAAGACTCACCTGAGGTCCTGTATCTGATACTGATCCCTGACTCAACCCCAGGTGTCTGTGGTTGTACTGAGTAAAGACTCACCTGAGGTCCTGTATCTGATACTGATCCCTGACTCTACCCCAGGTGTCTGTGGTTGGACTGAGTAAAGACTCACCTGAGGTCCTGTATCTGATACTGATCCCTGACTCTACCCCAGGTGTCTGTGGTTGTACTGAGGTAAGACTTACCTGAGGTCCTGTATCTGATACTGATCCCGGACTCTACCCCAGGTGTCTGTGGTTGGACTGAGTAAAGACTCACCTGAGGTCCTGTATCTGATACTGATCCCTGACTCAACCCCAGGTGTCTGTGGTTGTACTGAGGTAAGACTTACCTGAGGTCCTGTATCTGATACTGATCCCTGACTCTACCCCAGGTGTCTGTGGTTGTACTGAGGAAAGACTTACCTGAGGTCTTGTATCTGATACTGATCCCTGACTCAACCCCAGGTGTCTGTGGTTGTACTGAGGTAAGACTTACCTGAGGTCCTGTATCTGATACTGATCCCTGACTCTACCCCAGGTGTCTGTGGTTGGACTGAGTAAAGACTCACCTGAGGTCCTGTATCTGATATTGATCCCTGACTCTACCCCAGGTGTCTGTGGTTGTACTGAGGTAAGACTTACCTGAGGCCCTGTATCTAATACTGATCCCTGACCCTATTCCAGGTTTGTGTGGTTGGACTGAGGTAAGACTTACCTGAGGCCCTGTATCTGATACTGATCCCTGACCCTATTCCAGGTGTGTGCAGTTGTACTGAGGTAAGACTTACCTGAAGTCCTGAATCTGATACTGATCCCTGACCCTATTCCAGGTGTCTGTGGTTGTACTGAGGTAAGACTTACCTGAGGCCCTGTATCTGATACTGATCCCTGACTCAACCCCAGGTGTCTGTGGTTGGACTGAGTAAAGACTCACCTGAGGTCCTGTATCTGATACTGATCCCTGACTCAACCCCAGGTGTCTGTGGTTGTACTGAGTAAAGACTCACCTGAGGTCCTGTATCTGATACTGATCCCTGACTCTACCCCAGGTGTCTGTGGTTGGACTGAGTAAAGACTCACCTGAGGTCCTGTATCTGATACTGATCCCTGACTCTACCCCAGGTGTCTGTGGTTGTACTGAGGTAAGACTTACCTGAGGTCCTGTATCTGATACTGATCCCGGACTCTACCCCAGGTGTCTGTGGTTGGACTGAGTAAAGACTCACCTGAGGTCCTGTATCTGATACTGATCCCTGACTCTACCCCAAGTGTCTGTGGTTGTACTGAGGAAAGACTTACCTGAGGTCCTGTATCTGGCACTGATCCCTGACTCTATTTCAGGTGTGTGTGGTTGTACTGAGGAAAGACTTACCTGAGGTCCTGTATCTGATACTGATCCCTGACCCTATTCCAGGTGTGTGTGGTTGTACTGAGAAAAAACTTACCTGAGGTCCTGTATCTGATACTGATCCCTGACTCTACCCCAGGTGTCTGTGGTTGTACTGAGGAAAGACTTACCTGAGGTCTTGTATCTGATACTGATCCCTGACTCAACCCCAGGTGTCTGTGGTTGTACTGAGGTAAGACTTACCTGAGGTCCTGTATCTGATACTGATCCCTGACTCTACCCCAGGTGTCTGTGGTTGGACTGAGTAAAGACTCACCTGAGGTCCTGTATCTGATATTGATCCCTGACTCTACCCCAGGTGTCTGTGGTTGTACTGAGGTAAGACTTACCTGAGGCCCTGTATCTAATACTGATCCCTGACCCTATTCCAGGTTTGTGTGGTTGGACTGAGGTAAGACTTACCTGAGGCCCTGTATCTGATACTGATCCCTGACCCTATTCCAGGTGTGTGCAGTTGTACTGAGGTAAGACTTACCTGAAGTCCTGAATCTGATACTGATCCCTGACCCTATTCCAGGTGTCTGTGGTTGTACTGAGGTAAGACTTACCTGAGGCCCTGTATCTGATACTGATCCCTGACTCAACCCCAGGTGTCTGTGGTTGGACTGAGTAAAGACTCACCTGAGGTCCTGTATCTGATACTGATCCCTGACTCAACCCCAGGTGTCTGTGGTTGTACTGAGTAAAGACTCACCTGAGGTCCTGTATCTGATACTGATCCCTGACTCTACCCCAGGTGTCTGTGGTTGGACTGAGTAAAGACTCACCTGAGGTCCTGTATCTGATACTGATCCCTGACTCAACCCCAGGTGTCTGTGGTTGTACTGAGGTAAGACTTACCTGAGGTCCTGTATCTGATACTGATCCCTGACTCTACCCCAGGTGTCTGTGGTTGGACTGAGTAAAGACTCACCTGAGGTCCTGTATCTGATACTGATCCCTGACTCTACCCCAGGTGTCTGTGGTTGGACTGAGTAAAGACTCACCTGAGGTCCTGTATCTGATACTGATCCCTGACTCTACCCCAGGTGTCTGTGGTTGGACTGAGGTAAGACTTACCTGAGGTCCTGTATCTGATACTGATCCCTGACTCTACCCCAAGTGTCTGTGGTTGGACTGAGGTAAGACTTACCTGAGGTCCTGTATCTGATACTGATCCCTGACTCTACCCCAGGTGTCTGTGGTTGTACTGAGTAAAGACTTACCTGAGGTCCTGTATCTGATACTGATCCCTGACTCTACTCCAGGTGTCTGCAGTTGAAGTTAGGGAAGACTGGTGATTCTGTACCTATAAATGCAAAGAATTACATCTACACTGTGCAATTTCATAGATGAGGTGTTATTGCCATCATGTGCTTTTTCAAATATTGATCATTTGTGACCATTTTTACTGTCATTTTTCACAATTAAGGAATGTTTTTAAGTTTTGTGTGAGTTATTGGTGTGTAAATCACAGACTTGTCACGTAGGCATATTTCATGAAGCGTGCTAGCGCTTCATGAAAAATATGCCTACGTGCAAGTCTGTGTGATTTACACACCAATAATTCACACTAAACTTAAAAACATTCCTTATATTTACATTTTACATGCTTAAATGCACCAAAAATATACTCAATGTTAGAATTTCTCGCTGCCCTATATCGTCATATATTTATTAACGTCTCTGTAGCCTCATTGTGACGTGACTTTAGCGCGAGTTTCACCGTGTATAATTCTACGCATGAGTATACACAAAAATTGCTTTCAAATCAATTCCACAGTTGGCTTAGTAGAAAAACACAGCAAATGTAAATATTTACGTATATGCATAGGATGACTGGTCTATAAAAGTATCTTATTACATAGATGGCCTGTCTACTGACCTTCTCATATTGGGACACACCCCTTCTGCTTTTCACAACAGATGACAATTCATTTTCTACTTTACCTGAAAAAATAATAAAATAAATATAATGACACTTCCTGTATTATAGTCTTCCATTGCTAAAGCCTTCATGTACATATACAGTTGAATGTTGACACAGATAAGTCAAATACCTGACGTTTTAAAGGGTAGATGGTCATGTCACAATAATAACAATAACATACCATTCCTAGACTTCAGTGTGTCTAATAATAACAACATACCACTCCTAGACTTCAGTATATCTAATAATAATAATAACAGCATACCAATCCTAGACTTCAATATGTCTAATAATAATAACAATATACCACTCCTAGACTTCAGTATGTCAAATAATAAACAAAACACCAATCCTAGACTTCAGTGTGTCTTATTATAATAATAATAACAGCATACCAATCCTAGACTTCAGTGTGTCTTATTATAATAATAATAACAGCATACCAATCCTAGACTTCAATATGTCTTATAATAATAACAATATACCAATCCTAAACTTTAGTATGTCTAATAATAATAACAATATACCACTCCTAGACTTCAGTATGTCTAATAATAACAACATCCCAATCCTAGACTTCAGTATGTCTAATAATAATAACAACATCCCAATCCTAGACTTCAGTATGTCTAATAATAATAACAACATCCCAATCCTAGACTTCAGTATGTCTAATAATAATAACAACATACCAATCCTAGACTTCAGTGTGTCTAATAATAAAACAAAACACCAATCCTAGACTTCAGTGTGTCTTATTATAATAATAATAACAACATACCAATCCTAGACTTCAGTGTGTCTTATAATAATAATAATAATAACATACCAATCCTAGACTTCAATATGTCTTATAATAATAACAATATACCACTCCTAGACTTCAGTGTGTCTAATAATAAACAAAATACCAATCCTAGACTTCAGTGTGTCTTATTATAATAATAATAACAGCATACCAATCCTAGACTTCAGTATGTCTGATAATAATAACAACATACCAATCCTAGACTTCAATATGTCTAATAATAACAACATACCACTCATAGAGTTCACTATGTCTAATAATAATAACATACCAATCCTAGACTTTAGTATGTCTAATAATAATAACAACATACCAATCCTAGGCTTCAGTATGTCTAATAATAACAACATACCAATCCAAGACTAAAGTATGTCTTATAATAATAACAACATACCAATCCTAGGCTTCAGTATGTCTAATAATAACAACATACCAATCCAAGACTAAAGTATGTCTTATAATAATAACAACATACCAATCCTAGACTTCAGTATGTCTTATAAATATAACAACATACCACTCCTAGACTTCAGTATATCTACTAATAAAAACAACATACCAATCCTAGACTTCATTATATCTTATAAAAATAACAACATACTAATCCTAGACTTAAATATGTCTAATAATAACAACATACCACTCCTAGACTTCAGTATGTCTTATAATAATAACAAAATACCACTCCTAGACTTCAGTAAGTCTTATAATAATAACAAAATACCTTCAGTATGTTTTAAGACTTCAGTATGTCTTATAATAATAACAACATACCAAACCTAGACTTCAGTGTGTCTTAAATAATAACAACATACCAATCCTAGACTTCAGTATGTCTAATAATAATAATAACAAAATAACACTCCTAGACGTCAGTGTGTCTAATAATAATATATAAATGGTGCACGTTTTTGAGGGTAACAGTTGAAATTGACACCCCTAGGAAAACCATTGTCAACCGACGCGTCAGCGGAGGTTGACAATGGTTTTCCGAGGGGTGTCAATTTCAACTGTTACCCTCAAAAACGTGCACTATTTATTTTATTATACTGAATGTCTTATTGAATTCGGATGTTATTAAAAAATTCGGAGATCATCGTTAACTTCACGCTTAGAAAGCTTTCAAACTCCCCACTTCTATTTTTCTCAATAGGAAAGCTTCGTAAAAGATTTACCAACCTCTTTATTATTTGTTTGCTACTCAAAAAGTCCTTTATCACCTAAAGTTTGCACTCGCAAGGATGTTTCGTCTGTCGTTTGTCTTTTTCAAGTAAGCCACATCGGACGCAAGCTTTTATTGACGTCGTTTATTCGGCTTCTTTCAAACGCACAACCGACGTTTTGAGAATTCTACGGTGAACCGTACGCGCATGATTTGAACGCATGTGATATTTTCGTAATGTTACCCGTTGTCAAGTGAGTTGCTAACGCTGAGGGTAATATTACGGATTGTTAAACGTGTCTAAACCAATCAGATTTTAGTATTTAAAATGAAAGTATAATAAAACAAAATACCATCCTAGACTTCAATATGTCTAATAATAACAACATACCGATCCTAGACTTCAGTATGTCTAATAATAATAATAAGAAACCAAACCTAGACTTCAGTATGTTTAATAATAAAAACAACATACCAATCCTAGACTTTAGTATGTCTAATAATAATAACAACATACCAATCCTAGTCTTCAATATGTCTAATAATAAAACAAAATACCAATCCTAGACTTCAGTGTGTCTTATAATAATAATAATAATAACATACCAATCCTAGACTTCAGTATGTCAAATAATAATAACAACATACCAATCCTAGACTTCAGTATGTCAAATAATAATAACAACATACCAATCCTAGACTTCAGTGTGTCTAATAATAATAACAACATACCAATCCTAGACTTCAGTATGTCAAATAATAATAACAACATACCAATCCTAGACTTCAGTATGTCTAATAATAATAACAACATACCAATCCTAGACTTCAGTATGTCAAATAATAATAACAACATACCAATCCTAGACTTAAATATGTCTAATAATAATAACAACATACCAATCCTAGACTTCAGTATGTCTAATAATAATAACAACATACCACTCCTAGACTTAAATATGTCTAATAATAATAACAACATACCACTCCTAGACTTCAGTATGTCTACTAATAATAACAACATACCACTCCTAGACTTCACCATGTCTGATAATAATAACAACATACCACTCCTAGACTTCAGTGTGTCTTATTATAATAATAATAACAACATACCAATCCTAGACTTCAGTATGTCTTATAATAATAACAACATACCAATCCTAGACTTCAGTATGTCTAATAATAATAACAAAATACCTTCAGTATGTTTTAAGACTTCAGTATGTCTTATAATAATAATTAAATACCAATCTTAGAGTTCAGTATGTCTTATAATAATAAAAACAAATATTTACATTTCCAATGTCTTTGTCCGAGATAAAATTACAAACTGTAAAAATACTTTATTTCTACATAAATCTACTGGTTCATCGAGAGGCGCGGTTAAAAAAAATCACGTACGGGGCGGGACAAATAGAGACAGAAGCGGGACTATTAGCACGGGAATTTGCAGAATCAGGAGCATGTAAATATAAGGAATAACTGTCAGATTTTTTGGATTCATGACGATGATCAATCGATTGGCTTGCATGATAATTTTATGCATAAACGCCTTCAGCGTTTTATGCAAATTATCACGCAAGCCACTCGATTGATCACATCATGAATCCAAAAAATCAGACAGTTATTCCTTAAATCAATCATAGACTTCAAAATGTCTAATTATAACCTCTTTATAACACTTACCAATCCTAGACTTCAGTATGTCTATGTCTCTCCTCATCAGGTCAAGGTCGTCCTGGACATTGTTTTTCCTGTTATTAGAGTCAGAATTTAAACATCATTTTGAAGGAATGATATACAGTGTAGGAACTATGACAAGATCAAATTTTCTTGATTTAAGAACATTTTTAATATTATTATTTTCTACTTTGATAAGGTCATTTTATAATGTTAATGAGGATGCAATTATATTCATTTGAAAAATACTGTCACTGTGAATATATAAAAAAAAAAATAAAATTATCTAATATTGAAAAAAAAGTCAACAAACTGTCATACAAAAAAGAAATTCTAGAAAGTAAAACAATTTTAAAGTTTTTCCATCAAGACAGGATCTTTGTTCCATTTCACTGCTGCTGGTATTCTCTCTGTCAGATGTATTTAATATACAAATTCCCTTTGACTCAGTGGAGTGTTTATGACTTACAATTCCCTGCATAATTTATAATGTATAGCTTTTAAATCCCTGAAGTCTTTGTATAATGTGTGTATAACTTACAAAACCCTGATGTCTTTGTCTAATGTGTGTATAACTTACAAATCTCTGATGTCTTTGTATAATGTGTGTATAACTTACAAATCTCTGATGTCTTTGTATAATGTGTGTATAACTTACAAATCTCTGATGTCTTTGTATAATGTGTGTATAATTTACAAATCTCTGATGTCTTTGTATAATGTGTGTATAACTTACAAATCTCTGATGTCTTTGTATAATGTGTGTATAATTTACAAATGCCTGATGTCTTTGTATAATGTATAACTTCCAAATTCCTCAGGAGTTATGTAGCATAGTGGTGAGTGTGGTAGTTTTAATGGAAAGTGATTTATTTTATTACAAAAAAGTATCTTCAAACCAGACTATTTCATGACATTAAAATAACAACAACCAAAAGATGAGACTACAATTTATTTCATTCTCCATTCTACAAGGTAAACAAATGTGTACAGGAATAGACATTAACTTTCAGATTCACTTGCCCTTTGGGCAAGTGATCTCAGACTTTGACTTGTCCGAATGCTTAACTTGGTTGCCCAAAATTAGGAAAGAAGTTAAGAAGAAAATTATTATTTCTGTAGACGTTTTGATAAGAAAATATGTGACCAAATTCACTACTGTCAATTTGGCTTGAGCTTGAAAAATTTCGATGCTGCATTTGTACATAAATGTATACCACTGTCCTTGTAAATTTAACCTGTTAACACACACTGCCATGCAGAAATAACCCTCCGTTTCCTTTTAATAAAATTCATATTTTAAAAATCATTTTCAGTAGGATCCTTTTGTGATTCATGATTTTCAGAGATAACTGTGAAGCAATGCTTAAGGAAGATAGTTGCTACAAAACATACATCTTATCTTGATCAGGATATATCGTGTTACACTGTACTTATATTCTGTGCATGAATAAATAATCTAATTTCCTAATAAGAAGTTAACAAAATTTGTTAGACGTAGAGCGTATTTACTACAAAAGAAAATAACGAACCCGATTTTTAAATGAAGGGTATAATCCAGAAACGCTATCAAGGAAATTTGAATGCAAAAACAATGCCAGTCAGGTTCGTGCAGAAATCAAGTGTTCAGTTTATTGTTTTATTTATAAATTAATGTAAACAAAATATTAAAATGTATGAGAAAAATTCAATTGCCCGATCGGACAAGTACGTCGACAATTTCACTTGCCCGAACTGAGAATTTACTTGTCCTGGGCAATCGGACAACCGTTAATGTCAATCCCTGGTGTATAACTTACGAATCTCTGATGTCTTTGTCTAATGTGTTTATAACTTCCAAATTCCTGATGTCTTTGTATAATGTGTGTATAACTTCCAAATCCCTGAAGTCTTTGTATAATGTGTTTATAGCTAACAAATCCCTGAAATCTTTGTATAATGTGTTTTTAACTTACAAATCTCTGATGTCTTTGTATAATGTATGTATAATTTACAAATTCCTGATGTCTTTATATAATGTGTGTATAACTTACAAATCCCTGATGTCTTTGCATAATGTATGTATAACTTACAAATCCCTGATGGCTTTGCACAATGTATGTATAACTTACAAATCCCTGATGTCTTTGCATAACGTATGTGTAACTTAAAAATCTCTGTTGTCTTTGTATAATGTGTTTATAGCTAACAAATCCCTGAAATCTTTGTATAATGTGTTTTTAACTTACAAATCTCTGATGTCTTTGCATAATGTATGTATAACTTACAAATCCCTGATGGCTTTGCATAATGTATGTATAACTTACAAATCCCTGATGTCTTTGCATAACGTATGTATAACTTAAAAATCTCTGTTGTCTTTGTATAATGTGTTTATAGCTAACAAATCCCTGATGTCTTTGTATAATGTGTGTATAACTTACAAATCCCTGATGTCTTTGTGGAATGTGTTTATAACTTACAAATCCCTGATGTCCCTCTGTATTGTGTGGTCCACTGAGTTTCTCTGTAGCTGGATGTGTAGGCTGTTAATCTCGCTTTGTAAGTCTCTTCGTAGTTGGTCAATTTTGTTCTCAACATCTATACCTCTGTCAGGTTTTGGACTGTGGGTTCTCAGGTGATATAACTGATCTAAAACGGACCCAGTCAATTGAATTATAACCACTTCCTTAAGACAGTCCTTGAAAAAATAATTATTTTCAAATTGTTGATTTGTATATCAATCTTGTTAGAATCATCTATTAATTCTCCATGACAGCTTCTCAAATTAATGTTAATTCTGGCCATTGCTCTGCTTTTTTTTCCCCAAGACCATTGCACAAACAAAAATTTACTTGACAACTTTTACAGTGCTTGTTATAAGGGTCTATTGCTATTGGTATGTTCATCACACCAAACAGAAAATTACTGGCCCTCCACAAGAACATTATTCTTGTTCACCTGTATTTAACAATTTTCTTTTCAGTATAATTTTCCTAGAATTAAAACTGTGAAAGCCCTCAAGCTTAAAATTTGTTTTCTTTCCACATAATCTTACTCTAACATGCTTATAATGAATTGATGCTTGGAGCAAAGTAAATTTCATTCCCTGTGACTTTAAAAAATATTGTAAACTCAACAAAAATAACGAATTATGCTTATAACAAAGCAAAATCATCCATCCCTGGCACTTTGTTATACGGTAAGCATATTTTACTATAATTCTATTGTAAGCTCTTGTCCATACTGTTGGCTTTGACAATTGTTAATTTTGAAGACAATCTACAGATAAGTGCTATTTCAGATGCCTGTTTCCATTTTTACCTCTAACATCTCTCATCTGTTCACTGTAATTGTTTCTGTCAGTTTCCAGTTTGTTGACCATCTGCATCAGCTGATCAATAAGCTAGAAATAGAAATGAGTAAATCATAGGCCAAAAACATTAATTATGAGGAAAATTAGATTAGATACACTGTAAGTTATACATTTTAGTAGAAAACTATCCAGTCAGTCAGTGACCAGTAGTCTCATAATAGTATTTTTTCAATCTTAAAAATAAATAAAATTGTTTAACAACAAAAAAAAGTTTGTGGACTGGTGCTATAAAATTAATACACCGTACCATGTAAGCAAAATTTTTAGCAAGGACTCAATTTTGGCCTTATTAGCAAGGGTGTTGAGATCGCTAAAACTGCACATCGCTAACAATTCATTCAGCACTAAGGAGGTTAAACTATTTTGAAAGATATTGTCAAATCACTAAAATTACTTCTTGCTAAAATTATATAGATTTTTACGGCTAAATCACAAAGTTTGAATCTCACTAAAAATCAACTTATACAGTATTATATAGGATGTGCTTACAAAATTTATATGGAACACACAAACGAGAGTTTAAGAAATTTTGAAAAATTAAGCTTGATACATTGATAATTTTCCAATTTATCTTATCAATTTATATTCTCACTTGACTTTGGCAACCTAATCCGCTTGTCTGAATTCAATTTCTACAGCACGCGAGCAACGTTACTTTCAACAAGACTGACTTTGGACACTTAGACAAAGAATAAGCCTTTTGCCATTTAAAACAGGTAATGTGGACATTTTGTCTCTCTCCAGCCTGTTCAAAAACATTTGCAATCTTTGCAAGTTTTGAACTGACAAAATGAGGTAAATTTTACAGAAGAATATTGTCACATCATGAGTGAATAAACGTGAAAATTGGACAACATATGTTCCTATTAAAATATTTTTCCCAATTAGATTCACAGTGAAAATATGTGGTATTTTGAGGTTGTGCCATGTGGTCATACCATTCATTCTTACAAAAACATTCACAATTTATTCAAAGATAGTTTATTCTCTAGAAAGAAAAAACTATGTTGAATAAATGTGAAAAAATTCATTGATGTCCTTAAGCTGTGTTAATTTTATGCTGCCAGTCCACCGAACTTTTTGATAACCCTCTTACATGTAGTTTACTTGTGTGAGCACTAAGATTTATGAACTGTAGAAATAGTATTTTAAAAGTTTGTAAACTGACAAACAAACAGCTAGACATAAAATACCTAATCTAAACTGTTGTCAACAGGAAAAGCAAAATATATTAACAACAAAAACATGTCATGGCATTTCTAGACATAAATAAGGATATCAAATACACACATACCCTGTTCTGTTGCTCCATCTTTTCTTGTAAGGAGCTGACAAGTTGAGATGAGGTGATAGATGTTTGGGGAGGGGCAGCCAGCTGTGGGGTACTTGTCATCACAGGCATATATCCTGACATGTCTAACAGTGAGGAAGCACGCCTCATTGGAAGAGAACTGCTGACTATATTAAAAACTTCAATCATCAACTGTATTTCTAAATTTATTTGACATTTAGAATATTTTGCATCCTATTAAATGCTCATTATATTTCATGTCAAAGCAGAAATATGGCTAAATAATCTGATATGGCACCTAATAATTATCAGTAAATAAAAATCTGCTGCTATAGAATATCCTCTCTCTCTCTCTCTTTGGTAAGATGAAGGCTTCAACACTTCATATAAATTTATTGGCAATGACTTTTAAAAATTATCGTTATGAAGCTTGTACTCTACAGTAATATACTGATTTTGATAAAATATTTTTTATAATGAATTTAAAACTCACAGCCTCTGCTGGTTAAATCTGGGTAACCATGTTTTGGCGTATAGAGTTTTCTCTGAAAAGAAAAGCTTGTGGCGTGAACAAACAAAGGGGTTATGTTAGAGGCAATTTGGATTAAATTATTGCACTTTAACTGGTAAGTAGGCGAGCAATGGGAGAAATCTTGACAAATCACATGATGCAGATACCTTAGCCTTTGAGAGATTTGACTCTGTTTCACGAAGTATGGAGGAAAATTTATTTTCCCAGTTCATACTCCTCGATTTTCTTGGTCCGTTGCGAAGATTTTGTTTACAGCAGGTGGCGCTGCTGTAAAAATGAAAATAGACAACTTAATCTCGATCGGAACAAATAAATCCGATTTTTAATAATCACCTAAATCTTATTCCTAAGAGGATTTTTTTGTTAGAAAAAGCATTTTTGCATAAATTTTCCTTGGCATATTTACATGTAGAGGGGCACGCCCCTTCCCTGAAAAAAGTTTAGTTTATACTAGAGATGTCAACGAATATTCGAGTACATGGATCTGCTCAGTTCATTTAGTGTTCTCGTGAGTAAAACTCAGGGAAAGGCTTAACCGGTCTTCGTTAATTGTTCAAAGGAATTTTTTGGTTCGCCAAACATGCATTGGCATACTTTAGAAGATATATGTCAGATCCAAATTGTAAAGTTTCAACCTGCAATTCCGTAAGATCACGTATAATGCAACTATCAATTAATGAAGAATAATTAAACAGCTGTTACATATTTGTAAATACAAGTAAATTGGGGAAGTGACAGTTATGAGCGTAATTTAAAGATGTTTCTTTGTGATATCAAATATCAATCATTTTAAATTTGTTTTGATTGTTTGCAAAAAATCTCATAATTAAATTTAAAATTCATCGCAAGCTCTCTTTGTTTTTATAAGAGTTACGCGTTAATTATTATATATTTATTAATATATATATTAATTGTTTAATAGTCACTGATCGACAAGTCACGTTTAATATTTGAAATCAAAAACATTGGATATAATTATTATATATTTATTACTACGAATTTAAGTTTATGACTCCGGAGCCAGTATAAGTCGGAAACGAGATATGTTCCCCAAACTTCTCTGCATGGTGATTTCTTGTCCGGAGTGTTCTCATAGGACCACTCATCCGATTGAGATGGAACATTTTAGGGTTAATAGCCATTTTGTGAGTTCTATGTGCGGAATGAAGTTCTATGTGGGTCATTTTGCACGCACGTGCATGTACATGCGGTGAGTGAAATCACTGGTGTAATTCACAGGCACTTGGGGGATGGACCTCCCACCTTTATCCATTTTTTTCTTTTTAAATCTGGGATCGACAAATCTTTTTCCTATTTTTATATTCTAATATGCACTATATGTTATCGATAATGTAATCCTTTTGTTTCAATAAGCTGTTTTTAAATATATCATTTTCGACTGTATGTACGTGTGCTGCAACTTTTCTTAGTTTTCCGACAACAAAGTATATTATGCTACTTTCAAAACTGAATATAACATGCATGCACTTGTGCTGAATTCTGATTGGTTAATAATCAAATTGTTATACCTTTTTTATTTTTGACATTTTACACACAAGTATATTTTATGCGACTCTATAAGAAAATACGTGTGAAAAATCTAGGCCTAGAAAACGCCCTGAAATTTTTATCAGTTAATTAATTATACTCGTTCACGGAGTAGTTTTACAACAAAATATTTTAGAAAATAAAATACATGTACATCTATAATACAAAAAGTATCGCGTAATGTTATAAAGCTTGTAGGGAATGGGGCACCATAACGGCATAAGGGAGTTGGCCTTGGGGGGGGCAGTTTGTGGAACATATGTAACGGTTCCCTTTACAGTTACACTAGTAACAAATAGCTCATAGAGACAAATATGTTTCATTATGATTGTCGATAACACATAATCATGATAATGCACATTAGAAAACACGAATAGGGAATAAAAGTTTATTGATCCCAGATCTAAAAAGAATTAAAAAGGAAAAGAGTCGGAGAATGTCCCAAGTGCCTGTGTACTGAAGAATACAATACTTGTTTTAATTCAATGTTAATTATACAAGAATATTTTACAAAGAATAGAATTTATTAATAAATCAGGGTCCAAATGGGCATAAATATACAACATATATAATTACAGACATTTACACAATGAAAAGTAATTCTTTGAATCTATAATAACATAGATCACAAAAAATGGCGAAAAATTTTCCAATTTCCCCTCAATTACTAATATGTAGATGTGTATATTATACATGAAATATGAAGATAACGAACAGTAATCAAGCTCAAAAGTCCATTGAAACAATTCAAATCGGGAGCAGAGTAAACACGGACTTCTAAAAAATCAGAGGTGGAATCAGGTGCCATGGAGGAGCAAGCATCCACTGTCGACTGGGGTCCCACCCGCCGTGTCCTCATTGTCATGACTGGGCAAGCGGAAAAATCCATAGACTATTCAATGTTTAAAAATGGCCTAATAATTAGTATGAAAAACGTTAGTCGGCATTCGACTTAATGATAGATTGTATTTGCTGACAAGGTCATTGTATCGACCATAGAACTTGCGAAATGATGACTTTAAACGAGACTGTTGATATCCTTGTTTCATCAACTTGTTTGCCAATAGCTTGTCTCGTTTTACAAGAAATTGTTCGTACGTGGAGCGTGCTCTTGCGTATCCAAACAACTGGGAGATATAAACCCCATATGCAGGTGATAAGGGTATATTGCTATATAAGGAAGGGAAGTTTACGATAGAAAAGTTAAAGCATCACGTTTATCATAATGTTTTATTGTTAGGTTACCATTAACGTCTTTTTCTAGTAAAATATCCAAATGTGTAGCAGATGTTTCAGACTCTGTTAAATCTTTTATTTCAAGTTCAGTGGGATAGATCGAGTCGACAAATGAATGGAAGTAACTATTGTTTATTGATAATACGTACGTCGTCGATATATCTAAATGTCGAGTTGAAGGCCACAGCAAGTGCTTTCTTCTCACGTGTAAGTTTTTGAATAAATTATGCTTCATATGAATACAAAAATATGTCTGCTAATAACGGGGCGAAATTGTTACCCATGGAAATTCCAACAGATTGTTGGAAGACTGATCTCCAAAAACTACATAACATTGTCAGTCAGAAACTCAAGCATCATTTCAATATCTACTTCAAAGTACTTGTGTGTACAATCAGAATGTTTTTTAACAAAATAATTTTGCAAATAACCAATGACAAGGTTAGTAAATTTACGAGTTTCATTTTTATTGAAAAAGCAACTGTTTATGATGTCGAAAAGCCTGGACTTTAATTTATCGTGGGGAATGGTTGTATAAAGTGTTGAAAACTCGTAGGTTTTGATGTTATTGACTTTGGTAAAATTTTGTGATTTCAAATTTTCTAAAAGTTCCTTAGAGTTTTCAAGTATTCAAATTTGATTTATACCACTTCTGAAATATATTGTACAGTACTCCTGAAGTCTCTCCTTCACTGCTGTAAATATTTTAGTGAGAAGTAAAGAAAGAGGCTTGGTAGAACATTTACTAGAACCCGATATATATATCTTTACTTGTAAGGATTTTTATGAAGTTTAGGAATCCAGTATAGGTAATTTAAATTCATTTTGATTGTTGGGAACATTCAAAATATTTGAAACTGGCATATGATTTTGGAGAATTTCGTCCTTAGAAAGAGAGCTTTGCAATATATTCCTGTACATACATATGCTTAATATATCAACAAAAGGCAACAAGTGTCGGTGCTAAATTATTCAACAAAAATTCACTTTTGCCTCATGTAGAATGAACAGATACATACATGTAATATGTTGGATATGGTATGCTATTCATTGAAATGTTAATGAACGTCGACATAGGCAACAACTTTCCATATTTTGTTGAGTTGTAAATATCTCTTTGTATAAACAGTAGAAATTTGGAGATGTGTGTGCGCATGAAAGATGCACAAGCCTCGGGTTTCATCTCTCTCTCTCTCATTTCATGGCTATTTTAAATATTTATTTTCATTCTTAAGTTAAACTCTTATTTCATGCGAGTTTTTTTTTTAATCGATATTGATTGATCGCGATTCTAGAGACAAGTAAGGTAAGATGTAATATAGATAAATAAATAAATAAATAAATAAATAAATAAATAAATAAAAACAAACCAAAAAAAACAACTTATTACTGAACCTTAGTGTCAATAATTATTTAAAAAAAAACAAATTAAACTTAGTATTAAATCAATGACAACCGTTCATGTATTGATATCATTTTGAAGTAATTTTTTATTGAATATTTTGTAATGCGTTGTAAATTTTAGATTCCCTGGGTGGACATAAATTCAAAAATCACAAATATAAAATACCTTGTATTTCCGATGTAGTACATTATTTGACACCCTTTGTATAAAGGCGGATGTCTCCAAAGCAAATGAATGGGACAATTTCTGAAATCTTGGTGATACATGTACATGTATGTGCATATTTTACAACGAAGGCACTTTAACCATCAACAATCCACAAAGCACATTTCATTTCAGCAGCTGATCAATACTGTTTATTGATCAATAAACCAGGTCGATCCTGCTGCCTGATCCCGGTGATACAGAGACCGTGACTGTCACACATGGTGACATTTATGGGGAACGCCCAGTTTTCGGTATCATCTAAGCCCCTTATTCCACTTGAGTACCTCGCGCTGAATGGGCCACCGTTCCACTAAATAACACGTACCTATAGCCGGGTGCCATGCATGGCTGAAATTCAATGGAAGCGGAGTGGTGACGTTTTACATTTTTCTGTTTATACAAGAATGTCTGCTTACAATGGGACTTGCGTTTCTAAAATGGTGTAAATTTTGGACTAAACAAGGTGGGTATTTCATTCTTATGTTTATTATTTCATACCATCGTTTGATTTATTGTTTGTTACTTCAGGGTTTTTCCCAAAGATTGGTTACTAGGAAAAGGAGGGACAGTTTAATCAGTTTCGCACCTACATGTAGGTACCACACCCGTCCACACCTGTATATATATGTAAGGTCCCCCACTAGACATTCTTTATCAATCTACTAAGTATCTCATTCTATATGTCAATGTATTTTGATATTTATAAACGATTTGTTTTACACTTGTAAATTTAATGAAGTCGCAGTAAATTGAGTTTAATCTGATTCATGATTTGGCCTACATATGCATGTTCACTGCGGTAAATGGTTAATTCATTAAGGGTTGTTTTAGGGACGAAGTTATGCTTTCCGTGTTAGATTCGCAGTCCTATATCAAAATACGTTGAGAATGATATCGTATGACTTGCATTTGACACCATTCTCGCAATTAAAGCATAGGAACTTGAAACCTATTAAACGAAAGACATATTACAGAATTCCCCGGAAAATACCTGCATCATAATTGCCGTTTTCTTTATTTTTAATTACTTTTAAAATTCTTTTTTGGAATAGCACACATTAAATTTATCCTTAATAGATAAAAAATACATTCTATCATTTAATAAAGAAAAACATATTTCCTACTGCAAGAACAATTTCACATTCCAAAGACTGTGTAGTGCTGTTTCTTTGCTATTTATGATGAATTTCTCAACTTTCGGGTTTGCTTAACCATACTGATGTCATAATAATTTTGAAAATGAACACACGATAAACAAACAATTACATACAAAGTTTTCTATGATAAGTTCTTATGTCAAAAAGCATTAATGTTGTCGTATAAGCAGAGTATTGAATTACCAGGCGATGGATTCATGTGTTGTGTTTATTCGGCTATCAATCTCTATTGCATTTAAAGTAGTCAGACTTGTTTTACATAAAGTCTCAAGGGATGTCTGTGTAAACAGAGTTATTGCAAACAAATGAGAACTATTTTGGGATCTACGGTAATAAGTCATATTATGTATATTAATTAATCCTCTCTCTCTCTCTCTCTCTCTCTCCAATTCTGTGATTACATTGAAGAGGAGGGAGTCGACCAAAGTATCTTACTAATTTTATTTATTCATTTTTTACCGTATCTATAGGTATTCTCATAATATTTTTTTTTGGGGGGGGGGGGGGGCAGACTCCCCCATCCTGCCGCAGGATACACCATACGGGGGGGGGGGGGGCAGACTCCCCCATCCTCCCGCAGGACATATACCTTTGATCTCTACCCTTACATTATTCTTGCAAAGTCACGCCAATTTTTGGAACATGTGAGATTCAAGTGATCTCATAGAGTTAGTGTTAAAGAGACATTGTAAGAAAAAAGACAAAGAGCTAGAGATTCCTGATACAAGGCGACCTCCGATTACATCCTGATCATGGATGATTGAATTTAAACTAACGGTTTTTTAAAGTGACAGTACGGCGCATCTCATCAAAAAACTGACTAGATAAAATTTTCCCACAAGATTTGGAATTTTTTTACTACTCATAAATGTATAAACTTTCAGAAAATTACAACTTTTACAATTAAATAATTTGGATTATTTCATTAAAATTAATAGTTATTTATGGGACGTAAATATATACATCGCAACGTGTTCGGGGTTCCACATTCCATGCTATGCACGCATGCGTAGTTTTCATAAACAAAACAGCATGGTTAGAGAGGGAATCCCGGTAGGCCTACTACATTGACAAAGTCGACCAAAAAGAAACTGAAAATAGAACTTGAAAAAGCAACTTTCCTGACTAAAATTTAGTTTGGGGATTAATAAAATCGCTGGAAAAGGAAGAAACGGGAACTCGGCGACACTCACGCAGGGCTCTCGAAGGTTCTATTCGACAGGTTTGTTGATACTTGTTATCATTTCTCATTTTTCCGTCGCTTTCAAAGAAAAAAAATAGTGTAAACTCAACATAAAAAATACATCTTTGACTTATAAACATTGTTGCCATTTGAAATGCTAATTTTTTTTAACTGTGCAGAAAAATATTTAGTTTGACATTTGCCGCGATAACGTATGATTAGTTGGTTTTTCCTTTCTCGGACCCCAATACACAAAACGTAAACATTTGTACTTTTAATTCTGTTAAATTCTCCTGAATGCAGACTAAAATCTTTACGATTATTATTTTAGATTATTTTATCAGAAAGTTATGATAATTTGTGTTTTTGAAAATTGCTTTCACCTAATATTCATTATAACTGTAAACTCTACAGTGCAGGCACGTGCCGTTTTAGAATTCACGTGGTACAAATAAACAGATCTAAAATTGCTCCAGTTCGTACGACCCTTGATTTTCCGGCAGATTCTAATTATGTTAATTTTGTTTGAGTAGAGAATATTTCTGTTTCTCAAACTGCTTACATCAACTTTATACCTTATTTCTTAATGACATATTGGGTAAATTTGGATGAAAAAACACACATTTTGCAGCCGTACTGTCGCTTTAAATAACAGGACGTTTTGACCTAATTTTCGATGAAGGGACGTTTACATATAACAGTCAAATACGTGAAGAACACATTGTGTTCGTTTTCAATTTTTACACAAGAAAGGAATACACTTCCAATTTAAATCCAATGTTAAGTACTTAATCCTCTTTAAAGTATGTAATTTCCTTGACAGCTAGCATATTATTGGCCCCGTTATTGATCAACTCTTAATAACTGTTACTTTATCTGATATCTATATCCATCGATAATGACATTTTTTGATGCTTTAGATCATGATGGATAGGAAAGACAAGCGGACCCCAGTGACGGAGATTTTTCCCAGGGATGACGAATCCAAGGAGCACCTTCTCCCAGTCCGATCTCAGATCGCAAAATTTGAGGAGAAGGCTCGTCTGAACTTTAACAAGGGTCGACCTGCTCCACAACCCCCTGGAAGATCGTTTGTCCTTCCAAAAATCGGAAACTACCAGCCGAAATCGTTATTGCTTTCTAACTACAAAGATAAAGAAGCAAATAAAACAGATTTCCAGAAACTTAATGACAAGAACGAAACTGTCGAAGAGCCAAAGAAATACATGATAATTGGAGATAAAGACACACCCATCACGATACATCAATCATCTGACGTTATAGACACACCTCCAGAAAATGAGTTTTTCCCGCGGTTTGGTTCCGACAATCCAGTATATGAACCCGAGGAGCCACAGACTAAAACGGACGAAAAAGACATTGTTTTAGATTTTGAGAAAACTGTCAAAAATCCTATATTTCAGGAAAATGACCAAAATGTGCCATCTCCACCGATAATATCAGATGATATAGATATAGCAGATGAACCAGATACAAGAGAAGAGGTTGATGTTAAAGCTGTGTACAAGAAAAGGCCGGCACCTCCTCCCCCAGTTTCCACTCATTCGATAGAGAATGAGGAGGAACACCCACCACCGGATTACGAACCCGAACCTGATTACGACGACGACGTAGTGCCCAAGGCAACAGACGTCGGTCCTCCGGCACGAAATACCTCGGGACGTCAGGGAAGAGAGATAACACGTGAGTATGAGGGGGAGGACTTTTCTAAATATATGCACGACAGTGAGGACGAGGATTATTTCTCCGATCACACGTACACATGGAGAAACAAAATAAAATACAAACGGAAACCCGCGCCAAATCGCCCCGTGTCACAGCACTCCGAGAAAAAGAGAGACAACCATTCGAAACCAAAGCAAAGTCAAATGAAATTAAATGGACATTCTAGTGTAAATAAAGTGCCCGAGGATGAAATGAGACGCAAGACGATTAGGGATTTCAGTTATACCGATTCTAAAATTGGATATGACGACAGGACAGTAAAAAGTACGACCGCTAAGGGGCGCTACATGAAACGCGGGAAAGATAGACTTCCGTTACAGCAGGTGAGAAGTGGGTCTTACGAAGATTTTCTCAGAAGCCGATACAACGAGAGTGGCAGCAATGGGAGCGGTGACAGTGGACATGAAACAGGGGATGATTTTGAACTTAACACGGACATATTTTTACAAAGTCAGCCAAGGCAATTCAAAAACGGAAGTAAACAATCTGTCTGGGAAAAGTTAACCTGGCGATTTAAACGACATTCTAAAGGATATGCTATGACGTAGGTTTTTTATGGTGAGAAGGAATTTTTGCTTCTTCTTCTTTTTTTTTTTTTTACTTTTATTTTAAATGTAAAATCAGTGCTTTTTAGAGCTTTGTTATACGGCTGGATATTCTATAAGTTATTTGTACAATGGATCTATTACTTTTACATGTACTGTGTGTCTTATTGAAACAGTTCTACTAAACATTTAGGGTAATGATTACCTAAGTTACTGTTTTGTAGCATTTGGGGTAATAATTTCTTATGTTACTGTTTTGTAGCATTTATGGTTTACTATCGAGAAATATTTTCTGTATGTATTTTTAGAAAAAACGAAATATGGTGTACAAAAATATTGTTGACCCTTGAGTATATAAAAGGTACCATTTGACCCTATACTTACATACAGATGTGTGTTGACCAGAAAATCTGATTTATTCCAGGTTTTAGAGGTCACATACCAAGGGCAGTGCTATATGTGGTCCCTTGTTAACACAAAAGAGTACAATTTGACCTTTCAACCTCAGATGCAAAAAGTTCAAGAAAAGTTGTATTAAGTTATGACGTGAACACGATTTCTATTGATTATGTTAGAAAGCCTGTTCTTTGAATAATTTGTGATGAGATCCTCCGGTGTCCAGCAACTCTTGTTTTATTTTCCTTTTTGAGGGATTGTGTTATAATATGTGGGAAACTTTTTATTGTAGCACACAGAAATGTCCTTCTGATATAGTAATGATTTAATCGTGTTTAATCTGTGATGCATGAAAATATACCAAATTTTATTTTTTATCATTTTAGTATACATGTATAGGAAACTATAGGTGTTGTAGAATATTGTTGATTTTATGTGCAATAATATTAATTCCATTAAGTTGAAAAAAAAACACAAGATAATTTTTAATATCACTTCATAAATGTTTTTGTAAAAATCACTTTAATGATATTTTGTATATTGCAATGTCGGATGCATTTTGAATTTTATTTCTTTTAACAATTACATTACTCTAATTTGATTTTATACATACTACATGTACATCACAAAATATATCTTTTTTAAGATAAATCCCAAAGAAACTTCTGCCTGAAAGGTGTTGTCTATTTTTAGAGAGAAACTACTGACTGCAAAGTGTTGTGAATTTTTAGAAAGAAACTACTGACTGCAAGGCATTGTTTATTTTTAGATATAACATACTGTGGTTTGGATACCTGTCTTTTCTCATGGGGATTTTTACATTAAACTATTCTTTTGAATAATATAAAAAACAGTATTCTCCTAAATTATGTAAATACTTAGTTGTTGGTACTGGTGAGCGTTCTGGCCCATTGGCCTTTCGTCAAAGTCATAGACGATTAGGGCTTAGATGTGTGTTCTTATTTCGACCGAGGAAGCTCTGAGGAAGAATGTTGTTTGCTGCCGTGTCACTTTAGACCTCTCGAAAGATTCAGGACATCCAAAATCCAGGACATGTCCTCTCTCGCATTGGCATCTCATTTATATGTACTTTAAATAAAAATGAACAGAAAAGAAAAACAAATTGCATACAATCCGGAAAGAAGGGGATGGTGATGTGTAGTTCAGAAAAATGTACGGTAAAATACACGTATATTGAATAATACATCGTATTACCATTTTGTTTCCTCTGTTATCACTTCAACCTCCTATTGTTTTCAATATCTAGATGTACAGAATCAAATGCTTTTTGTTGAAATTGTAATCAGAACTTTCTACTTCATACCACAGGAACATTAAGATTGTGTCAAGTTATTGACAGAAATTGTCTCTGGTCATAATATAGTAAACAACTGGTAACAAAAAGTCAATTAGAAAGTCAGCTATTGCAAACTATAACGCATGTCACCTTGAACTGATCCCAAATCTGCACTGTTGGAGTTGAAAGAAGAGTTCATTGGTATTTAAAAAAAACCTTCACGCTTGCTGGGATCAAACCCACGACCCTTGGATTATATCTTTCAAACAAAAGTGTCATGTAACGGTATTTCGTTTGGCCGAAGCAAAATATTATTCCTGTACGTTTCCTTTAAATTTCTAACATTTCTACAAAAGACCAGACAAAAGGTATATTTTATGAGATGAAAGGCTGTGTAATTTTTTTTTATTTTACCATGCAGATTCACGAAATTTTGAGCGTTCTGAAGTGTTGCAGGGGGGAAGGGGGGGGGGGGTAGGCTCTGAACTGAACATGAAATTATCTCGTATATGCAGTCCAAGAAGAAAAACGAAAACGCAAAATGCTATTGAATACTGAAAATGGCTATTTATATCAAGAAAATAAAATGAAGATAAATTTTACACACAAAACAGAAAAAATGAATGCATGGCAGCAATATACTAATTAACCGAAACAAGAGAACTTAATTTAATTAATGAATATCTAAAGTACTTCCTGACTAAAGGTAATTTTATTTCCCTTTTCAACTCTACAGAAATTCTAGCCACTACGGAAATAATTGTTTCCGTCAATAAATTTATTATATCCTCATGCAAGGAATGGCAACCAAACTTTAAACAAAATTTCTGTGAGGTCTTTAGTAGAGTACCTTGAAATGTTGTATCGATCTGAGGTCCGATTTTATGTTTAGAGAAATGTTGTATCGATCTGAGGTCCGATTTTATGTTTAGAGATATTTTGTATCGATCTGAGGTCCGATTTGAGGTTAAGAGAAATGTATGTTGTATCGATCTGAGGTCCGATTTGAGTTTTAGAGAAATGTTGTATCGATCTGAGGTCCGATTTGAGATTTAGAGAAATATTCTACATCGCTGTTGTGATGGGGGTGGGAATTGAAAGTAAACGTATGAAATAGGGATGAAGAACAGTATTCAAGCTCAAAGTCCATTAAAACAATACAAAGTCCATTAAAGCAATACAAAGTCCATTAAAGCAATACAAAGTCCATTAAAGCAATACAAATCGGAAGCAGAGCAAACACAGACCTCCAAAAACAGAGGTGGGATCAGGTGCCATGGAGGAGCAAGCATCCCCTGCCGACCGGTCACACCCGCCGTGTGCTCCCTGTCATGGTCGGTAAATAATGGAAAAATCCGTCGACAATTCAGTGTGTAAATAATGGCCTAACAATTAGTATGAAAAACGTCAGTCAGCATTTGACTTATAATGAGAGATTGTATAAACTGACAAGGTTATTGTATCGACCATAAAACTTACGAAATGGTGACTTTAAACGAGACTGTTGATATTCTTTTTTCATCAAATTGTTTGTCAGTAACTTGCCTCGTTTTAGAAATTGTTCATTCGTAGAGCAAGCTCTTGCGTATCGAATCACTGAGAGATATACACCCCGTATGCAGGTGATAAGGGTATATTGCTGCATAAGTAAGGAAGTTGACGATTGAAAAGTTAAAGTCATCATGTTTATCATAAAGCTTTGTTGTAAGATTACCATTAATGTCTTTTTCTAGTAAAATATCCAGATATGAAATAGATGTGTCAGACTCTGTGGTTTCTTTTATTTCAAGCTCACTGGGATGTATCGAAAATATGAATGGAAATTATACATTGTAACTATTGTTAATTGATAATATGTCGTCGATATATCTAGATGTCGAGGTTGAAGGCCACAGCAAGAGATTTCTTTTTCTCATGTATAAGATTCTGAATAAATTCTGCTTCGTATGAATATAAAAATAGGTCTGCTAACAACGGGACGCAATTGGTACCCATGGGAATTCCAACAGATTGTTAGAAGACCTGGTCTCCAAAAACCACATAGATGTTGTCAAACAAAAACCCAAGCATCCTTTTAATATCAACTTCAGAGTACTTGTGTACAATCAGAATGTTTTTAACAAAATAATTTTGCAAATGACCAATGACAAGGTAAGTAAATTTACGAGTTCCATTTTTATTGAAAAAGCAGTTATCAATGATGTCAAAAAGCCTGGACTTTAATTTACCGTGGGGAATGGTGGTATACAGAGTTGAAAAGTCGTAAATTTTTATGTTATTGATTTTGGTATATGAATCATTTCTTACTAAATATCTAAAAAACCATTAGAATTTGAAAATTGGCTTAAGGTTGTTTGATATTTAAGGGTCATGGTTAAAGGTCAAGGTCGTTCCTCCATCAAAGCCAAGACATAAAGCTAAACATGGATCCTAATACGTCTCATAAAAAACTTCAAGCCCTCTAGATCTACAATATATTAGGGCAGCCTATCTTTCTAGAGATCCCATGAAGAATGTTAACAAATTTTTACAGACTTTCTTTGAATTGAAAACTGAAAATAAAAACATTAACCTTTTTTTTTAAGAAATCGAAGAAACAGCACATATTTTCAAAGAAGGATAGTGCGACGACACGAGATAGTGATGCCGATGGTACGATGACGATAAAGCGATGGTCGCTATCGCTCTATGACTCTATCGTCATCGCATTAGATTGCGTCATCGCATCATCGTCGATTATTGCACTATATCGTGTCAGCAAACAATTGCCTCAGAACTAGTAGCGATGTGCAGTGGTGTGATATAATGGATAAAGTGGCTCTTACCGAATTCCATATGATGTAATTCACTTATTGCTAGGAGAATGTTATAGCTTCTCGAGAATGTAAATTGTATCGACAGTTCTTTTATAAAATATAATGCGTACTATCGCACCCGGTCTTCATCGTTTTGATACAATGCATTCTATAACCTATCAAACGACGACGTCAAAAAGAAATCGAACTCGCTCTTTGCTGTTGGCTATGCCATTTACAGAAAGGTTGTGGATAGGCATCTTCGCTAGCAAAGGGTTTCTGATACGCTACTCTCCTCATAAACTCTTGGCATACGGTGCTGACAAAAGACGGGATTGTTTTTGTCACGTGATCATGATTCTTACCAGGTACGCACAGATTGCGTCATCGACAGAAATAAAAAGCGTTTTTAAAAAAAATTTTTTTTAAAGAATAATTAACAAGAAGGTATTGAGTTATGTTAATTTGTTATTTAAAAATGTAAAAATGCAAATCTACATCTTCAGTATAGACTCTTAATCACATATTTTGCACGTTGCTTTAGAAATAGGTTGATATCCTACGGATCATTGTTTACTTGCGTTTTACATTACCGATATTAAAGAGTCAAGATATATCCCGAACGCAAATATCGTCATTTACAAAAAACAATTGCTGATTGGTCGAACGATGTCGATCAACTCCAATCACAACTTGAGAAAAAAATCCCAACTTTTTTTTAACACCGTATGCCAAGGGCTTATGAGGAGAGTAGCGTATCACAAGCCCTTGGCTAGCGAAGTTATCTCTCTATAAGTGTGTAGGAGTTATCTCGCATAACAACTGTGATATATTTTGTTCATACCTCCGAATTTAAAAATTGTAGAAAGGTTAATGTTTATCTAATATGTAAAACAGAATAATTAAGAGAGACAAATATTGAAAGAGAGAGGGGTATAATATTCTCCAATAGCTGATTCTTGGCAACATATATTTCAAGCACGTTGCATTATAATTTCATGAACGTATTTGCTCTCAATGTAACCACAATTTTGTAAAAAAAAAAATAAAATAAATAAATAAATAAAAATGAAATAAAATAAAATAAAAATAAATAAATAAATTCACATGCCATCAAAGCAATAATTTGCTATTTATATCGCAATGTTCACTGACTAAAACGAGACAGGCTATTGACAAATAAGTTGATGATACAAGGGTATCAACAAAGTTTCGTTAAAATCAACATTTCGCAAATTTTATGGTAAATACACTGACCTTGTTTGCAAATACAGTGTGTCTTTAGGTCAAATGTTGTCTGACGTCTTTCATACAAATTGTTAGGTCATTATTCTCCGCTACGCATTTCTCCGTTTACCCGGTTAGGAAAAACAAGGAAAACACGGCGGATGTTACCGGTCGACAGCTGAGGGTATGCTTATTCCTCCATGGCACTTGATTCCACCTCTGTTATTGTAAGAGGTCATTCTGCTAACAATTTGTATTGTTTTAATTGGAGTTGTATCCTCACATTTCATTGTATAGGGTCGGGCGGCATATTGAAAATTCAAGAAAGTAATTTATAAGAATTTAAAAGAATATCTTGACTTTTAGGCTACTAAGTTGAGAATTAAAGACGCATTAAAATAATCACAGGATACTATCTTGAATATTCATTGTTGTTTGTCGTATACTGCATGACCGTAGGAACCGGGGGGGGGGGGGTGCCCCCTTCAATAATTTTGTCAGTATATAGAATAGTATATGAAACATACCTACTATATGCGTGTGCCCCCTCAATAATAATGTCTGATGACCTTTTTTTTCTTTTTGCATGTCAAGGAATTTTTGGTAGTTGATAGTGCCCCCAACTTAAAAATGTATGGCTGTGCCCCCTCCCCCCCCCCCTCCCTCCAACTCCTGTACTGTCGATCCCGCCACATTCTGCGTGCAGTAAGCCTTCCGAACAACGGTCTTGAAAAAAAAATGAAGATAAAAATCAAAATCGTTGTTATGAAATTCATTTTCCTTACGTTGTAATTGAATGATGTTATTCACAGCAATCTGATTAAAATCATCTGTCTTGATACGCTAATCAGATTTGAAAATCAGAGATTTTCAATGAACAGTTGCATTTTTAGTATTCATTCATGTGTCAAGTCTTGCGATAAGTTTATGACTCATATACTTTTTTTTAAATTTCGGATATAATTTCCTTTTATAGTTCATTTCATACATATACATTATCTATATTTCTATTTTGTTTATTTTCACTGCATTATCTGTAGCGATTGGTGTTTAAGGGGCTTTTAGGGTAATTAGTTAACTGTATGCGGAAGTGAGTCTCGGTTTGAGAATCAATACAGTGTTATGGAGTCGGCGAATGTCTGCTGGAAATAGCAATGCAACTTGTAATGGTTTTCATGGCGCAAAAACACGCTGATTTCTTGATTAAAGAACTATGGCAGAACATGAACTGGTGCAAAATGCCGTCTATACAGCACCGACCGATTATAATGCAGGGATTTCACCTATGTTAGATCAAATCAGTTTTCTAAACGGGGACGATGACATTTTACCACGAATAACTCGAATTGATTCTGCAGAGGTTGTATACCGAGCTCATAGGAGAGCTAAATTAGTGGGCAGATATTTGATGGGAGACATTTTGGGGGAGGGTTCATATGGAAAAGTTAAAGAGGCTTTAGATACAGACACTTTACAAAGGCGTGCAATAAAGATCATAAAAAGGAGGAAATTAAGAAAGATAAACAATGGCGAGCAAAATGTGAAAAGGTAATGTTACATCCTCTGAAAATGACACAAAGCTGCTGTTGCAGAAAAGCATATGAATAAAATATTGAAGATAATGGGTCTCTTGGATGTTGTCCTCAGAGTTAAAAGGACGTGTATCAATTTATTGATGTAGAATTCTGTTCATTATAAATCGGGGACCTATACATTGTGGCAGTCAGACAGGTTTGTTCTCTGGTTGGTCAGATAGCTCCACTGGTAGAGCATCGGATTCAGGGGCCCAGGTTCCAGTCATGGTCTGGTCTGTCAGATTTTCTTCCTGTTACATTAATGTTACAGATAAGATTAGGTCCCCAGTATAAATCAACAATGAAGACATGCTCAATCCGTAGGTATACTTTTGACTGATGGTTGGGGTTTCAGAGTTCTATTTAGGTATTTACATGTACCAATTAATGTATGATTTGTGCCTTGTAAATATGAACAGTTGTTGAGGATGATTTGAAATTTTTCTAAGCACAAGCTTTTCATTACAAAAATTAAAGTGCCAGGGAGGAGATTTTGCCTCATTATAAGCATAATTCGTTATATCCATAAGGTTTACAATATGTTTCAAAGTCACGGGGAATGGAAACTACTTCACTGTAAGCGTCAATTTGTTATAAGTGTGTTCACTATAAGCATGTTTTGCTTTATTATAAAGACATCAACCATAGCTTCAACTTCAACAAGACTGCAAAAGGTTCCCTTAAAGTGCACAGTGTACTGCAAGTATTCATGTTTGTGTGTGAGTAAATAATGTTATTGTTTTCCATTTTCAGGGAAATTCAACTCTTAAAGAGACTAAAACATAGGCACATAATTGATTTATCAGATTTGATCGAAAATGAAGAGAAACAGAAAATGTATCCTTAATTTATTTTTTATGTGACAAGATCGTAATTATCTGTAAATGAAGATAGAAATATAATTTTATGCTATAGATTTCAAAAGAAGACTAGGACAAAACCTTTTGATACTCAATTTACAAACACTGACAAAGATGTATGAATTATGCTAGCTAATATGAAAAGTTAATGGACTTTCTAAATTTGCATCTGCCCAGATATAAGTCTTTAAATGATTGTAATGCTTGGTATGCAAACCAAATCTAATAAGTAGCTATTTATCTGGCTTTACCCAGCTCTTCTATTTGCCAGCTTTATTTGATATGATCAAGTCTTGTAAATGTATATCTTTGATAATGTATTGCAAAAAAAAAAAAAAAAAAAAAAACATGCATGTAATGAATGGATATATAATTCCAAATTTAGAATGATACAAAATTAAGAAATCGATTTGAAAGTTCATTGTATGTGCCCAATGGAAGATATTCACTCTATAGTATAGATCCTGGGACTCTTGTGAATGTCTGCATACACGTATATAATTTTATATATACACATGTAGTCCCTCATCCTTAACAATGGATTCAGGTATATGGTCATGGAGTTCTGTGTAGGAGAACTACAAGAATTGTTAGAAGCCGCACCAGATAAAAAATTCCCTGTCTTTCAGGCACACAGGTAAGCTCAATCTTTAAAATCCCAAACTCCAGTTTCTGATCTTTTAGGAAATGGGGGGAAAAAACACTGATTGTAATATTGATATGTGCAGTAGTTTCATATACATCAGGGTTTAATATCCATTGCATCCAGGTCTGGAAAAAGGACCCTGTTCTAATTGAAAATTAGCTCTTCTTTTCCCCAAAACTTGGGTAAAAATTCCTAAATGACAAGCAGATGGAATTTTTCAGTGCTTATGTTAAGAAAAATTTGAATTTTGGGATTATATTGATTCAAAAAGATGTAAATAGGGACTATGCCTACAATCTTAAATTTTTAATTTACAGTTTAACAAAAAAAATATAACATTATAAGACATCAATTATTGCAAATTTCCCCTTTTCTTAAAATTTCCAATTGAAAGGATACAGGACTCTGTACAAAAAGGGTCAACCTGTACTTGAAGCTTACAGCAATATTTTATGATGTGTCATTAAAGTCATCATATCTTCCACAATATGCCTCGTCAAGTTCTGAGAACTTTAATGTTACCTGCAGGTTATCAGTATCTGCATGTCTGTGTACTTGTCTCCTTTAACAGGTACTTCCGTCAGTTGGTTGAAGGATTGGAATATCTCCATGGACAAGGAATTGTTCATAAAGATATCAAGCCTGGCAACTTACTACTGTCAACAGAGGAAATTCTAAAAATAACTGACCTAGGTGTTGCAGAGGTAAATATTGTTTACAGTACAAATGTGCTTGCAAGATCGCAGAAGTTTTTTTTATCTGAAGAACTCTGTCAGAACTGAACAGATACCAGTCTTATGTGTCTTAACCTCTTGCTGTGTGACATTTTCAGGCCATTGATACTTTTGCTGTAGATGACACTTGTCACACTAGTCAGGGAACCCCAGCATTCCAGCCTCCAGAGATCGCCAATGGCTTGGAATCCTTCTCAGGATTCAAAGTGGACATCTGGTCCAGTGGCGTCACACTGTAAGGAATTCATGTTCACAAAAAGAATTTTTTCAGTAACAAAGTGAACATTCTGATTTGCATTGTTCCATTTTATTGACAGGTACAATATGACTACAGGTGAATACCCATTTGAAGGAGACAATATATTTAAATTATTTGAAAACATTGGCAAGGGTCAGTACAAAATCCCTGAAGGGGTGGAGGACAATCTGAGAGATCTACTCACAGGTCAGTCTAATCACCTCAAAAGTCTCATCACCTCAATTCCACAAACATTAGGTTACCATAACTATGTTGAATTTTCTCATACATGCCAGGGATTACACATTACATGAAGCTTATCTTGGAAATCATATTTGTTTTGTGGTTTTCTGTTGACTGGTTTATCCTGATGATCACCACAGTTATAGCTTATTTGTATAGGTCATCAGATAGGGGTACATTAAGTGCTTACTATCTTGTAGATTATCAATCTTCTTTGTAAATATCTAACACTGGATTTTCAGTGCAATGCATGAAAATGTAAATGAAAGGGAGATTATCTTTCCTAACTAGCCACTTCTGTACTGTTGTAGAAGCCTTTTGTACAAGGTTTTAACTCAGATGCAGCATTGAAGTATGATTTGTCCTCACTTTGATTGTTGTATAACATTGAAGTATGATTTGTCCTCACTTTGATTGTTGTATAACATTGTTATTATACCCCACGCAACAAGTTGCGGGGGGAATAATGTTTTTGACCCGTCCGTCAGTCAGTCAGTCAGTGTGTCAGTCAGTCAGTCAGTCCGTCAGTCCTGTTTTTTTTGTCAGCGCAACTCCTCATAAACCGCTGCACAGAATTTCATCAAACTTTGCAGATATTTAGGACACAATGTGTAGATGTGCATATTACCAGGAAATTCCGATTCCTTTATTTTTTCTGGGAATTTCGGCACTTTTCAACTTAGATTTTTGGCCATATCTTGAATATAGAGATGAACAGTTTGTCAGCGCAACTCCTCAAAAACCATTGCACAGAATTTCATCAAACTTTGCAGATATTTAGGACACAATGTGTAGATGTGCATATTACCAGGAAATTCCGATTCCTTTATTTTTTCTGGGAATTTCGGCACTTTTCATCTTAGATTTTTGGCCATATCTTGAATATAGAGATGAACAGTTTGTCAGCGCAACTCCTCATAAACCGTTGCACAGAATTTAGTCAAACTTTGCAGATATTTAGGACACAATGTGTAGATGTGCCTATTACCAGGAAATTCCAATTCCTTTATTTTTCTCGGAATTTCGGCACTCTTCAACTTAGTTTTTTGGCCATATCTTGAATATAGAGATGAACAGTTTGTCAGCGCAACTCCTCATAAACCGTTGCACAGAATTTAGTCAAACTTTGCAGATATTTAGGACACAATGTGTAGATGTGCATATTACCAGGAAATTCCAATTTCTTTATTTTTTCTGGGAATTTCGGCACTTTTCAACTTAGATTTTTGGCCATATCTTGAATATAGAGATGAACAGTTTGTCATCACAACTCCTCTTAAACCGCTGCACAGAATTTCACCAAACTTTGCAGATATTTAGTACACAGTGTGTAGATGTGCATATTACCAGGGAATTCCGATTCCTTTATTTTTCTGGGAATTTTGGCACTTTTCAACTTAGATTTTTGGCCATATCTTGAATATAGAGATGAACAGTTTGTTATTGCAACTCCTCTTAAACTGCTGTACAGAATTTGGTAAAACTTTGCAGATATTTAGTACGTAGATGTGCAAATTACCAGGAAATTCTGATTCCATTATTTTTGCCTTAAGAGTTTTGCCTGTTATTGAAGAAACTTTCCAGCTAGGTAATAAGGAAATCCACTGGAATCAGCTTTTGTAATGAAATTTTATGTGAAATGTTTTATGACCTTAAAAGAACCCTATTGATTTTGAGATCAAAATGTTAATGATTTAACACACACACAAAATCTTGGATAGTTCTCAACCCCCCCCCCCCCCCCCCCCAAATTGGTGCTTTGGCTTAAATAATTTCTTAAGTACAGTATATAAACAAATTCATATGACTACATCATAATTTTGTTTCCATCAAATATTTAAAATTTGTAAATTATCATGTGTTGGACATGGACTTACACTCATTAACAAATCGAAATCACTGAGGAATTTAAATAACAGTTTGTCAGCATAACTCCTGCACTGAATTTCCTGAAACTTTAGGTATTTCAGACATAATGTATAGATTTGTATATTACCAAGAAATTTTGATTCCATTATTTATCTAGAAACTTCAGCCGAATTAAATTTGTAACATACAAAGATTTGAATGTCCTTATATGCAAGAAGTTTTGATGTGATGATATTTTGCAAGTAATGCCCCTTTTTGAATTATTATACTGTGTATTTAAAATGCACTGTGCCATTCATTACGTGTTGCATTGTTGAGTTTTGGGGGAGCGTGGGGCATGTGAGCTTGCTCACTTTTTCTTTCATTCTTCCTGAACAGGGATGTTACAGTATGAGGCAGCAAACCGAGTAACTTTGCAACAGATTAAGAGACACGAGTAAGTGAATTACAACCTATAAATAGTGCTTTAATACAACTTTCAATTCTGTATTATGCTTATACCCAGTGAGTGAAATTTTGTAAAAAGGTAACCCTTTTTGTATGATTACCCTAAGAGAGGTATGAATTTTTGCCTTTATGATTACCAGGCTAGTTTTTTTTCAGTTGGGTGAGGAGAAAGCACCCAGTGACCCCTGGATTTGTGGCATTTAAGCCTATACAGGGACATGATGACATGCTCCGGGGTTTCACAGTGATACCTTATTTAGAGGACCTCCATTTCCACAACAGTGAGGAGGAGGAGGAGGAACATGAGGACCATTATTACTCAAACACAATTGATTCACATCCTCAAGTGGAGCCCAACTCAGCTGGTGCTCAAAGTGAGTAGCATGACAACACTCACATTTCAGTACATACATGTCTATATAACACACACCTGTCAATCACTTAATCTCCATACATACATGTCTATATGACACCTGTCAATCACTTAATCTCCATACATACATGTCTATATAACACCTGTCAATCACTTAATCTCCATACATACATGTCTATATAACACTGTCAATCACTTAATCTCCATACATACATGTCTATATAACACCTGTCAATCACTTAATCTCCATACGTACATGTTTATATAATACTCGTCTGTCAATCACTCTCCATATAAAACTCACCTGTCAATCAATCTCCTCACACACCTCTATGTAACACTCATCTCTCACTTAATCTCCATACATACCTCTTTATAACACTTGCCTGTCAATCTCCATACATACATTTTTATAACACTCGCCTGTCAATCACTTAATCTCCATACATGCATGTCTATATATGGTAGGGATGGCAATTTATAATCGGTTAACCGGTTACTCTGTCAGAACAATGGTTATCGGTTAGAAAATATGTAATCGATTAGTCGGAAAAAATTAATATATGCATAAATTTGAACATAATTTCCTAAGAATTCAATAAAAAAATATCAAATAAAAATAGAAATGTAAGCACTATCACCTATAATTTTTATCTAATACGGAGATTTAAAGCTCTCAATATTGACATCGTGGGGGTAATTGGTCAGTTTTCTAGATGTTAATTGCTGTTTTAAAACAACATGTCATTACCCAGCAACTCCTGTGTGTCTTTATTTTATGAATTTAATCAAATAATCGTTGAATACTGATAATAATGAGAGCCTTACCTCTTCTATCCTTTGCAGTTACATCAAATTATATTATTAAACAAATGTTGTGAATTAAGTTTAGACTTAGTTTTGATTATGGTTTACCATGAAGAAAGAACTTGTGTGATATCTCCTGATTTTTTAAAATGTATCATTCTGATTCTTCAGGTATATGTTTCTTAATCATATTTTTTCCTATTAAAATTGAAATAAAATATATATAGTTCAGGGTTCAAAATTCACTATATACAACTCGCAAAACGCGAGTTAGAATTCCCAAATTGTGAGTTAAAAATTAGGTAACTCTCAAAAACTTGCGAGTTGATTTTTTTTTGCATTGAAACTGTAGCAAAATTATACAATATGACAGAACACAATGCTTTTGATTTAAATCAGTAATTTAAATAAAAGTCACACTGTGGTTGTATTTTGTGTATTGTTCAGTAGTTACTTTTTCCTAAGTTACATGTATTTAATTTATATAAATTTAACTTTATATGAAAATTGCGAGTAGTCTTATAAATTTGCGAGTTCACTTTCTTGGTACTCGCAATTATTTGCGAGTTGTAATTTTAGGGAGTTTCTAACCCTGTAGTTTTCTGATAAATAAAAACATAATATTACTATATGTAACTTCTTTATATTGTCTTGTTTATTTTAGTAGAGCTAATAATTAATTACAATGACGAAATATGTCGAGAATTTTTTATACGATTAACGGATTAATAGGTGGGAACGTCTTGCAGTTAACCGATTGGCAATGTTGTAATCGATTGCCATCCCTAATATAAGTTGATGTTTAATTTTTCCATTGATACATGTAATACTATACTGTACTATAAGTAGGTCTGGCAGTTGATTCACTTGAGGTACCGTATATACTGGCCTATAAGTCGGTTTTTGGGGAGTTAAACTTTGGTCCAAAACTCTTTATCCGACTTATACGCGAGTTATAAAAAGACTGGTATTTTAGCGGTTCGGTTTCTCTAAGTTAAGCTTAAAAAATACAACCGACTTATAGGCGGACCGACTTATAGGCGAGTATATACGGTATGTTGTTATACTGATATTACAGACAAATATAAATAAAGACACTTGTACAAATGTGTAATCTCATATTAATGGCAGGTTTTTATTGAGAGATAATAAAATTTCCTTTATTATTTCTATTTACCCATGACTCTTACTTGTGCATTAACCACTGTATTTGAATAAATAGAAAGTTGTTTCTTTGACCTAAATTGAAACCATCCGTGTCTCTCTCTTTATAGACTCTAACAATTGTGAACCAAACAATACAGAGAAGAAAAAGAAGAGGAAGTCAAAGGGTGGACTGCTCAGTTCCTGTCGTCCATCGTAACAATTATCAAGTTATAATGTACACAACTATAATGCGAGGGGTACCTGTAATCAGGGGATGGGGCACTTAGGGGTAGGGGGATATTTTGTGTGGGCGGGGATCAGCTTTAACATTAGTCTCAATATAACCTCCACAGGCCGAGGACCAGTGTATTCTGTTTGGTGCAGACTAGATTGTACATAACAGAGCTAACTGTGATTTGTTTTTATTATGGTAGTTAAGTTTGTATATCCATTCCATTGATGTCATGTCAAAAAGCCTCAATGAAATCACTTGTATATAAAAAAGATATTAGTGTTTGTTATTTTTCCAGGATTTGTATACACCTGTATAAGATAGGACTATTGTGGTATGTGGTCCTTCTGTCTGCCTGTCCATCTGTCTGCCAGTTAGCTTTATTGTGTTCAGCTCATAACTTAACAAGAGACCCATAGGCCACAACATTCAACTGAGTCACTTTGGCTCTGTTATTCTGCATCAGATTTCATTCCTATAAACATATTCATAAAAGCTTGATTGCCTTTTGTGGCCCCACCCTAAACACAGCCATGATGAATCTACACTACCAGAGGGTGCTTCCAAATAAATATGAATAAATTATATGATTCATCATGGCTTTGCTGTTTTTGAGTTTTTAATTAAGATATTTCCATATAATCCCTATTGTGGCCCCACCCTATCCCCAGGGACCATGATCTGAACAATTTACAATCTACATTACCTCAGGAAGCTTTTACATCAGTTTTTTGGTATAGTGGTTCTTGGAAGATTTTTCCTGTATAATTCAATGTAAAACTTTGAATCCCTATTATGGCCCTACCCTTCCCCTGGGGGCCATGACTTGAACAATTTAGAATCTACACTACCTTGGAAAGCTTCCACATAAGTTTCAACTTTGCTGGCCCAGTGGTTCCTGAGATTTTTCATCTATATTTCAATGTAAAACTGAGAATCTCTATTGTGGTCCCACCCTACCCCAGGGATCCATGGTTTGAACAATTTAAAATCGATACTACCTCGGGAAGCTTTCATATCAGTTTCAGCTTTTCTGCTATAGTGGTTCTTGAGATTTTTTTTAATGACCCCACCCAATATTTGCCTTTTCTAGATTATCTCCCCATGCAGAGAAGATTTTCAAAGAAATAATGCACTTTCACTACAGATTCAACGAAGCCCTAGCCTAACACAAGAACCCATGACCCAGGGTCATGAAATTCACAAATCTGAAAGAGGTACCCTCATCATCATAACTATGCACTTAGCTGAAGATTTTCAAAGAATTAACACATTTTCAATAGACACCCCTTTCCCCAAGAAACACTAGATCCCCTGACCCTGGGACCGGGGCTTGTCCTTTCATTTCACAATTAAGAATCCCCTTTACCCAGGGATGCTTTTTACCAACTTTGATTAAAATTGACCCAGTGTTCTTGAGAAGAAGTTGAAAATGTGAAAAGTTTACAGACTGATGCTGGTCAATGGGTGATCGGAAAAGTTCACTTTAGCTTTCAGCTTAGATAAACGAAAACTATGAGGCCTTGAAACATCAAACAATCAGCTTAGAAGGTGTGTTGCATGTTAAAAGTAGGTCATTGTGACCTTTAATTAAGATTGAATGGCAAAACACCATCTGGCCTAGAGTCACCCTACATTAGGTCACTGTGACCTATAATTAAGGTGATATTTAGAAAATAATTACATTGCATATATTTAAGGGAGATAATCCCTGCAAATGCAAGCGTATTGCAGTAACTTTATTCCAAAAATGTTTTCTCAATAAATATACAATTTTTCATGATATGCTATATAACAAATTAAATGTTTTTTTTTTGTTTCAAAGAATTATGATATAAATACGCAATAATAATGTACTACAAAAATGCAAGGACTTAAGAGTACATCACACAACAGAGTGTATGTAATTCGTTTGTCCAGTGGGAATAATGATATAAGCTGTTAAGTTACAAGGTCTGAGTTTGGTTGGATAAAAAGGGCATTTTGATAAGAGCCGATCCATCAAATTAAAAACGTTCTTGATGGTTAGTTAATTTGGTGGAAAGTTATCAAAATTAAATTAATATTGTATAATAATATTTTTATATCCCAACAAAAAAATTGCTACAGCCGAGATGCACATCAAACATTAAGAGTAGAGAAATCATTGAAATCTTTGTACTAAAGTTGACATGATTTGTCCTGTTTATGTTGAATAAACAATATTTGAAAAATGATCTTGCGCCATGGCAGTGCACTTTATTATCGGGTGAAGAACAAAGTGAAACATCTCTTGGACTCCGAATTTCATTAGAAAAGAAACCTGTGTAAATACTAGATTAAGCTAGAGGACACAACGCAATATTCACAGTATACCCTGGTAACTCTTTGTAAACTTTGATGTCAAGTAGATAGGCAGACATTGTAGCACATGTATAATGATGTATAAACTATGATGTCAAGAAGTGGGAGAATAAAATGTAACTGGAGAATCACAGCAAATGACAAGGTCTGTACTACCACAGATATTTTCAGTTTTTGGAATTGAACCTTGTCCCATCCTGGACCACTTTTGGGATTATACTTTTGACCATGTTGGGTTTCCTCTGTTGACTTCTCCCATCCTGGACCACTTCTGGGATTATACTGTTAACAATGCTGGGTTTCCTATATTGACTTCTCCCATCCTGGACCACTTTTGGGATTCTACTGTTAACCATGCTGGGTTTCCTCTGTTGACTTCTCCCATCCTGGACCACTATTGGGATTCTACTGTTAACCATGCTGGGTTTTCTCTGTTGACTTCTCCCATCCTGGACCACTTTTGGGATTATACTGTTAACCATGTTGGGTTTCCTCTGTTGACTTCTCAGTTGTTGACTTACATGTGGGATCAGCCAGTCGTGGACATTTCTGTGAAGCTTTCTCTTTATTGTTCTCAGTTTTAGCTATGCGTGAGCCGAACTGGATAGCTCTCTTAGGAAACAGAGCTGACTTGATCAGTCCAAGCTTCCCTGCACAGGCCCTGAGGAGGATCTTCTCCCCAAGACCCCGGGGGTAACGTAGATCAGCCTGTCATAGAATTTGGAAATATAATTTAGTGATATGTTACTATGAAAATGGTTAAGGTTTTATAATTTTACACAAAGGAGGAGGTGACAGCAAACAAAATATAATGTTTTGAATGGATAAATCATTTTTTCAAACAGACCTTGGTTTGTATAGGAATAGACTGAAGGTAGGACACAACATTCTCATCTAGAAATGGAAATCTGGCTTCCTTTCCATGATCTGTCACAACTCTGAAAATATATTACTTATCCAAATCTTGTTCAAGATTACAAAATATATTTTGTTCTTTACTCATGGATGTTTGTCTATTTACTTTATGGAATCAGGATATTTATGGGACATCCTAGAAATGTCCAAATAATGATCATTTTCCTGTTTACTTGTTAAATGGATCACCTGTCATCCCTTCCTAGATTTCTGGCAGAAATTCTCTGAACTTCCATCTCTACCTCCTCAGTAAGGCCCTGCCATCCCAACTCTCTACAAAACAATACAGTTCTATAGGATTGACCATTTTAAAGGTTAACTTACATAACATTGACAAAACACTCCAGTGTCTTTGATGGTATTAAAGTTAACAAAAAAAAAGAGAATATTTTCAGCCCAAAATACTCTAAATATGGCTCAAATTTCAAGAAATCTGAGCAAGTATTCTATGCCTCAACATTTACTGTTTTCTTTCTTACAATGACTCACTCAAATTTTCCTCTGTGTCTGGAATATCCAGCAAACTGCTCATCAGCTCCCATACCACACAATATTACCTACAAAAACAGGTATATGTATTGACAATCAACTTGTATACTACACAATATTACCTACAGAGATAGATAATTAATGTCTTTGTGGATAGAAACTGCACTAACCTTGGCACTACTTTTGTATGGCATCCCAGCATGCTCTCCATTTCCCAGAATTCCCTCTCCTCTAGCAGCAAACCACACAGCACATCCAATGCTATCATCAAGTACAGTCTCTAATGGATACACAAGATGGCGTATGTGTTCTGATCTGTAATGATGTACAGAAGTTTATCAAGCACATTGTAGATGAAATCTGATTTAACGCTATTGTATAAATTGCAGCAAGTATTCAGAGTTTCTGTAAATCTGGTCATTAGGGTTTTTTTGTGTTTTCAGAGACACAGAGCATTTAGTATGAGGTAGATATGCATGTAAACTCTTTGAGGATTATTAAACACTGATCATTTCAAATAATGAATTAAGTTTGGAAAACCTTACCTCTTTTTTTGTAATTCCGCAATGCTTACATTCACCTGGCAACATGAAAAAAAAAGACCCAATGTATAGAAGAGTTATCACTTTCCCTGAACAACAACAAGTGGACGCATTGATAAGTAACAATGATACTCATATATCAGTTATTATCAGTTATTCTGCCATAATACCATAATAAAGTTCCATTTTCTGTGCGGGTTAAGTTCCTGTAGAGCCATCATCCCAGTCTGTCGATCTGGAACATTCCAAGTCTCGTCCTCACTGGAATTTCAATAAGAAATTGAAAAGCTTACAAAGAATTTGAAATTTTATTTTCTTTATGTTAAAAAATTTAAATCCAGCATGATTTGACCAAAAAAAAAGGAATATACCTTTTCTACAATAATACCAAAGCCCATTACTAAGACAGAGCCTTGAAGCAAAGTAAAAAACACATCCAATGTAAAGTTGCAGATCTTACAAGTTTATTATGACAAGGATGACATAGAAGCCCTTTAGACTCAAACAACACATCCCTTAATAGTACACAAATGTTCCTCTTCAAAATAAACCCTTTTCAGCTACCTTACATTTTCAAGTTCGTTGCTGAAAGTGGGGCCCTTTGAGATGGCCACCATCTCAATGATATCTAGTTAAGCTTATTATGGGAAATAACAAACCGAGGACAAGTTTGAATCCATTTCAATCAAGGGTTCCAAATTATATAATCCAGACAATATTTTGTAACAGATGGACAAACTGACAGCCAACCCTGGCAACAACAATATGTCTACTCATCACTGAAGGAGGGGGATTAATACAAGTATAAGCATACAAAGAATAAATCATACCTTTGCTTCTGTGGAATGATTCTTTCAAATGCGACATTGATAAGGTCCACAGGCTCATGTGCTGGCAGACACCTAAAGAATTGAAAAAGAAAATTCCATAGATAAATGGAACAAAATATATTCAAGATTACATTGTTATATAATGTACTTAATTATCCAATTGCTTCATACTTGTCAACCAAAGCTGCTATCACTGCTGAGTCCACTCCTCCAGAAAACAGTACTGCAACCTTGGCAGGACCTCTCACGACTCCCCCTTCGTGATGCAGACCCTCTGCAGGACCTCTCACGATTCCCCCTTCTTGATGCAGACCCTCGGTAGGACCTCTCACGACTCCCCCTTCTTGATGCAGACCCTCAGCAGGAATTCTCATCCTTCCCTCTACTTGATGCAGCCTTACATTACTCAATTCATTGGACACAAAACACTCTAATGAATCAGATTTTAACTTATGACTTGAACTTTCATCAACATTCTGTAAATCTGAGGAGTTGTTAGAAGCTGTTGCATGAACACAATGTTTATTTTCTCTATGAGACAACATGACCTGGTTAAATACACGCACTGTTACACTGTGTAAAAGCAGGTGAATGAGGTTATCCACACAGGCCTGAAACTGAGTCTCTCCTAATAAGGTTTGTATCACTGATTCCTGATCCTTAATTATAACCTTGGAGGGGTCAAGGTCTGGTAGAGTTTTGTTTAACGGGGGAATATTTTTGGTGAGGTGGCAGTCAGGGTGTAGGTCAATCTTTAAATCACAGTCAGAGTCACCTACTAATCCTGACAGTAGGTTGTCACTCGTTACAGGATCCATGGTCCCTGGCCACACAGCACTTGCCCAGCTGTACAGTGTCATGTTTAACCATTCTGTGTGCATGAGGTCCACTGAATAAATCCCAACAGAAGGAACCTCCTGTAAATCCTGAAATATAAAAGGGAAATGGAAAATATGAACAGTCTAGTTCATAGCAAATTTACACAAATCTGAATCTACACTACATGAGGATGTCTGGATATTAATATGACTCACTGGGCCCTCATTGTTTTTGAGAAAAATGTTAGATAAAACTGCTGTGAAAGCTTCACAAGGAAGTGATGGATAAATTTTGTTGAAATCATGGGCCCTAAGTTAGGCTGAGGCTGCAATAGGGGCTAAAAGTTTTAGATAGAAATTTACACTGTATAAGATTTTTTTTAAATTCTTCTTAAGAACAGCAATGCCAAAATTAGTAATAAATATGAGAGCATCCTCTAATGATTATTCAAGTGTTTGTTGATTTACGACAAAGAGAGAGAGGGATACCTCAGTATTTTGTCGCACGGATGATAGAATGAAGGCGTCGTTCTTTCTTCTGGGTAAGTGCCAACACAAGCTTCGTCTTCCAAAGAAGTCCCTTCCAAACCACAATCTTTTCTTTTCTTCCTGGAGGTAAATTGTTCAAAATTCAAAAAATATTTTCTTGCTTTTATTTACCAAAGGAGGTTGTCTTATTTCAATTTTTTTTCAAAATAAAAGCAGTGGATTTATTTGAGAGACGTATATATAGACATACATTGGGGTACTACCAATGTCCTGTAGTTATTAATTAAAACTTTTCTCAAATATGAATGTACAATCTTAAATAAAGTGCATAGAGTTCTCAAAATATCATGTGAATAACAGACTAGATCATAGAATAACATAAATCTGACATTGTTAAGGTTGATGTAAGCAGTGAATGCAATCATAATCAATTCTAGATGTCTATTGCAAAAAATATATCTTTCACAAATAAAATATATATATATATAATTTATCTGTAAATTAAGCTTACCTGCCAATAAACAAATGCCCATGGCCCATGTATTTTTGACAATGTACCAAGGATGTGCTGAACATCTGTTTTTTCGGACAATATTTCCAACAGCACAGCTGTGTCATTTTTTTCCTCAGTGATCTTTTAAGAAAAAAATATTGGCCAATCAGAGAGACTTATTATATGTTCTTATGCAATGTCAAATAAATGCTTAGGCCAAACAAAAAAATATGTTTGTTTACTGTTACATGCTGAAATAAAATAGGGTCTGTAGGTAGGAATTTTTATTTATTTTATTAATTTTTTTATAAACAAATTCACATGAATTGGTTGAAATACAAAACAGTTTTACCATTGTGTGGTGCTTTTTGTTTCTAGTACTTTCAATTTCGATTTCAAACTCTTGACCGATTAAGATACATGTAAAAGTTAAAATGAATGGCGAGTGACTTCTGGGTTTTTTATGATGAAAAAAAGTCTGGGTCGGCGATTAAATATAGGGTCGGTAGGGTAACCGTAAACAGACATATTTTTTTATTACGCCATATACCAAGAAAAATTTTCTACATGCTTTACACTGAAGAGAGTAGATACTGACTTGTAATCCCCCAAATATCTCTCCATTCCACAGTAGGCAATTTCCTCGTTTATCTGTTGTTGGCTGTGGAGTAAGTGGCCCTCTCATGTGCAGAACGTGTCCAGTAAAGACTAGTCGTGTCTGCGAATCGATGGTAGCCACAGTTTGCGAACTTGCATCTGGACCTCTGTTCTTAAGTCTCAAGCAACTACTTGTACAATCCTATGAATCAATACAGAGAAATGATTGCTAAACATGCTAAAAACTTTTAACCAGAAAATCAGTAGCGATCAGGCGATTGCTGCGACATCAAATGTCGTTCTCTGCTCAATTTATAAACCTTACGTATGGAAATCCTTACATGATTTTCTCCCCGCAGTAAAACACAACAAATTCCACACATGATATTTAAAAAAGTCACTCTAGTGTAATATCCATGTGTTTGGTTCCACGTGTTACTCAACTTACTGTCAACTTTGTTGTCTCTACCGAAACTACCGAAACACAAAACAAGAAGACCTGAAAGTCAACTAATTTTTAAACCTATATAAATTTATGAGCGGAATAACAGATTCCGTATTGTTTAACTTCCCCAAAAATTCAAGAAAAAACCCCTCCCCAAATAAACCTAACCTGCCCAAAAAGGGGGAAGACAACTTCCCTTAAATAATCTGAAGAAAAAAATATAATAATAAAAATAAAATAATAATAATAAAAAAACAACAACAAACTATATAAATATGATATCCAAGTCCTGGACCTTATATTACAGCAACAAAAAGTTGGGGTGGGGGGGGGGGGGGACCAGCATCTAAAGAAAAATTTACTATAGCAAAATACTATACTCAGAAAAAAGGGGGGCGCCCCTGCCAAGGGTAAACAAGAGGCCCAGGAGCCACATCCCTCACGTGAACGCTTTGTCTAGGAAAAAAGCAGAAATCAGTTTAGCATTGAAAAGTTTAAAAATAAAAGAGGGGGGTGGGGTTATGATTTAAACACTTGGATCTAAACTTCCTAAGGATGCTTTTTGAATTAATATGACACATAATGGCTTTGCTGTTCTTAAGATGAAAATTTTATCGATATATCTTTTATATTCCTTTGTATAACTTTGATCCCCCTGTTATGGCCCCTCTATTCTCGGGGGGGGGGGGGGGGGATATCATGATTTGAACAAATTTAAATCTACATAACCTGAGGATGATTTATATTATTATGACCAATTATGGCTTTGTTGTTCTTGTGAAGAATTTTAAAGATTTTTCTTCTGTATTCCTATGTAAAACTTTGATCACCCATTGTGGCCCCACCCTAGCCCCGGGGGTAATGATTTGAATCTACACTACTTGAGGATGCTTTCATATAAATATAACCAATCATTCTCTGCTTTTCTTGAGTAGAAGATTATTAAAGATTTTTCTTATGTATTCCTATGTAAAACTTTGATCCCCCCTTGTGGCCCCACCCTACCCATGATTTGAACAAATTTGAATTTACACTACCTCACAATGATTCCACATAAGTTTCATGTTTTCAAGCACAGTGGTTCTTGAGAAGATTTTCAAATGATGCTATTAATTTTTTACAAAATCATAATTATCTCCCCTTGGAAGAAGGCGTGGCCCTTCATTTGAACAAACCTGAATCCCTTTTACCCAAGGATACTTTGTGGCAAGTTTGGTTGAAATTGGCCAAGTGGTTTTTGAGAAGAAGATGAAAATGTGAAAAGTTTACGACAACGACGACAACAAGGACGACGACAGACAACGGACAAGTTATAAAGACTAGTATAAATTATAAAGACTAGTATAAATTATAAAGACTAGTATAAATTATAAAGACTAGTATAAATTTCAATTTTGGCCCAGCCCTCATTTCCCAGGAGTGTGGGAACCTTGAAATTCAGAATTTCGTTTCATTTTCCCAAAGATGATACTCGCAAATATTGATTAGAAATGGTCAAGGTTCCAGCGCATCTCTCATCTCTATTGATTCCCAAATATTAAAAATTATGAATTATTGCATAATGTTACACTGAATTAAATAAAAATGTATTAGCAATTTTAACCTATAATAAAATTCGAAATTTGAACTTATATTCAGCCCTCTTCCAAAGTACCAATGCATGAAAAGAGTCTTTCCTGGAATCTATAGAAAGTTCATATTTTTTTTATAATGATGTAGAGTATTTAAACCTGTAAAATTTAGGACCCACCCATTAAAGCTATTAATATTGATTGTCTTGCACAACTCTTAAGGGATTATTCATCAGTAATTATCTTATATTGCACTTTTATTAATTTCATCCCCAATCTCATCCACAGAGATCTCCCCATAGGTTCAAATCCTCTGTCTATGGATAGATTCGAACCAGGTCAATCCTGTGAGGAGACGGATTAACACAGGTTTTCAAGCTTGTTTCTCAATCCCGTTTGATCTTCACTAAATATCTGTACTGTATGCTAGTAAATTTCAAATAAAAAGTAATCCTGTAAGTCTCTGGATAGATTCAAACACCGTAAATCCTGTAAGGTTTCCAAAGAGATTCGAACCCCGCCTCCTGTGAGTCTCTGGATAGATTCGAACCCCGTCAATCCTTTAAGGTTTCGAAAGAGATTCAAACCCCGTCAATCCTGTAAGTCTATGGATAGAGTCAAACCCTCTCAACCCTGAAAATCTATGGACAGATTCGAACAACATCAATCCTGTAAGATTTCGAAAGAGATTTGAACCCTGTCAAGCTGTAAGTCTATGGATAGATTCGAACCCCGTCGATCCTGTAAATCTATGGATAGAATCGAACAATGTCAATTCTGTAAGATTTCGAAAGAGATTCGAACCCCGTCAATCCTGTAAGTCTGTGGATGGATTCGAACAACGTCAATCCTTTAAATCTATGGATAGAATCTAACAATGTCAATTTTAAAATTTTGAAAGAGATTCGAACCCCGTCAATCCTGTAAGTCTCTGCTTCGAACCCCGTCAATCCTATAAGTCTATCTATAGAATCGAATCCCGTCAATTCTGTAAGATTTCGAAAGAGATTCGAACCCTCTTAATCCTGTAAGTCTACCGATAGATTCAAACCCGTCAATCCTTTAAGGTTTCGAAAGAGATTCGAACCCCGTCAATCCTGTAAGTCTAGGGATAGATTTGAGTTCCGTCAATGCTGTAAGGTTTCGAAATAGACTCCAACCCATTTTTGTAAGGTATCTGAATATATTTGAATCCTGTTTTTGTATGGTCTACGATTATGTTGATTCGAACCCCGTTTTTCTATAGATCTCTACGTAGGCTGGTTCAACCAGAGTTCGTCGGAGATTTATGAGGACAGCTGAAAGTCTGGTTTAAGGTACTCCAATCCTCAGGTTCTGAAAATCAGCTTTTAAGTAATTGAAAATGCTCACAAAAATGTCTCAGATTTCAAATAATAACGTGAACGTACCCATGGAATTTCTTCAAAGTTCATCCTTATAGTTAATCATATTATATAGGGAAACTTATCAAATCTCAAATATATTTTCAAGAAATGCAGATAAAAACACCAGCTTTGCATTTTCTAATTGAAAATTGATCAACAAATATAATTTAGGATAGAAAAATATAGGTATCCAGGCATTTGAAGAAAATTTTATCTTTTTTATGCTTATTCATTATTTTAGTTCCTCTTTTTACTTCAATTGTGATATAATACTTAGTGTAAAAAGCTTGTGCTATCATTGCTAGACATCACATATCACATCTAATTTCATATCATGCTTATAAGCAGTTGTAACTAATGCTAGACTAAAGGAAATTCAATTTCTCTAAAAATGAATTCATTTTTTTCTTTTGTGGGGTACAAATATCAAATATTTACAAGGCCGTTTCTAAGACTTCAAAGAACCTTGAATCATATTAAGATGCATAAAATGTAAATTGTTGCATGAAAAGATCTCAATTTCATGCTTCATTTTGAGACTTTTTAAATAAAATACTAAATTTAAGAGTTATCCTTCCTGGCTGAGGATCGGATATCCTTAACGAGACTAATCTATAGGTAGATTCGAATTCTTTCATTCCAATACATGTAGTTTTCTAAATAGATTCGAACCCCGTTTTTCTAGTAACTAAGGTCTCTGAATAAATATAAATTAACTCCGTCATTCTGTAAGGTGTCTTAGTAAGTTCAAATCCCGTCATTCCTGTATGGTCTCAGATTTACACACTATCATTCATGTTAGTTCTTTGAATAGGTTCGAACCCCTTCCTCTCTATAAATCTTGATTCGCACGCCACCATTCCTGTAAGTCAAACCCCGACATACATTCCCATTTATTTTTACGATTTATTGCACATTCGAAACGCAAGGAAAAGCTACGTGGATTTCACATTTCTTTCATGAAAATCGTTTGAAGATTATGATATAACAAAAAGATCGAAAAGTACTCAAACGATTCTTTGACAAAACCATGTTCACAGTGTAATTGCAGAGTCCATTTAATTTGTATTTGAAAATTTCTATATTGATGACTTGTTATGACGATAAATTATGTTATGGAGAGCTAGACACTGATACACTAATTTCCATAGTGACGCGTCTACAAATTTTCAACTTCACCTGAACCACGTGACTCAATCCAGCTTCCGTATCTACCCGCACGGCCTCTATTTTATATTGATTAACTCTTTATCGTTTTAATTTAACAGGCAGCGGTGCGATGCCCCAGAGAGGCAAGATAAATAAAGAGAATAATACGATGCAGATAGCATATTAGTGTTGCCATCAGAGAGCCATTGTAGCAAGGATAAAAATGGAAAATATTCGACGAACTGCTGAGCATAAAGTGATGTAAAATTAAAAAAAAATACCCAGAGTTTGATATGAATTAACTGTCATGATTTTAATAAACAAATTCTTAGGTATTCAACGTTACTTTGGATAGGAACTTGCCAAGTCTGATTTCTCTCCGAGTTTGTAGTGTTGGGACATTCATATAAAATTGTGGGTTGTGCAAAAAAATAATTGTGAACAAAAAATCATTTGAAAAGCAAAGTTACCAGTTTTCTTTTATTCTTATGATTGCTGAGTAGTTGAGTTAATTAAGACAACGTACATAGAGTTCGTTTTTTCTAGAAATAACTTCGTCGATTTAGTGCCTTCACCGCACACCTAAATCAATGCTTTATATTAGCTTCATCGATATATTAGTGTGAGGAGAGAATGCAATACAGAAGACACGGGATCTTAAATATGTAGTTTCCCACAAAATGGACAAATTAAACAGCGACAAATGGAGTGACAGGATGTCTGTTTCCGGACTTCCGGCCAACGACAAGCCGGACGACGCGTCAGCGGCCAACAGCACGGCATCCAGTGGGATAGGGAGCGGGGTATCCGTAAAAAGCACAGATCTGGACAATCTTTCTGTGGGATCGGGGACCACGGGGCTGGGGAAAGTCCTATCCCTGAGTCTGAAGGGGGAGTG